TTGCGTTCTGTTTTTATTGCGCCTTAGCACAGACTACAAATATTTGAGTTGCACTCATTCAGCTCGGCTATGCAGATGGGGAATAGAGGAAAATAAAAGGGGGTTGGGTTGGGAAATGGACACTTCCTCGAGGAGTACACTTAATTGATTGCTTTTCAGCTCGGGCCACCAGTACTGGGAAGGAGGAGGGTTGGCTGCGTAATTGATATTTAATTAAAGCGCAGCAGCTCAGCTGAAGTAGTTGCCAACTCATGAGTGTCCTGCAAAAAGGACGAGAGAGGAGGGAGGAGACATTGAGCGTGAGTAATGGCAGTCATCTCAAGTCAGCAGCTGGGGAAAGGCATCTAGTAAGAAGTTCAAGTTGAGCACAGGAAATTGGAAAAAATAGGAAATCAAATCAAGTGGCAAGTGGAGTTTCTAGATTTTTCAGCTTCAGTTGTTCAATTAAAGTAGGAAAAAGAATTCAATTTCTATAATATTTTTAAAGCAATCCCTTTTGTGATATAAAGATTAAACTATAAATTCTTGGGGCTAATTCGTTAACAAAATTCAAAACATTTCAGGCAACAATGTAAAAACTAATTCGAAATAATTTTACCTGAAACAAATCCACAATTGGGGAAATTCCTGTCACCGGCAACAACAAAAACTATGTCAAAGAAGGAAAAACCGAAACCAAAACTGAAACAAAAGCAGAAATAGAAATAGAAACAGAAAACACTCCAATTGCAGCAAATCAAGCCGAACAACTTTGTATATATGCCACTTGAAACTTTCCGGCTTTTCCGCTTTCCCGCAGACAAGGTGAGGTAGTAGGCAGTTAGCCAGGCAGTTTGGCCAGGTCCTCGAGCGCTTTGTTTGCCTTTCTGCTGTTGCTGGTTGCCACTGCTGCTGTTTTTCTGTTTTCCTGCTACCTTTCTTTTTGCCTTTTTTCCCGGCCATAATTATAAATCAACTAGCTGAGTGCGCCCCCACCTGCTGCTGCTGCTGCTGCTTACTCCCAACTAACTAATCCACTCAGGCAAAAGCCGAAGGCAACATTAAGAGCCGCCACCCTCAACTCCGCTAAACTCCTGCTCCCGCCCCTGGCGACCCACTTGCAACAAGTTGGGTGGGGCTGGTGGGCGGGCATATTGCCATAGTTAGTTGACTCACTTTCACTCGAAGGGCGTCACAGAACTGAAGCTGAAACAGAAACAGAGAGGTACACGGCAAGAAATGTTCAAGTCTTAGGGAAAACTTAAAAGAAAAGAATGCATTACTTAAGTATAATTTAGAATTTGTTACAATTTGTAATAAAATGTCAAATATATTAATAATAGGTGTATAAAAGTATGCAACAATATATTATTAGTCCCAAAGTTATATGAATTCATACAGATAGACGACTATCCTTTATTCACTGCATACTTTTAGACACTTATTCCTAATTAAAATAAATTGTTGCAAACTTTTAGACACCTTAATAATTAATTTGAAAATTCCAGCATTTTCTAAGGACTTTAATTAGCTTTTCCACATTATAAGGGATCTTAAAAATATTTTATTACATTTTAAAACTAATTTAATCTTGTTTTAGAACTTTCCGTTTAGAGTAAGGTACTTTCTCTCAGTGCACGGGATAGTGAGAGCAGTGGAAAGGCGACCCCAGTCCGGGCATTTCCCCTGTGTATGACATCAGCTATAATTTCCATTACGAGTCGAGCGCTGAAAATTGTACACCAGGGAGCTTATTAAGCACGCTTTCCCCTGCCCTCCTTGTAATGTGCAAATGAAATGAAATAAAAATGTCAGAGCGCAGGGTTCGGAATGCCAGGAAAAATGAAAAAAAAAAGAAATGAATTCTTAAAAGTAAGGGGGGTGGTGAAAAAAGGAGCCACACGACACCGGGAAACTTGGCCACCAGTATTTTCCATAATTTTTCCCTTCCCTTCTCTCACTTGTTGCCAATCTGCTCCTCGCCGCTGCTCTTGAACTACCAATCCTTGCCCCATAATTCCCATAATTCCCTTGTCCTGAGTAATGTTAGCCTTAGGACAATAACTCGAGTGTGTCATGTGCGGATCGTAAATTTGCCACTGACCCGGCCATTTGCATAAATCACAGGGTATTGCAGTGGGTAGTGCGAATGTAAACTTATAGGGCCATTAAAGTCGCATCCAAGAAAGCTTTTGGTTTCCATAAAGAACTTTTAGAATTCAATGAGAATTATATTGGGATATTATTTGAGGGATAATAAGGACATAATAATTACATCTTTCAATCCCTTGTTAAATCTATATTCGCATAGTAAATTTCTGGCATAAAATCGATCAACGTTTCATGTAAAGTTTTATTTCGAAGTATTTTTTCCAGTGCCAATGAAAAGGGGGAGCCTTAAGGGGCAGCACTTACGTCACTGGGCAACTAAATCAAAGCATTGCATACTTTACGGGCGTGAAATTACATAAGTTCTCCAACTCTCTTTGAGCTGCTCTGCTCGTCGTCTTCGTCCCTTCTCCAGTTACACTCACTTTCCCTTTGTTTTCAATTTCGTTTTAATAATCGTAAAGGGAAGAAGTTGGCAACCCGGAGGATGAGGATGAGGATGGGGACTTTGGGAGGCCATGGCAACCGATGGCTCAGATTTCAACGCTTATTTGGCTTCTGATTATTATTTCATGCCCGAGCTGCGAGTCCTGAGTACCCGACTTCCCGAATCATCCCGAATTCCGAATCCTGAGTGCTGTTCTCACGCATCACGCGCCCAAAAAGTATGCAGGCCATGATATTTGCTTTTTATCGCCTTCGCCACATTTCCCCATTTTCACATTTCGCGTGGAAACCTTGTCCCGGTTCGTGTTCCTCTTGGCTTGTTTTCCAAAAGTTTTGCGTGTTATTATTATTTTACTTTGCCGCCACGTTCCAGTTTTATTTGCCCTTTTTCGCTTCGTTTTTATATTTTCTGTTGCTCTCTCTGCCCTGCACCATTCATCAATAATTCACATTGATTTCTTTTTCCCACTTTTCCTGCCCTGCACTCGCCTTAATGTTAATGTTATCCCAGTTGACTCCCCCAGATTCGCTTTGTTTTCCCTTCAATATGCCTTGTAAACAATTGACAGGAGACTCCAACGATAGAGTACTGTCTTCAGGGGGAGGAGCAGGGGCTTCTCATTGAAGCCGTTATGCACATATCCTTATGCTCGTGCACGTCTAACAGGTGCGTCCGAGGGGACTGCAAATTTATGTCAAAGTACAGTCTGCAACTGACTTTCCTGGGGAATATTCCAAATTCCATTAATTCCAAGGGAAAAGGCATTAATTTCTACTCTTAATCAAAGGGAATGGAAAATGTGTGATAAGCAAAGGTGTACATGTAGGGGAGAGTGGGGGAATTTCGTCACAGGGGCAATTTCGTCACCAGCAATATCTCAGAATCCATAAGTCGTAAAAATATATAATTTTTTTGTTTTAGTCCTTCAAGACGGCCAGACACAACCAATGCATTTGTTTTGCACAGAAGGCCAAGATAATTAAGCTATAATATTAAATGTGTTTTAACAGCTCAAAAGCTACATTTAGTTCTCGACGAAATTTTTTCTGTATGCCACAATTCAAAAGCAATAAAATACACGATTTTTTATATAATACACAGTGCTATAATGTGCATTTCTGCGTTAGTGATTTTTAACTTCGCGCCTAATTTCGGAAGAAAAATAATTATATCTAGAAAAGTACGGTCTGGGGAAATTTCGCCACCCTACGCTAAGGGTAAATTCGCACCTATTTTAAATACATATTTTTATATTTGACGAGCTGGCTAACGAACAGACTACCAGCAGCAGCAACAAATATAGGACGTCAACAAAAATGGTACGCTTGATCTGTGTAGCATACTTACAGGCGTAAAGTTCCCTACATTTTTCAGGTGACGAAATTTCCCCAGTTGTGTGGTGATTTTACCCCCCTATGTGGTGAGATTGCCCCAGTATATTGGTTTTACTTTTAAATTTTTTATAAATCACCAAGTTAATTAAAAAAATAGGGGAATGTCACATTTTAAAGCTTAGTGCTAACCGCATTCAACAATAAAAATAGAAATATGATAACGTGTCTCAAGATGGACAATAAATAGCTTTGAAAAAATGCTGACGAAATTCCCCCACTCTCCCCTAACTACTTCCAGGTAGAAAATATTACAAATATTATTAAGTATTTAAAAAGTAAACTGAATATGGTTTTTCGTGATAAAAATCCAATTCAAAGTTAAAGCAAAATATTCAAAACATATGTTACAGTTTCGACACAATTTACAGATGTACATAGTTACCACTACACTTTTTCTACTTTTTCTGTAACGCCTGAATGGCTGTTGCTCCTGGTGATGATATGGCCACATCGCAAAGACAAGGCATAAAATAAAAAAAGATAGAGTAGAGTAGTAAAGGGGGAAAAACGAGAAACAAAACACTCAGTCATGCGTTTTCCCGTTTTAGCTTCTTGTTATTCCATTCTGTTTTTTCTGCATACTGCATGCTGATTTGATTTGATTGGATTTGATTTAATTTTCCAATTGAAAACACTTTATCAGGTTACCCGTACACGTGTGTGGATATGCTAGAACAACACGGACGGATGTGCTGCCGGGTTTTTACGAATAAAAGAAAAATCCTTATGCCAACGGGGCGGTTACTTGATATGACTTATAGTGACGGCTTAACACAATATGCTCTGCGCCTTATTAAGTCAGAGCCCCATTATCCCAGCAACAATAATCACAGCGAATTAAATGGAGATTTATCGTTAGGCAATAAGATTTAATTTAAAAAAAAAGAATGAAATAAATTTTATAAGTATTTTTAATGTAGAACAAACGAAATTAAACCGAAATCTCTCCCGGTTATTCATGCAACTCTAGGTACTTACACCTTACGGACCCCCATCCCTTTGCACGAACGCAATTAAACCGATGACCTGATAACTAACCCCCCCCCTTTGCCATCTTCTTCTCCCCGCAGCAACTGTTCCGCTCGCAGAATCCGGGCCTTGCAGCAGTTGCCACAAATGCGGCCGCAGCAGCCGCCGCAGCAGCTGCCACATCGGCAGCGAGTGCTGCGGCAGCGGTGGGCGCTGCCCCCGTTCCCAACGGATCGCTGCAACAGTCGCAGCAGCAACAGCAGCAGCAACAACAGCAGCAACAGATGCAAATGGCGGCCGCGTCGCAACAGTTTTTGGCCGCCCAGCAGGCGCAAAATGCGGCGTATGCCGCCCAACAGGCCACGCCCTACGTCATCAATCCGGGCCAGGAGGCTGCCCCCTATATGGGCATGATTGCCGCTGCCCAAATGCCGCAGTACTACGGCGTAGCGCCCTGGGGCATGTATCCGGGCAATCTGATTCCGCAACAGGGAACGCAGCCGCGACGCCCCCTCACCCCCTCGCAGCAGGGTGCCGAGAATCAGCCGTATCAGGTGAGATATACGCATAGATATATGGTGCTATATATAGTCATAGACATAGAGGCCTAGCCATTATCATCCCGCTCAGTTAGTTAACTGGGCTGCCTGATAGTCGGACACAATGGAGCATATACAGTAGTGTACATAACTATCCATAGATGCACAGGCACTCCGGTGTTGTACATACGACAGGTGTCAATTGATTGTGACCTTACACTCGCGGTGAACTAGTTGATTGGGACCGTTTAAACATTATTCCAAGGAATTTCAAAGTTACTTTTAACTTCATTAAAGAACAGTCAATTTACAATAAATTCTAGGGACTATGAAATTAATTTAAAAATCCTTTAAAATGTTTAAAAAAAGCTATTATAAAATTTAAATTAATTATAGAGGTCTTCTGTACATGTGTAAATTCATAAAATGTAGAACTATGTAAAGCTTTCCTTGTAATTTTAGTCATAACAAGATAATTGGACCTACAACGTTGTATATTTATGCTGCGTCTCTTCTTCTTTTCTCTTTTTTATACTCACATCATCAACAACACGCTTCCATAACCAACAACCAAACTACAAAACCAAACTCTAACCCCTGTACAAAAACGAAATCCGAATCGTGTAAAATACCGTGTGCTGCTGCTACTGCGCCGCCTGCAGGTCATCCCGGCCTTCCTCGATCACACGGGCTCCTTGCTGATGGGAGGACCCCGCACCGGGACGCCCATGCGTCTGGTTAGCCCCGCCCCCGTTCTGGTGCCCCCGGGCGCCACCCGTGCCGGTCCTCCGCCCCCGCAGGGCCCACAGCTGTATCAGCCGCAGCCGCAGACGGCCCAACAGAATCTCTACTCGCAGCAGAATGGCTCCAGTGTCGGAGGTAAGTGTTTTTCCACATATCACACGCAGCTGGGTGGAATGAGCGATTCGCTGGTTAAATATTATAGTAAGGAAATAGAAGGCTAAATAAACAATAGAAATGGTTAACGTGGCGTATGAGTAATATTGATTAAACCCTGCCGCACACCTTGCGTATGAGTAATATTTATATTTTTTATTTAATATTTAATAAATTAGCAATAATTATCGATTATTTCGCCCAGTGTGCAGTGACAGAAATTGTAATTAGTGTAAAATGTGGCACACACCTTCATCAACATACCCAAATAAAACTCACTCCTCTGTTGTATGTATGTATAGCCATTAATCTTTGTTTATCTAACCGTTCTCTTTGTATTCAAAGGATCTCAGCTCGTAAATAGCAAATTCTCGAGCTTTCCAAATGTTTTTGAGTATGTGTCTGAATAATAATAACAATAATAATAGTAGAACAGAGGGAGACAAGAGAGGCATAGTCATTCTGACTTGTCAGTTCCATTGCCAGTTTAAGCAATAATAATACTCATGCAATTTATAATATCAAATTTTCATTTCGATTAAGGCATATTAGGTTCAGAGAACCAAAAGGATTAACTCATGTTGGTATGGTTACATAGTTTAAAAATTTGAATAGAATGAAACGCGCTCTCTATTCCCAAAGCAAAGCATATTAAGAGCTCCCCAAGTAACAATTACAGGGCATACATGAATCCAGCATTACCTAGTCGAGAATGCATTACTACGCCATGGAAAGCCATGAAAACCAACTGTTTGTGTCAGTAAATTTTCCTGTTTTTCATACATATCTAATGCACAGAAGAGCCATTGAGGAGAAAACTAACAACAATTGCATGCAAGCACGCAAAATGTTATTATTGCCAATGCTCCAGCAACTTGGGCTTTCAACTTCAACTGTAATGCAACTAAAACGACAACAACTGCAGAAGTCCCGACGACTGACTCATGCAATTTTAAACGTAACGCGATGAGTTGGGGGAAAACTCTATATAGTGAGAGAGAAAGAGGAATATGGAATGGATGGCAAAATCGTTTCATATTCCAACAGTAGATGCAGTAGTTTATGCATTGCAAATATTAAGAAAAAGTCCAAAGAATAATCAAGAGCAGTAAATACTATTGACTTGCACCATGCATGGTCACACTTTAAAAAAGTGTGGACAAGTGTCTACAGTAATCAAAAAAACTAAAAGCTGTATTAAAAAAAATGAAATAATATTTTGTATTATATTTTTATTTCTGTTTTTTTTTCTAGTTACTTAAAATAAAAGATTATCTATAAAATTGACATAAAAATTAAAACAATAAAAAAATTATATTTTTTGTCATTTTAAAACCAAAAACACCGCATAAACCCTTTAATTTGCAAGTTATCCTTGCAAAGTTTGTCCGTGTGTTTGTGAGTGCCCAAAAACTACAATTTGCTCTAGAATATCTACGAACGCTTGAAGGAAAATTTTGTCGATGGCTTATCATTGTTGTTGCTCTGCAATTGTTGTAGTTTTATAGAATTTCACATTACAATTAATAACTGCAGTCAGGCAATGAAAGTTTACACTTTGTGCGTTCAAAGTTTAAGTAGAGGAGATATACCCATCCAATGTGCACTATCTTTTGTCTTAAATTGATCAAAGGTTCGCATGGGTAGATTTTCAATTTGGTAAAAATTTTAATTGCAGTTTGCAAAAAAAGAGTGTTAAAGTTCTTTAAACCCCATACACACACGAGCGTTACTGACATTGGACGTGGACAGCTCCATTAACTCCATTAACAATCAGGCGAAATCAATTATTACGCTTTCCACCTACCGTTTTTTATTTCCCGACCGCATGCAAAAACGCTCCTTCCATTAACGCAACGATTTTCCCGGAATATGGGAGTCGAATCCATCCGTCTGACGGTCGGGAGCTGGCTGGCATTATTATGTCGTTAATTCATTTTGCCTGATATGGCAGTTTAATGAAGTTTCCAGTTTTCTCTTCGTGCACAGACTCTCTTGTTCCACATGACGTATGAGTGATTACGTATTTTAATTTCTGTTGTTGCGTTGTATTTTTCGTTTTCCCGTTTTTACCGCCACTGTTCTTGCTGAAATTGTTTTATATACGTTGCAATTTTAAGCTTGGGCTTTAAGCAAGAACTGCGATCGGCACAAGTACTCAAGTTATGTAATCCATTTCGGATTTTGAGTGGTGGAAACCCAATCGAATGCAATCCGTTCTCGAGACCGCAAGTCAAGTCCTGACATGCTTTGCGTGGAGAACCGTGATGATGCCAGGTGATTAGGCTAAGGGTCTCTCGAGGAGTGTGCCACATTCACAGATCCACCTGCATATGCCGTACTACCAATTTGGATTAATTGCACTGCGAGAAAGTTAACTATTTCTTTGTTGAAATGCAGTATCCATTATTGTGGAATCATAGTAAAATTAAAGGAATTCCAAACTTTTAAATTTAAATTGAATTCTAGCCCTTTAAATAAGAGCTTGATAATTATCGATAGTATCGATATTTCCAATATACATAATCTCATACACATATTTCATTAATTTTCATTAGAAAGAAATATAAATATTTGTAATAAATTAATAAAATACAAAACAAGGCAAAATGACGGTACTCGATGACATTTTTGGCCCAAGTGTAACCATTTCCACTTGCACATTCGCATCTCAATTACAATTAGCACATGGCGCCCACAGTTTGTCCTCCGCTGGCACAAATCCCCACTAACAACTGCGGGGGGCCTTTCGGTCTCATCAGCCCAGCAACCCAGCAGCCCATCAGCCCACTCATTATGTTGTGCAATCGATGCTGTACAGTGAACACCCTTGTTACCCTCTTTCTAGTTGACTATCTGTCTGCTTGTCTGACTGTGTGCAATGTCAAAAAGGCTTTTTAATGGAGATTATATTGTTTTAAGTGGCTGACTGGAGGAGAACAGCGGGGGGCAGGAGGAGGAGGAGGAGCAGGAAGGGATATCAGTAGAACGAATCCCCTTCTGCGTCAGAGACAAGCTGCAATTACAAACGTTAATGCGCCTTGGCCTGGCTTGAAGGAGGCTGTGGGTGGTTCAATGGGTGTGTGGCATGTGGCTCGGTGCGGTGGATTGGCAAAAGGGGAAAGTGGAAAATGGAAAACGGAAAACGGAAAGCTGCTTGACTTTGCAACCGCCAAACCCATTTTGGGCATTGCCTTGAAAACAATGAGGGTAGCACAGCAGCAGCAGCAGAAACAGCAGCAACAGCCTCATCAGAAGCAGATGCAATAGCATCCTTCTCCTTTGCCTGCTAAATTATTATGTACACCTTTCGCATGTTGGCAACATGTGATTGCATCACACTGGGGTGCTGGAAAAGTGAAAGGCACGGCACCACCGTACCATCGAAACCATCGCCCAGCCACCGAAACCACTCTGCATACAATGCAGCACATTGTTCGTCCTGCCAGCTTTATCCTCCTTCATTGCCCATCCTCTTTTCTGCGGCAGCCTTTTGTGCAAATGAATTCGTTTATTTTGTAAAATGTCAATTGCTATGCTGGCTTACAGAACAAGAACATACGGGTATGGGGATGAAGATAAGGGGTTAATGGGAGCAGGAGCAGCAGCAGGAGAATTGGGGTGGTTCACATGCAGCACACGGTTGACACTTGCTGCGGTGTCGGGAGGTGTTGGTGATCGTGTGTGCACTTTACGCTTAATGAAAGTCGCAATGATGTGTACCACACGGCGTATGCGTGATGCAACTTAAATTGGATTGAACAGCACAGATTGATGTAGTATTGGAAATCTACCAGAATCTTTATTAAGAATTAAATGCAAATTAAAACAATAATTACCTTCATAAATAACTACCCAAAAAAAAAGTTATTAGAAATAGGATCTACCTTATTTTGTATCAGGTCTTTCATAAAAATTAGAAAAATTGTATTTTCAAATACTAAATGTAGTATTTTTTAAATAAATAATGTAGAACAAGATATACATAACCTTTATTTAAATGAAAATGATAGAAGTAACTTGATCTTTCAAAAATATAAAAGTGACCTTTTACACATATAAATCTAGACTTTTTTCAATCTTGTTTTGAGTAGATTTCAATACACCATTTATTATGTTTCAAATAAAATCATAATTAATATATAAAATCATTTTAAGTTGAATTACTTTTACTTGCAACTAAAGCCAATTTAAACTTAATTAAACTAATGATGATTGATACTTGCAATAGAATCTATTGTAAACGAAATTAAAGTTTTCTTTTTATCTGTCTGCAACAGTTGCCATTGCCAAGTTTAATTGCCATCTGCAACTAAAAGTGCTTGCAGTAAGCGGGAAATCCCGAATGAAATGCTTAGTTTAATGACAGCCAGCGGGAGAGGCGGCAAAAGTTTGTAATTCTTGCATTTAAATTGCAACTAATTTGGCACCTTCTCTACTGCGCAGAAACTGTGGAAAGGGAAAGACAGACTAAATTTCAAATACAGACGGCGGAAAAACACAAACAATTTGCATCCAGGAAAGTGTTTTTGGGGGGAGTTTTTCGACGACTGCGCTCGACTGCCGTGGCGTATGTTTTCTGTCTGTTTACTTTATTTTCTGGGCCTGCGTTTGGTGGGGTTTTGGTTTTCATTTAGGTGCGTGTAGTTGCACAATTTAAAAGGGAATTATTCATGCAATTTGTGCGGGGCGGAATGTGGGTGGTGTATGGTGTTTTAGGGGTGCATAGATGATGGCCCCCCTCCATCCACCCCCTCCACTAATTCAGAGGCTGCCCCGACGACCGTCTGTTTCAGCTCAAATCAACTCAGAGTGAGAGCAGCCCTCCATTTGGGAGACACTTTGCCAAATGAAACTGCAGCCATGTGGCACACTGAAACAAAAAATAAGAGCACGAAACCTAACCAGTAAAAAATTAAATTGTTGTACAAATTTGGGCCTTATTAAAATTAATTAATTTGTGAATAATAAATTAATCAATATATTAAATAGTCCTTAAATGAAGAATAATTAAATCAAAAATTCTCTTTTGTAACATATTGGGTTTAGTAATATCTCTTTATGTTTAATTATAATTTATTATAACCATTAGTCCTAGAGTAAAAGAATTTGAAAAAGTGTAAATGCAATTTTGTTGTGAATATCAAAAGCCATTGAAATGTAGAAGCAATTTTTTAAATCGGACGATTTACTAAAAAGTTATGAGTAAATAATGTGTGCTGCTTTGGCTGAGTAACGGGTATCTGATATTCGAGGTATAGATAGCGTTCTCTCTCTTCTCTTCCCCATAATATATATTTTTTTTAACTGAGAATATAATGCAAACTCAGTTTTTCCTGTGCATTTGGATCCATGGCTGCTTCTCGGTGGGCGGTGGGTGGCATTAAAAGACGCCAAGTTTATTGCAGGCGACATTCTGTGGTTTATGCACACGTTCCGCAAATAGAAAGGGAGCGGCAGAGTGTCAAGAAGGAGACGGCACTAGACGACGAGAGACGACACTTTGCCGCTCGTCCTTAGCTTAATGTAATGATTTTATGAATTATAAATGCACACACGTGCACATTATGCACACGTCGTCCCGTTCGCTCCTATTGCCGTCTTTGTCGCTCCTCTTGCACAATGGAAAGGAGAAAAAAAAGTGAAAACGCATTAAAACTGCGAGTCATTTAAATGTCGAGAGAAAGGTCGGTGGGTGGGTTTGTGGGTGGGAAAACTATTCTCGGCTCGGGCAACTTTGTAAGCGCTGTTAAGTAGGCTATGAAAAAACGGTTTAAGGGGGCATTATATGAAATGTAATTAGTGCTAAAGCACGGCTTCAAAGTAACGGAAACACTGCCGCACTTTAATGGCTGCAGAATTGCTGAGAGTTTCAAAATGTCATCATATCCTAGAAGCTTAAAAAGGTTAAATATTATTATGTAATTTACATACGGATAACACTAGTTTACAAAATAATATTCTTGGTGTGCTCCCCAGCAAATGATGGCAAATTCTGTTAGTTTTGGACCCCTAGATCACGAAAATAGCACTAATTTTTTTTTCGATGGCACAGTTTTTTTTTAAAGATTTTTTAAAGTTCGAAATGTTAAATTTCTGACTTTTTTCGAATTTCTTCTTATATCTCGCCAGATATCCACTCGATTGGGCCAGTTTTAGTTTTATTTTAAAGTCAATAGATCAGAGCCTAACTTTGCCATACAGATCAATATGATTGGATAAGTAATGGCAGCACAGAAGCTCGACAAAGATGAAAAATGTGTTTTTTGGTCGACTGTAAGTCGGCTGTATATATCGTAAAAACACGAAATAAATCCGTTGAAAAATCATAATGGGTACAAACTTAAAGTTTACATCCTACCGAATAAAACAAGCAGGATATGGCCCACATCCATGGAAAATTGGATTTATGGTGGATTTTTAAAGTTCGGATTTTTCCACTTTTTTCGGTTGACAAAGTCCAAATTTAATATTTATCATAGGCGGCGACATGTAAACAAAAATAATTGGTGTTGGAGCCGGGTCACTTAATAGCTAAATCAGATATTTAAAAGCTAGAAAATTATTAAAGTGAATTTAATTTTTGAAATTAAGGTTACTTTTTTCATAAGAATGAACTATCCAAATGGATAGTACTTAATTAAAAACACTCACAGTCATAACGGAAGCAATTTTATATTTTTAAAGGAATGTTCAGAAATTAAATTTTTGTTATAATTTTTTAGCTTTTAATTTTAGCTATTTTTTGACCCGCCTGCCGTCACCACTCATTTTGGTTTACATGTCGCCGCCTATGATAAATCTTAAATTTGGACTCTGTCAACCGAAAAAAGTGGACAAATCCGAACTTTAAAAATCCACCATAAATCCAATTTTCCATGGATGTGGGCCATATCCTGCTTGTTTTATTCGGTAGGATGTAAACTTTAAGTTTGTACCCTTTATGATTTTTCAACGGATTTATTTCGAGTTTTTATGATATATACAGCCGACTTACAGTCGACCAAAAAACACATTTTTCATCTTTGTCGAGCTTCTGCGCTGCCATTACTTATCCAATCTTATTGATCTGTATGGCAAAGTTAGGCTCTGATCTATTGACTTTAAAATAAAACTAAAACTGGCCCAATCGAGTGGGTATCTGGCGAGATATAAGAAGAAATTCGAAAAAAGTCAGATATTTAACATTTCGAACTTTAAAAAATCTTTTAAAAAAAACTGTGCCATCGAAAAAAAAATTAGTGCTATTTTCGTGATCTAGGGGTCCAAAACTAACAGAATTTGCCATCAATTGCTGGGGAGCATTTCGGCTGTAAACTAGTGTAATCGAAATAAATGCAAATCCTACAATCCACTTTAAAAACATTATTTATTTACCTCGAAAATGGAGACATTTTCTCTGCGTTACTTGAACCATCGATTTCCCGCTTACTTCACCTGCTAACACTGCTCCACTTTAGTTTTCATCCACAAACACCAACATTGTATATTATTTACCAACACCATTCCGCAACTTTCAACAAATTGCTTAATAACTCGGTCAACAAATTGCGCACACTGTGTTGACATTTACAACACTCGCCTCGCCTTCCCCGGAAAAGCTGGAAAACCCTTAGGAGAGGGCTTGCAAGCTGCAACAACCCTAAACCACCCTGGGCCACCCACTCAGCCACCTGAAGGCAGCTGGGAATTTAGCAACCCTTTCGCGCAGCTGTCGTTGCATTAGTAGTTAAATAACTTAATGTTTGCAGGCCACGTTTATGGCGTTTTGGCTCCGCCCCCACAATATAAATTTGTGCAATAATTTTCCGTTCTTCGTTTCCCCTTGGGCGCTTCAGAAAGTGCAGCAAAGTCCAGTGAAAGATTGGGGTTGATGGGGAACTTTCGCTTTTCGCCGAATCGCACATTTCCGGATCATTGGACATTGGACGCGCAGGCAGGGAATACGAAATCCGAGAGATGCCTGCAAATCTCTCAAAGTCTCGCTTTCTCTTCACTTTCTTCCACCGCCTAGATGGCAAATCAAATGCCAGTGACAGATTACAACATCAATCAAGTTGGCACCGTCTCCATCCGTCCATCCGTCCACCCAGCCACATCCACATCCACTTATTGTTTCCGCCCACTTGTATCCTTTTACATATCCTTTGGAGATTGCAGCAGCAGCCTCATGTGCGCGCACCATTAATGCTGTACATTATGGCTTAGAGGGATGGATGAGGAGTAGGGAGAAAGGGGAAAGAGACATCTATCCTCTGCACTGCAAATGCCAAATGGCCAAGTGACTAAAACTAAGCCAACAGCTGCGCCTCGAAGCGGGCAATTAAGTTTTACAGGCGCATCAAAGTCGCCTCCTTTCGCTTCTCTCGATTAATTACAAAGCGGCAAGGATAATGGGTACAGTTGCGTCAGAGTTTTATATCTCGGCCAGCATCCAGTTGATGTCCCGCTGAAGGCTGTAAACTGAATTGAAAGTGCGCCACAAGCTTTACGGTCTTTCGATTTTCCATTGGCAGATTGATAGTCACTGCCGGGGATTGAGTGATGCACGGGATCTCTGAAGAAACTAAGCAAATATGACTTTAATAGGCTTTTAGGAAACCTTATGTACATCCCTAATATCCAAAAAAAAAATTTGATATGAAACGATGATCAATTTTACGTTATGTGGTATCAATTTTGACTTGATAGGCTCGAGTTTGTAATTTTTGTTCCCTCTCACGTAATTTATCGTGTCACATAGCTTCTTCCTTTTTTTTCAAAGTCAGCAAATCTTCGAGAGAGAGAAATCGGAGAGAGAGAAGGAAGACAGAGATAAAGATATGCCAGAAATTTACCGTGCGCATATCGATTTGACCGTGACTTGTTTTTTTTGTGTGTATGTCCTTCCACAATATCCATTAATTTGAATAAAATATAAATAAAATATAAGTAAAATATAAAGTATAAATAAAATATAAATAAAATATTCAACCTGTTTCTTCATCCCTTGCAGGTCTCGCCTTGAACACGAGCTCGTTGACGGGTCGCCGCGACTCCTTCGACCGCAGCACCTCCGCCTTCAGTCCCTCGGCGATGGACTACACCAGCAGCGGTGTGGCGGCGGCCGCCAATGCAGTGAACAGCACAGTGGCCCAGGCAGCAGCAGCAGCGGCCGCAGCAGCCGCCGCAGCGCGTGGCAAGTGGCCGGGAGCGATGTCGGGCGCGGCCAGCGGGGCCTACGGAGCTTTGGGAGCGGGCAATGCCTCGGCCAGTCCGCTGGGCGCCCCACTCACACCGCCGCCATCGGCGCAGTCCTGCCTTTTGGGCAGTCGGGCCCCGGGCGCCGAGTCCCGCCAGCGGCAGCAGCAGCAGCAGCAACAACAGCAGCAGCAGCAACTGGCCGCCGTCGGTCTGCCGGCCACTGCAGCCGCCCAGGCAGCGGTGGCAGCGGCCGCCAACAACATGTTCGGATCGAATAGCTCGCTCTTCTCGAATCACCTGGCCATTCCGGGCACCGCAGCCGTGGCAGCAGCGGCGGCAGCAGCAGCAGCGGCCAACTCGCGACAGGTGGCGGCCACGGCGGCGGCAGCGGCGGCGGTGGCAGCGGCAGCCGGCGGAGTGGGCGGGGCCCCGCAGCCGGGCAGATCCCGCCTCCTCGAGGACTTCCGCAACCAGCGGTATCCGAATCTCCAGCTGCGCGATCTCGTCAACCACATTGTGGAGTTCTCGCAGGACCAGCACGGCTCGCGGTTCATCCAGCAGAAGCTGGAGCGCGCCACCGCTGCCGAGAAGCAGATGGTGTTCAGCGAGATCCTGGCCGCGGCCTATAGCCTGATGACCGATGTCTTTGGCAACTATGTCATCCAGAAGTTCTTCGAGTTCGGCACGCCCGAGCAGAAGAACACGCTGGGCATGCAGGTCAAGGGTCATGTGCTGCAGCTGGCGCTGCAAATGTACGGCTGCCGGGTGATCCAAAAGGCCCTCGAGAGCATCTCGCCGGAGCAGCAGCAGGAGATCGTGCACGAGCTGGACGGGCATGTGCTGAAGTGCGTCAAGGATCAGAACGGCAATCATGTGGTGCAGAAGTGCATCGAGTGCGTCGATCCGGTGGCCCTGCAGTTCATCATCAATGCGTTCAAGGGGCAGGTCTACTCGCTGAGCACCCATCCCTACGGCTGCCGGGTGATCCAGCGGATCCTCGAGCACTGCACCGCCGAACAGACCACGCCCATTTTGGACGAGCTGCACGAGCACACCGAGCAGTTGATCCAGGACCAATACGGCAACTATGTGATTCAGCATGTGCTAGGTGGGTTAACTTGTGATTTATTAATCTAGAGATTTCAACTAATCTAGAATTTCCTTTCTTTTTTAGAACACGGCAAGCAGGAGGACAAGTCTATTCTGATCAACAGCGTGCGCGGCAAGGTTCTGGTGCTATCGCAACACAAGTTCGCCTCGAATGTAGTCGAGAAATGCGTGACCCATGCCACGCGTGGCGAACGCACTGGCCTCATAGACGAGGTCTGCACCTTCAACGACAAGTGAGTGTTAGCTAAACTAATTTTGTAGAGAATTTAACTCATCAAATTACTGACTTTTCCACCACAGCGCGTTGCACGTGATGATGAAGGATCAGTATGCCAACTATGTGGTCCAGAAGATGATCGACGTTTCGGAGCCGACGCAGCTGAAGAAGCTGATGACCAAGATCCGGCCCCACATGGCCGCCTTGCGCAAGTACACCTATGGCAAGCACATCAACGCCAAGTTGGAGAAGTACTACATGAAGATAACCAATCCCATTACGGTGGGCACTGGCGGAGCTGGCGGATCGCCGGCCTCCTCGTCGGCGGTGCCGCCGGTCAGCGCATCGTCATCGGTGACCGCCTGCACCAGTGGCAGCAGCACCACCACAACCAGCACCACCAACAGCCTGGCCTCGCCCACCATTTGCTCGGTGCAGGAGAACGGCAGCGCCATGATTGTGGAGCCCTCCTCCCCGGATGCCTCCGAGTCCTCATCCTCGGTGGTATCGGCGGCTGTCAACAGCGGCTTGGGCCCCATTGGACCCCCGACCAACGGCAACGTTGTGCTGTAAGGGAATAGCAACAAGTAAAGAAATAAAACCAGGCAGTCAAAGGAAACTTCCTTCTCGAATCGCAGAATAGATTTTAGGAGCTGTAGAGCTAAACATAAAAAGAAAACAAAAAGTACATATAAATGTAAACTAATTTATTGAAAAAGCAGCTATCAAATGGAGCTGCTATCGAAGATATGTAAAGAGAAAACAAAACACACATGCGCCAGGCTAGAGAAACAAAAAGAGGAAACACGCTGGCAAAACAGCTTTCGATCTAAAGCTAAAACAAATTTGTATTTTTACGAACAAAAAATAATAACACTCTCACGAAAGAAGATTTCAAAATATTTGTACAATGCGCTCGCATATTTAATTTGTAAAAAAAAGAAACATAAACACACAAAGATGAGGAAAACTAAAAAAAAGGCGTAATTAATCGCGATAAAGATGAAGAAAACAAAATGAATGTAAAGTAAAAGTGTCAAGAAACCAATTTTGTCTGCGTAGATTTTCGTTGTAACTTTGTATAAATTAATGATTATATAGCAAGTCTATCTGTACATGATTAATGTTTCGACTGTAAATTGATAAGAGGACAACTGAAGAGCCGGCGAGCTGAAGAATGAAGAATGTAGAATGTAGAAGAGCGGGCTGCATGAATACGCCTAGAATTTATAAGTGCAGACAGAGGAACCATTTCAAATAAACATAAACATATAAACGAGGGATACGAGCAGAAGCCACACTTAGTGTAGAATGTAGAGTAATACTGTTTTTGGAGCCAGCAGCTACCGAAACACAATGAAAACAGAGACACACGAGACACGCCACGCCCCCTCACGCACACTCGGATGCATACACCCACACAATGAACGACTCTTCAGCCCATTCACGTTGCTTTTGCACTATGTAAAAATTTTGTATAAAAAACCCCAAACAACAAACCATGTAAACCATGTAATTTTCAAATGTTTCACTGTAAAATGTATACATACTGTATTTTGTAAATTTTTTTTAAGTCGCAAGTAACTCATACGCATATTCTATTCTAAACTGCACGCATGTATTTATAATTTTATACATATTAGCTGGTGGCCACTCGCCCCTCGATGGTCAGCAAGTACTTCGGTGCGCTGGACGCCAGCTAAGAGAACCTGTTAGCCAAGTAAGCCCCACTGATAATGATTGGATTTTAAAAATATAACCATCAAAATAAACCAATGTTTTTTCCAAATTATCCGCCACACTTTTACGTTTGCTATCCCACCTTAATGTATGATATATGTATAAATATGATTTAAATCGACATTATGCTTTCTCAACTGCACACTGAACGAAATCAGGTGGAGAGTTGCCAGTTGCCTTTGTTATGTTAGACAGAATGCGCTTGTTGCTCCCTGCGAGGCTTGAAATGCATTCGCTTTGCGGCAAAATATTAAATAATTAGCCCTTCCCCCCCACGTAAGTGTATAAAATTGTTTTAAAACGTCATCGAAACACTTGTAAATTGCAAACAAAAATTGTATATGTATACATACGAACGAATATTGTAAAAAGTAACAATACCAAGAATTTTGTACATTTTTGATATAAATTTAGATTACTTCGCGACGCCTTATTCCAAATACTAAAATACTGAAAATACTGAAAACGAGAGATGGTAAGAAAAACGAATTTAGACTTTTTTGTCGGTTTCGTCGAAACACACAAAAATCCAATGTAAAACAATTTTTGGAGATCAATGTAAAGTGTATTATGCATATTTTTGTACACACAAATTCGTTGTCGTGTCGTTGTTGTTGTCGTCGTCACCGTCGTCGTTGTCGTATTTTGTATATAACAAGCAAAGGATACCAGTCATTGAACATTTGTAATTTTCTGTACATTTCCCCTCGCAACATTAATCGCAACATTGATCATTTACCATTAACCACAATCCATCATTACACAACCGTATCCATATCCCATATCCCATATCCTTACCCATACCCGTATTATCCTGTCTCTGTACAAGTGAGCGCATTTGAAGCGACGGCGCAAGCAGGGCTCGGTATTATTTGTTTGGTATTTTTAGTTATTAACTTGTCAACTGCCTGTCTCTAGAGCGCAATGCACTGATAATTTTAATTTAAATAATCCATAGATGAACATTGTATTTAGGATTCTCGAGTTCGATCGATACGGAGTGAAGAACAATGCAAGTAGAGATGCTTTCTGTAGACTAAACACATTGCTACACGCCGTGTACAATTGACGTGTAAAATACACAGGACACCCACACTCACAACAAAACAGAACAGAACACACAACACCTACACACAGACACACAGGACACAGCGAGCTGCTTAGCTGTATTAGTTAGTGTAAGCCAGCGAATCCCTATGAATATATTTAAACATACATATTTACACGCATATAGAGTTATGTACTACACTTAGTTTTGAACTTGACGTGAGGCAACGTTTTTAAAAAATGTATATGTAAAATACATGTGTAGAGTAGCGGAAGTGCAGTGGCACAGTGAAATTTACACGTAAGCTGGCGTATTCTACACACGCCCAGTTTTTACAGTAACAATTTTTGCACGCACGTAAAAAACACTTGGGTATACAAGTCGAAAACTAAAAAACCTAAAGCAAATTCCAATTAAAAAGAAGCAAAACAACATTTAACAACCACAATTGTAAACAATATAACATAAATTGTACGCGAACTCCCTGTAAACTTGTAACGTATAGCGAAGCGAAACGAGCAAGCATTTTTTTGTATGCCAAAGGGCCAAAAACAGGTCAGGCATTTTGAAATTGCAGAATAAGAAAAACAAAAACGGCTGCGAATTGTTTGGATTTTTCGCAAACTAAATTGTAAAAACAAAACATAAATAAAGCCGCAATACTGTGGCCTAAAGATAACCCATATTTAAAGTAAACATTTAAAATACAGCAGAAGCAGAAATTTGTAAAATTTTTTCGACAGCAGAACCTTGTAAACTAAGCTAAGGATATAGCTAAAAACCATACTCTAAATAAACCATTTGTAATTTGTTGTAAAAAGAAAGGACAGGACGAAGGAAGGCGGAAATTTAAAGGCATGGCATGTGCTAGAGCTGGCGTCAAGTAAAACTATAAATTATATATATAAATATAAATATATATTAAAGCATATACATACATATAAATATAAATATAAACATACGGTAATTAATTAATTACGAGAATATTTTGTAGTTACACACTCGAACACACGGAGAAATTCAGTATACAAACAGAGCGAAACCTTTAGTTTTGTAAACGGCGAGCGATTGGCACACGTTATATAACTAAAATTTGGACAGCATTGCATTCGAGCATTTGATTTAACTATGCATTAGACTCTTATGTTTATTATTATTATACAAAATACGATTAATGCTAATTTCTTTGTGAAAAAAATAAAACAAGTTTATTATGTAGCAAAAAGCAAACGTTTTATTTCTCAATTCGACCCATTCGATTGGAACTCCTTCACACCAAAATGCACACACACACACATAGTTTCAACTAATTGGCTTCAATGGAAGGCTGCGATAACTACAAATCTGAAATCAAAATTGATATTAATACGCCATGCAATTAAGAGCATAGCATTACATTGAAAATAAAAATAGATAAATAATATACACCTACCATAACCTATAGCCCTTCCAAAACCACAGAAAATGGCACAACCAAAAGTGAGCGTAAAGTTCGAGGCATTTTATACGGCGCATTTTTTATATATGAACAGTCTAGCTGTCTATATGATATGTATACCCAAAAAATGATCGACTTTTATAATGAGCCAGTAAGTAAACAAGACATATTTTTTTATCAGCCTTGGCAAGCTAAACTTTTACCAGGCCGTAAATTTTAACAAAATTATACATACTTAAAGAGAAGAATACCAAACCTTATGCCCAAAGTCCTAAACCAAGTCGAAGCAACAGCAAAATCCATACCATACCATTTTCAACTAGTAGAATTTTTCCAAATTGTAGAAATGTAAACCTTTATATAAATATATAGATTTGTAATTGACTCAAGTTGGGGTAGACATATTTCTATACGATATAAATAGACACCATAAACTCCTAAGTTGGTCGTTCCTTATAGCACGACTTAAAAGATGAACTGGATACAGTAGAAAAACTCATGTAGAAAAGCAGCAGAACGCGTAAAACAAACTTAAAGTAAAAACAAATATAGTTAAACTGTATATAGGGAATACCAGGCAGGCAAACAACTTCAACTGAAATCTCTAGGCTTAGGTAAGTGGAGGGTCTTACTATAAAGAACAACTCAATTCGAAGAATTAATTTTCAAACTGGTTATCAAATATATACATTTGGTATTTGAATTCTCAAAGTAATTCCTTTAGATTTCGATCGTCCACTTCACTTTGACGCAGTTAAGAAGCCCGCTATTGACCAATGCTTGTACTCCATTGTATTTTGAAAGCCTATCCCCAACTAAGCCACACAGAAAAGCAGAAATAAAAGAACTTCAATTCAATTAAGAATGATATTAAAAGAGAAAAATAAAAGCATAAAAACTTATTAGCCACATATGTACGAACGACGGATGAACATAACTAATAAAAACAAACTTGTAACTAAATACTTCTACATATTGAATAAAAAGAATGATATTAAAAGCGGAACTCGTGCCAATTCTCTTTAGGTAAAGCTTTTTCTAAATGCTTTTTATAGAGATTACAACACAGGTTTCTTCTTATTGGGCACAATACGATTTTTAATTCGTTGATTCCATATTTTTAAGGTCTTGAGTCGAAGTACACACTTTTTGTTTGTTATAACCTGATGCAATAAGGGATTTTTAAATTAACTTTTTTTAATATTTTGATTGACTTATGACCTAAGCCAGTAAAGGTAAATGTTTAGAATATCTACCTGAAGCCGGCCGAATCTAAAACGATTTGTTAGATACAAATGTTGGTATCAGATCTTTCGTATGTGAAAGGTGTAATCGTTACAAATTTTTTTTCCTCGATACGAGATGTTTTTATTTCATTAAGGATTTGTGGCAAAAAAAAATTATAGTATAATACATTTTCTTCTTGCTTAAATGTCAATTGATTAGAAATTTTCAAATGAGGTTAAAGGATTTAGAAATGATAATTTTGGATCACTTATTTTGACACAGTGGCCGCGTAGTTTTTCACTTTTTCCGTCATTTCCTTTTGTTCCTCGTCGCTGGCGAATGAATGGTGCACTGCTTCCAAAGTCAGATCAATGCATTGTTTTTGGGTTAGTCCAAAGGTTTGCGCAGCCAACAGGAACTCCTGCGTCAAGGTGGTGTCAAATACTCCGCTGTCATCTGTGCAAACAACTTTTGGTGCCTCCGCCGCCATGATCCTTTTTATGTGATGCTCCTCCAAATTGGGCACTGTTCCCGTTTTAACATTACTGGTGAGACAGCATTCGATGGCTATATTTCGCTGTTTAAGCTGTTCTATTTCCGCTGGTGCCAAAAAAGTGCCATGTCCACAGCGGGACATTCCGAACTGCAGCATTTCCTTGACCTCCGCAGGATTATCGATCTCCGCACAATGCAAAGCTAGTTTTAGGCCCTTTTCACGAGCCAGGGCAAGAATAGGAGTAAAATCGGAGAACCTTCCATGTGCTGGATTACCGCTTAAATCGATACCTAGGATAAGATCTGGATGGGATTGGGATAGCTCCACAGCCAGGGAAATGGTCTCATCAGCCACTGCTACCGGTTCCGCTCGGTTAATGGAGGGAAGAAGCTTGACTCTGATGTCCGGATACTTTTCCTTCGCCTCGCCAATCGCATCAATTACGATCTGCAAGTAATCCCTGCGGGAATAGTTATCGTTCTCCCTGGGAGTGGTCCTCAGTTCCACATACTGCACATTATCCTTGGCAAAATCCCGCACCGCCAGCTCCGTGGCAAATCGCAGACCCTCCTTTGTAGAGGTTAGCTGGTGCACAAATGCAAACGTCTTGAAGCCGGCATCCAAATTTCTTTCAAACTGATTGAAGCCAGCGCAGAGCTCCAAAAATTCCTTGGAGGTGGATCCATACAATAGCTCGCCAAGATCCCGCAAACTTTCGATGCCCAGGGAGCCGTTGAGGTGAGCGTGAAGCTCTACTTTCGGAAGTCCTTTAAGAAATTTTTCCATTTTTAATGAAAACAATTATAATAACATTGATCATGCGGTGTGCCATCAGTGTTGGGAACTCTTTAAATTAGAATTATTTTTTATCACCTAATTATTCCAATATACAAAATTAAACATTTTGTTATCAATTGTGTGTTTTTTTTTTGTCATGTTTTAATGGAATTTAAGAATAAAAGTAATTTTTGTATTTGATTTTTTGAAAAACCAGCTAGATTTAACGGAAAAGTAGCTGACCCTCCAACACTTTGAGGATGCTATCGCCCTCAGCTGAGCCAACAATCGATAACACCGAACTCTCCTCTAGCCTGGCAACCCTGGCGAGGAAAGCAAAGAAGAAGCACAGTTTGTAAATATAGATTTTCTCTGCAAATTTTCCTGGATACTCCTCCACCATGTCGGATGCCCACTTGGAAGCACCGCCCTCGGTGCGACTGACAAACGATGACTTCCGCAAGCTGCTGGCCACGCCCCGAGCTCCGCCCCCGGGCTCTGGAACAAGCAGCACTTCCGGCGGAGGATCTCTGGCCACGGCGACCTTTGCCACGCCCTCCACCGCCCCCGGAGCTGCAGGATCGAGTGGTGAAAAGAAGAAGGGTCAGAGCAGCAGCGAGCGGAACGATCTGCGGCGCAAGAAGAAGAACTTCTATGCGGCGCTCAAGAAGCAGGAGGATGTGAAGCTCCTGGAGCTGTCGGAGAAGTACAGGGACCGAGCTCGCGAGAGACGAGATGGCGCCAATCCGGATTACGTGAACGTGAGCACGCCGGGCCATGGAAGCAGCACGAATGCCTACCGAGCCGTAGCTCCGGATATGAAATCCGGAATCGATGCGCAGGAGCGGCGGCGGCGAATCATTCAGGAGTCCAAGTTCTTGGGCGGTGACATCCAGCATACGCATTTGGTGAAGGGTCTCGACTACGCCCTCCTGCAGAAAGTGCGTTCCGAGCTGCACTCCAAGGAGGCCGAGGAGGAGGAGATAGCCGCCGCCGTGGCCCGGGAAAAGCTGGCCGAAGCAGCGGCCGCCGCCGAGCAGCTGGAGGCAGAGCGTCGGGAGTCCGAGGACATCAATGCCATCAACGGGGCACTGGCCCGCAATATTTACAACCTGGTGCAGGCACGCCGGTCGAAGGAGGTTCCCCGCAACGAGCTCTTTGCCCCGGGACGCATGGCCTATGTCATCGATCTGGACGATGAGCTGGGCGAATCGGATATTCCGACCACCCTGAAGCGCTCCAAGTTCGAGGTGCCGGTGGCACGGGAGGATGTGGCTACGCTGACCACCAACGACATTGTGATCAACAAGCTGTCGCAAATCCTCAGCTACCTACGTGCCGGCGGTCGCAACAAGAAGAACAAGAAGCGCGACAAGGACAAGCCGCTGTTCTACGAAAAGGAGGTGGAGAACATACGGGGATCGTCTGGCGGTGGTGCCACCAGTCGTCACGCCACCTCATCTTCCTCCTCCTCCAACAAGGAGGGCAAATCGGCTCCCTTGGGCGACAGCATTTACGATGACGTTGGAGATTATCAACCCACTGCCACGCGAGGAGATCGAAACCGCCAGGAGGCCGGCAAACCAACTACCTCCTACTTTGGCGATGGTCCGCCCGATGCGGCAGAGGAGCCCATCATCTCCAGCATTCCCCCACCACCCAAGATATCAAAGGCCATGGCCTCACGCTTCGCCGAACCCGAGGGCTATGCCGAGTGCTATCCGGGCCTGGAGGAGATGAACGACGCCATCGATGACTCCGACGATGAGGTGGACTACACCAAGATGGATCTGGGCAACAAGAAGGGGCCCATCGGGCGCTGGGACTTTGACACGCAGGAGGAATACTCGGACTACATGAGCACCAAGGAGGCGCTGCCCAAGGCCGCCTTCCAGTACGGCGTCAAGATGCAGGACGGTCGCAAGACGCGCAAGAACAAGACGGAGAAGAACGAGAAGGCCGAGCTGGACAGGGAGTGGCAGAAGATCCAGGTAAGCAGAAGGGATCAACTACACTGGTCGGCATAATTATTTTGAATGTACAGTAGAGTCCTGCATGAGTGTACTTGGAAGTAAATTTATAAAATCAGTTAACTTGGATCACTTTTTTCATTTTATTTTTTCATAAGGAAAAACAAGTGATTTAATATAAAATAAATATATATAAAATAATTTCGAATCAACTAAATAATTTGCTTAGTAATTTTATCACTCCCACTCACTTTTATTCTGTGCTTGTATCACTTGTTTTTTTTTTACGAGTGATCAAGTGAAACAAGTGATCCAAGTTAACTCACTTGAACTCACTCACTCTATTTTCAAAAAATTGACTTGTTTGTCAATTCAAGTGTACTCATGCAGGACTCTAATGTACAGTACTCACATTTTAAACTTTTAATATAAACTTTTGGCACCTATAGAAAGAGCACTTCAATTCCGTTTAAATGATACAAAAATGTTTTTAACCCATTAAGCACCCTTTGAAAAGTTAGGACATTTTTTGAAAGTCAAATTTTCACCCTTTTTTCTGGGCTTAAACAAAAATGTTTTGATGCAAAGTTTTTCCCCAATCAAAATTAATAATAATTGCAAATTTCAAAATATTTTTCTTTGTATTTTTTATGATTTTTTGAATGGAACGATCTCAGTAAAATTTTGTATAAAATGGAGGAAAAAGCGTCTAAAATTTTAATTTTCAGCTATTTTTAAAAAATTATAAAAATATAAATAAAAAATATTTTTGTTTTAAGACCCAGGAAAAAGTTTAAAATTTGACCTTCACAATAAATTGTCTAGTTTTCTAACTTTTCAAAGGGTGCCTAATGGGTTAAGAACATTGTTGTGTCATTTAAACGATATTGAAGTGCTCTCTCTATAGGTGCCAAAATGATTTTATTACAAGTTCAAAATATGAGTAGATTTAACTTTAAAATCTGTCAAAATAATTATGCCGACCAGTGTAATTAATCAGCAAACAATTTAACACTATATTTTATCCCTCCAGACAATCATTCAAAAGCGAAAGCTGCCCAAGGATGGTGGAGGTGGCGGTGGTGGTGGCGACGAACCCGAATACAAATCCGCCAAGTACTAGAAAGTCTTGAAACATTATTCTATATTTGTAATGTAATTCTGTAAAACATTAAATATAAGTATGCGCGTACTTGTATTATTCTTACATACTCTCAAATATATGTTTTAGCAACGTTATCACTAGTTTAACTGCTACTGGATTGGGGTTCTTAGGGAGGTTCTTAGGGGGCTTGGCAGGTTGACTTACAGACTATGTGCGGCATTAGCGCTGGTAGTGGGATTCAGAACTGTAAGACGCCAGCTTTAATTGCATCGAGTAAGGCCAAATTTGTGGGAAGTTTAAAGTGGGTTCGACAATCAAATAAAATCGGTTTATCATTTGGTTGCATTGCGCCTACAGTCCCGAAACGCACTGCGTGTGATTCTCAGTTGCTGTGCGAGTTGGATCTACTTAAGCTGGATGGGTGCACCTAGTGCTGCTCTCTAACTTGCAACTCCTCCTGCGTACTTAAATATATGACACTGATTAAATGTAATTACCATCGCGGGAATGCTAATCTTAATCACTACGCGGCTACGTGTAAAAAGGGGGGAGTTGGAGAGGATGGCTGCCATCTGACTTCGGAAAAACCGAAGAATTGCCCTTTACATTGCCCAATGTGGTTTGCAAAACGGGAAAAACGAGGACGAAAAAAATACAACACCGAAATATACAGAATTCCTTTTTCTATGCTTTAAATATTGCTACATTTTTCAGTTAATTTTAACACTCTTAGAGATACTGAAACCATCACAATGATTGTTCTTCGAAAAAGAAGAGATGTTTGAGATTCTCAGAAACTTTAGCTGGATTTAATTAAACAAATAGAAAACAATCTCAAACTAGTTACCTTAAATAAATTTATAAGCAACTAGAAAGGAGAACAACAAATGGGCTGGTCAGATAGCGAGCTTGAGAATATTTGCATATTTCGGATGCCGCCAAACATCCTCATCAGTGACCTTTGAGAAGCAAACCCCAATCGGAAAAATCGGAAAATGGAGCCTAACTTTCAACAACCTAACCACACACAATGCAAAGGGCTCGACGACTCTCTTTGGCTTGCATTCCGGCGAAGTACTAGGGATTCATGGTCTGAGGATCGGATCATAGAAAGAGTGCTGTTCTAGTGCATATGATTAAGATTTATGGGGCCTCCTCCAGCTGCACGTCGTTGCTCAGTCGTGGTGCCAGCTCCTCGCGACTGTCGTCGAGTTGCGACGCCGTCGCTCCACCAGCTTGATGTCCCTGACGCACAGGTCGTGCTTGGAGTTGCTCGCAAAGCGGATGACCGACTGAGTGCTGACCTGGGGCACATGACGCAGATCCAGCCAGATGAGCCCGTCGCACTTGGCCAGGTGCTCCAGAGCGTTCTCAGACACGAGGCGGCAGGCGCTCAAATTCAGCTCCGTGAGACGGGCAATGGCCGTGGTGGAGGTTCCAATCTGCGCCACGCCCGCATCCGTGATTCGTTGGCAGGAGGAGAGATCCAGGTGCCGCAAGTACGGCAGCGACTGCGTGATGTAGCGCACAGCCACGTCGGAGATGTCCGTGCCCGCCAGCTTCAGCACTTTGAGATCCCTTAGCCGCGTCTTCGAGTCACTCAAGCCGGGTCGTGAATCCTTGGGCGGCGATAGGATATCCCTGACGGCAGCATCGTTCAATCCCCTCACAAAGCTGAGATCCAGCGTTTGGAGCGGCGGACAGAGGCAGGTGTGCAGCGCCAGCACTGCCTGGATGGGGCAGTTCTGCAGCGAGAGATTCTTGAGAGCCGGCAGGCGGGCCACCAGCCACGCCAGCTGCCGCTTGGCAATCTGTGTCCAGTCCAGAATCAAATGCTCCGGCTGCCGACGCACAATCGCGGTCAAAAGCGATGCTGACATCTTGTGCTCCGAGCAATTCATTTTCTTCCACAAATCGGGATCAACGGCCGCATTGGACCACACCTTGCACACCGAACAGCAGGTGACCAGCGTGTCCTGCGGCAGATATCGAAAAATGATCTTCAGCACGGTGGGATCCAATGCCAGATTTTGAGCGGAGCTGTGATTAGCCAGCCCATTCGATCCGCTGAGTCCACCATTATTGGTTCCTCGCTCGCCGTTTCCGCCGCCACTGGAGTTAACACCGCTTTGGTTGCTCCCGTTGCTGATTCCATTGGTGGCGGATGCACTGCCTCCGTTGCCACTGGACGACGAGGAGCCGGTTCCACTGGCCGGACGCACCACATACTGCGGCTTCTTGAGCACTCGCGTCGACGAGTTCAGCATTTGCTGGGCCAGCTGCGATCGAATCGAGTTCTTCTTGCGGGAGCCACCTCCTCCTCCGCCGCCACTGCCGCTCCACTGATTGGTGGACACATTGGCGGTTCCTGCTCCACCTGCGCCTCCCTCTGCCGAGGAGCCGCACGGGGCATCGTTGCTCTCGTGCATGCTGCTACTAACGCTGGTTCCATCGTCGCTCTTGCGCCGCTTCCCCACTTTGGACTCCCCGGCATTGGGTGAGATTCCGGGCGACGGGGTGTCGCAGCTGTTGTTACGCTCCGTCTTAACCTCCAGCTGGTGGTGGCGCTTCATGCCGTGCTTCCAGTGCGTCATGTGGCCGCTGGCAGTGCCCGTTTCCATTTCCGATTCACTGGTGAAGACAAAGTCATTGTACTGACCCACCGGGGGCAGCAGCAGGGGAGTTCCCTCCGAGTGGCCTTCGTTAGCACCTCCCGGTCCGTGCGAAACGGAAACACGTCTCACTTCGGAGGACTTCTGACGGGCTCTGAAGTGACGGGGCTAAAGAAAAGATAACCGAAAGATTAGTAAGTTAAAATGAGAGAGAACGCTATAGTCGCGACTATCTAATACCCGTTACTCGGCTAAAGAGAGTGCAAGGGAGATGGATATATAACTTTTTTTGATTGCGTATAACTTTTTATTCAATGGCCCGATTTGAAAAATGTCTTCTACATTTCGATAGGTATAAATATACAACAAAATTGCATTTATTCTTCTCGGAAATCTTAAAGATATGGGCGCCAGACACATTTTAAAATCGTTAGTGGGCGATTGTGGGCGTTAGAGGGGGCGTGGCGCTCTGCTGAAATAAACTTGCGCTGCGTAGGAAGCCCAAGAATATGTGTGGAAAATCTCAATCTACTTGCTTTTGTAGTTTCCGAGATCTCAGCGTTCATACGGACGGACAGACAGACAGACAGACGGATAGACGTACATGGCTATATCGACTCGGCTAGTGACTCTACGAGTTACGGGTATAAAAATGCATTATTCCCAGCACTCACCTTGTAATCATAATTCTTGCCTGATCGACAGCAGCTGGGACACTCCCAACTATTCGGCAGATCCTCATTCACAATACCCTTGGCATCCGCCGCATCCTCTGTGCCGTCCAACTGCGAGAGTGCGCAATCGGGGTGGGCGATTTCGTAGCATACGGAGCACTCCATCAGCGCCGATGGCCCGTCGGCGGAGGCCAGTTGCTTGGTCTGTGGCGAGACCGGCGTCTGTCGCCAGCCATCCAGGTGACAGTAGACACACTGCGCCGTGACCGGCAGCATGGGCGACAGGCACTGGCGCATCATGCACGTCTGCTTGGCCCTGCCGGGTCCTCCGAACTTGACCATGTCCATGCAGAAGGGACAGGTGCCGCAGTCGGAGCGCTGGCAGGCGGCACAGTTCTTACAGCGCGTCCTCCGCCGTCGCGGTTGTCCGGTGCCAGTCAGATTGGGCGACAGTTTGGCATTACCATCTCCTGGCGAGTGGCAATTGTCCATGTTGAGAATTCCTCCTCCTCCTCCTCCTGCTTCACTGTAGCCGGAGCTCGTGGCAATGACACTGATGGCGCCACCTCCTCCGGGACCAGATGCCATTCCTCCCACGCCAGTAGGACTCCCCACGACTGGGGATCCTCCTCCAACGGAGCTTCCCAATCCGCCGGCTGTACTGCTACTGCTAGCGGCAGCTGCCACCAATGCGGTGGCCAAATGCATCTTCTTGGGTGGGCGATACTTGAGCGTATCGGTGGGCAGGACAAAGGTGGCCTCTGTAAAGTAAATATTAATTATTCTGTGCAATCTTAACTGCCATTAAATAACCCACCTGGCTGCGTTCCGTTTCCGCCGACTGCTGCTCCACTGCCGTTCTCCAGCTGCTCCTTCTTCATCACTCCATTGCTGTACTCGATCCCTGGCCCCATTCCCATGGCAGAACCCACTCCTGTCGACTGAGATGTATCTGACTCGGCATCCCTGGCTCGGCCCGCCTCCAATTGCTGTTGCTCCCGTATAACCTCCGCGTTCTTTCGCGCTATTTCCTGTTTTATCTCCTGCTTCACCCGTGTGCGATCGTACAGCAAGAAGGGCGGCTGCGATCCAGGTGGGGATTTCAACACCGAAACGCCTGTGATGGCCAGATCCTGCTGATCCTTGCAGTGACGCTCCACCAGCGATCGAACGTCCTTGATCAGCGCCACGGGATCCAGGACCAAACTGGGCACGTTCTTCTTCTGCGGCGGCAGATCGTACAGATACATCACGATCTCCTTCAGCCCGAAGAGCTCGTGGTGCGTGAGGTGGGTGTGCGGACGGGCGGCCATTTCCTCCTCGCTCAACGAGGCCTCGCCCTCCAGGTGCGAGTGGCCCAGCAGCGTGTGGACATAGCGAGCCAGGACGTACCAGAGCATCTCGGTGAAGAAGGGATATCGGAACTTCTGGGGCACCTTCGTGCTATCCTCCACACTGGCCGTTTTCAGTTGTTTAACTATGCCGAAGGAGTGCAGGAAGTTTCCGCCAAATACGAGGGACTGAGTGGGCGTGTAGACTGCATGAATCCATCCCGTGGGTATGAAGAAGGTGTTTCCTGCCGTCAAATAGACCCTGGCACACTTTTCCACTGTGTCGCCAAAGAAAACATCCGCCTGTTTCCCGGAGAGAACCCACTTTTCGTACAACTGAAGATTGCGATCTGTGGGTGGAATCAGCCAGAACACCTTGCTCCCTCGCAGGATGTGATACCAAACGGATGTGCCGCCAAAGTCAATGTGGAAATCCGTGTAGCAGTTCTTCACCGACATGAGGCAGTACTTCTGCACCTTCGGGTACATCATGCCGCCCAGCAGGTTGGTGCCCTCCCGCTGGGCGTCCTTCAGCTGCTTGGGCCACACCACGTCCACCCAGTCGATCTGGCGCACGATCTCCGGACTCTGGACGAACCTGTCCAGTCGCGTGTGCGAGAACTCCAGCGAGATCACGTTGAGCAGGCGGTCCTTCTGCGGATTGTCGTAGTACTGCTGCCACTCCTTCATGGTCATCTGCAGGTTCTTCTGCGTGTTCACGTCCATGACATCAAGGAGTCTCCTGGATCCCACGCACAGTCGCACATCGTTCACTGTGAACTCCTGAGGATCGGGCATTCGTAGGCCCAGTCCCGCCTTGTCCCGGAACAACAGGGGGATGTTGAAGCCGTGCTGTTGTAGGAATCTGTGTGGATCAGGTGAAAATCGTAAAGTTAGGAGGTCTAATCACTGTAAACGGCAGTACACTTAGGGAAAAAGCGCACTTATGTCTCCAATCATAACGAATCATACACCAATCACAATAAATCATACACCCAATTAAAATAAATCACGAAAAAATTAATTTTGAAAATATGAGCTGTCGAGGATGGTGTAGATGAATATCCTCCTTAGTATGGTTCCATTTTTGAATAAATCCTATCTTTAAAAATCCTTTTTTTTGGATTTTTGTGTTATTTTCTAAAGGAAAATGTTTGTTCCCTTCTTTGCGTGGAGTTGTGTTAAACAGTTTGAATTTTTCAATATCTTTAAAACGACTAAACTTACAGGCATTCGTTTTATGTAGTTGCGAATAAATTTGGAAATCCTACACACATAAAAGTGGAGAACAGAAAAGTGACAAGATCAAATGTTCTTCAATTTGAGATCTTGAAATCAAGACGAAAGTACTCTCAGGTTTGTTTATCAAGATCATGCATCCACATGCAGGGGGGGGGTATTCGGGCGAAAAATCTCCCAACTCGGGTGAAATGTACAAGGAAATGTGATATTAGAAAATAATGCAAGAACATTTTTTTATGAAATTTCCACTTCAGATAAAGCGATCTTTTAAAAAAGTTGACTTTTGGATTGAATTAATCTTGGTTCACTTTTAAGATCGAGAGAACGGTTTTCATGAACCCGGCATGAAGCTTACATATTTAGCCGATGATGGCAGTAAGTAGTCAAAAATCTGTTAACAAATCTTTTGTAAGTTAAAGTTCACCAGGACGATAAGTGTTTTCGTTTGGTACGAGAAAAGTTCATATAAAAAAGAATGTTTTTAACGATCAAAATAAATATGAACATAAATAAAAACCTATACGCTAAGCCAATCAATTTCGCTACAACGATCCCATTCTAGTTGTTTTACTACATCCGTCGTTTAATGTAGGTCATAAAACAAAGCGAAACATGTCCGTTATCCGCAAAACGATAATCACCGTCGATTAGCAAGCGATAAATAGTGCAAAAGCTTGAGATACTTACGCCACTGTGAGATCGCATCCGCGCATCTCGCGCACCATTCCCGCCTGTGCGAACTTTGAAGATTCGAGCTTCTCGGCGACGCTGAATCCGCGCGTCCCCTCGCCATCCTCGTCGCCCAGCGACCATTCCTCCAGGTAGAGCTTCCGCTGCTTCCTCTCGCGCTGCAAAGAGAGAGAGAAGAGAGTCAGGTTGAGTGACTGCTAGAAAGCCTAAAAATATACCGCCTCTGCCAGCGACTCTGCTGACGCCATCACAATGATTAACTTGCTCCTCTCTTCACCACAGTGATGTGCTCTCCGGGCTCACCCGCTCACTCTCCCAGCGACCATCGCCTTCACTTTCTCCGGTCGCTCGGAGGACTCTCTCGCGCCTCTAAATTTTCGTTTTCATTTGCTCGCCGATGGGGATGCCAGTGTTTTGAAAACTATCGTATACTTTTGAAAAGGCTTTGTTTTGAAACACTATTTTTTTCACAACTCGAAGAAGTATTACAATATCACATTTTGAATTACATTCAATTGAGTATTAAGAAGTATTGTAATTGAAATTTCTTTAAAAATGTTTGAACACTTTAAATCTGATTTATGAAATCATTGATTCATTTTAAATTAAAATAAATATATTTAACATTATGAACACGAGAGCTTATTTTGATTGATTTATCAATCACCCGGTTGTTCCAAATGGGTTCAAACAAGGTGGGTCTCAGACTCACTATCGGATAACACTAACGAATGTAATTAGAGAGGGAACCAACAGAGAGAGAGAAAAACAGAGAGCCAAGCGAATCAAGAGAGAGCTACTAAGTGGGAGAACTTGGGAAGGCTGGCAAGCAAAAATCTATTTAAGCAACATGCTAAGCTCACTTTTTTTCACTCGACCAATTTTCAGCAGCGCTGCTAGTGCGCTTTAGTCCCGTAGAAAAGTAGAAATATCACGAGTATTTTTGGGATACTCGAAAACTACGAAAGTAATGTAGTTGTCTTAGAATCGAAATGTTCACATTTCTGACAACCGTTGATGAGTTGTGACCCAAAAGCTTTCCGTTATCCATTAGATTCGGATTTCATCCAAAAGTTTCAAGGCATTTTCGAAGCAATTATCGCATGGTAACCGTTTTGCGGTTTCGCCATGTTCCCAGCCAATCACGCCTTTGTGATGTTTAAATGCGTAAATACAGCTATGATTTATGTAGTAATATTAAAATAATGGCTCTTACTCTGTATATATTAGGTTTTAATCACTTATATTATTAATTGTTTCTAAAAACCCCCGGATCTGTTTGTTTCTAAATCTTATCACCTCACAATTTAGGTAATCACAGCAATGTGGTCTTAAAACATTTTCAAGCTTCTCTTATTTGTCTATTTATAGTTTTGGTAAGGTAGGCCTTTTTTAATCAGCCCGGCTAGGGGATGGATGGCAACACTGGTTGGCAAAGGGCAACGGGATTCGAGTTGTCCACCACGACCTGCTTCTCTCTTTCCCTCCCGCTTCCTCCTTTCGTTCACTATAGCTGTCTCCCTTCAGTGCGCATGCACTTTGCATGCGAATGCTTTGTTATTTTGCACTGGTGGTGGTGCATCGCCGGCAGAGAGGCAAAGAATCTGAGAGATTGGACTGAGAGATTCGTATCGCTGAGATGCGATGAGATGAGAGACTGTTGCTCCAAGGAGCGGAGAAGGAACAACAAATACGGAATACGAAATACAAAATACGAAAAACGAAATGCATTGCCATGTCTCCTGCTTTGAGTTTATTTTGGCCGCTGCAAGTGGGGTGGTAGGGGGAGGGGGGCTGGGCTGCTCAGGGGGCGGTAGCGGCGTGCTTGCAACGAAAAATCTATAAACATGGATGCGCCTGCCCTCGTTTGTGTTTGTACTTGGTATCCGCTGGTATCCGCGAGCGTGAGTGTGTCTGTGTGGCATATCCTTTTTAAGCGGCTTGCCCCACAGAAATGCTGAAACTTGTTTGGCATGTTCTAAACGATTTTTAGTGACTTTTCATTGTGGCCACGCTGTTGCTGCTGCGCGGCTGTGGCTGTTGTTACTGTTTTATTTTTTTCTTGGCCGAAAAGCTTGTTTTGGTGTCTGGCCGATTAACAATCGGCAGGTAGGAGAGGAAGCAACAACGACGAAGACGGCCGTAAGCACACAGAAAAAAAGATATTTACATTTCTCGTGAATAAAGGTAAATTGAAATGAGTTCGTCACTTGCTGACGTAAGATCATTTCTTGGGGTATATATTTGTAACTATTGTAACTATACCATTTGGCATTTCAAACTATTAATTATAATAGATTTTTCTTCCTGTGTAAGCGAGGAAGCAATGACAACAACAACGACAGCCGTAACCACATAAAAAGTTGCGTGTAAGACAGAAAACCAAAATCCAAATCCAGTCAAGTGGTTTCGTATTCTTGTTGTGGTGGCGTCACCTTCGCCCCACCACACCACCCATTCCCCCGCCCATCGGCTGGCCACCTGGGTACCCTAATGTATTCTATTTAAGGTGCTAATTGCGGACCCTTATCTGCCATGTGCTCCGGCTTGCTCCTCCATCCGCTAGCTCCCTCTCTTTCTCCGCGTTAGTCACCATAATGAGACCTCTCCCTTCCACCTCTCCATCCAGCAATCCATACATTTTTAATGGGCGTTCGCTCCTCTCCGCCTGCGTGCCACTTCAATATGCATAGATAGACAAGTCGGTGGGAACTTAAGGAGACTAGCGACTGGCCGCATACCCTGCATGGCGATTTAATTACTATTCTGTGCCGGTAGATAATGTCAAGGTTGGCTTAGATTGTGCTTTTGAAATGATAGGACGAATATAAGATACACTTTCCTTTATCACTTCTGCAATTATTTTAAATTGCAATGATGATAAAAAAAAAAAGTTTATAATAAAAATACCAGGTCAAGGTCTGAAAGGTTTAGTATGAGTTTAAAAGTTGTTGAGAAGTCATAGAAAGAACATACACCACCCTACATGTTTCTTTATTTATTAACTTTTTTTTTTGACAGGCTTCTAAAACAATTGGTTGCACTTTGAGCTCAATCTTGAATATTAAACTACCGCCTTTCATATAGTTTTTATGCACATACTTTCTGGCCAGTAGGTCAAACCAACATATGCATACCCTTTATAAGAAGGGTATAAATGCGTGTAGCCGGAGGGGAGCGAGATTCCGTCGACAAGTGCCGGGCGGGAATTCTTCGTCACCGCTCGAAGCGAACGGAAAGCGACGAGCGCCAGCAGCTGCTGATCCAATTTTGGTGCTAATCAAATGCGCAGGCCGAGGGAACTGTGAACGTGAACTTTGCAAGTTGGCCAACGATATGAAATCAGGGAGGCACCCCCTTAAAGCAAAGCCACCTAGCCGTTACCCACGCCCACGTATCACTTTGCTACACAGAAGAAAATATGTTTAGGAAAAGTCCAGGTTCGAATATAGGTGCTAGTTAGTTTCTTAAGCTTAGTAAATAACATTTTTATTTCTTCGATATAATATAAAATTTTTTACAAATTAAACTTTTCTCTCCCGACATTGTCACTTAACGTGCAAAGAAAAAGAGATCCGGTTCAATAGGTTTGTTTTTCTGTGTAGACCAGTGTCAACGTCAGCATTACTCCCGTCTCGCTCCCCCTCCCCCTCTGTATGTAAATATGTTGGGCAACAACAACGCAACAATGCCCTGTTATCTACGATATGGAATAGAAACCGAAGCAGAAACACACCACACACAAACCCACCAGCCGAGCACCCTCACTCACACACACACATGCCAATGGCAAATTGAAAACGAAATGCGAGGCAAACAACAACAATGGCAATAATAGCGAGAAGAAGAGAATAACAAACAGCGAATATGGCAAATAAAGCTCATTGCTTTCGGTCATGCGGCCTCAGTTGAGCTCCAATGCTCAACGGGCGCAAAGGAAAATGGAAAAGGCAGAAAATATACGAAAAGCTGAGGAGGCGGAGGTGGGGGCGGGGCAATTGGGTGAGCATGCATTTTATTTCCACCGATTAATGATGAGTTTTACGTTTGCTTCCACAACCGATTTGCTATCTCTTGCTCGCACTCTTTGCTGATCATCTACTTATTAGGGCTCGGCGGGCTTATCAATCACGGTTACAGGTGTATTTCGGTATGGTGAACCAGAATCAGGGGGGGTTAACTAATTTATTTAGCTAATAAACCTTATAAATCGAGTTTCCTTAAAAAAAAAGCTTGCACAATTCAAACATCTGGTAAGACGAAATTAGAGTTTAAATACTTCGAGTTACAAAATTTCGGTTATACTAACTTCGACTTATGGTAGTTCACTGTATTTTCAAAAACTCAACTTTGACTTTCACAGTTGCACTGGGCGACAGGAAATGCAACTTAGGGAGGCACCACCGTAGGTCGTCGTGGCTTTATCGGTTATTGATAGGGGGTGAACCCAGCGGAAGGGGGAGGAACAAAAGTGGGGGCAGTACTCACCAGTTGACGCCGCTGCACGCCTTTTGCATTTGGACTGGGATTGCCGTTGTTGCCGCTGTTGTTGCCGCCGCTGCTGTTGTTGTTGCTGTTGCTCTTGGCAGGCGACGACCCCGTTTCAACGGCGGTGGACATCGCTGCCTCTTATTATTTCCCCGTTTTATTGTTGTACTGCTGTTGCTGCTCGTTTCGGTTCCACTCGACGGACTCTATTTGGCCAGGTTCAACTGGAAAATCACGGAAAATCGAAGATGAGGCTGATGCGTCAGACGTTTAGTGGCGTTTTTTCAAGCAGTTTGCAGTCCGCCGCCGTCGCCGCACCAGCAAACTAATTACGCTTATTACTTCACACAAATTGAACGGCCAGCGCACGCACACACACCCACACAAGCGGACCGACACGCGACGCAGAGCAGCGCTGGGGCACAAGCTCACTCACACACGGTTGGTCGACGAATGAGCGGACAAACGGAGGAGCAATGCAAACGAGCGAGCGAGGGAGGGAGCCTTGGAGCCCAAGAAACCCACCAGCCAGAAGCAGAAGCCGAAGCCCAGCCGGCAAACTCACCACGCGCGGCAAGTACAGAGGCTCGCCGTCGCAGGCAGCCCCCCACCACGTGTGCCGCTGGGCGCCCCGGGGCTACGCCACTGCCCACCGCGAGGCGGGGGAGGAGGGGCGAACCGAGCCGCAGAGAGCGGAAAAACAAACGAGCGTGGTGAGTTCGGCGAGGCGTGCTCTCGGGATGCTCGGGCTCTCTCCTCCGTGCATCGGTCAACGTGATGTTTTGCCATTCAACACACAAAAAACGCTCACTTATCACGCTCCACGTATATTCGCCACTTTCCCATGAACTTGTAATAAGAATTCTAAATTTGCACTTCGCCTCGTATCTAGTTTTTGTCAGATTTCCGCCGCCGCGGATGCGATTTCTGTGGTGGTGGCTCTGCCTTTCGCCCTGCTTTTGTTCTGACTCGGCTTCTCGTTCTCCGAATTACAATCTTTTCGCTTGCGCCATGGAGTAAATCTTAATTATAATTAATTTGGCCGTCTTCAAGAGGGCAGGGCAGTCGACCGAACACTCAAACTCAGCCGTTTGGCATCGCCAGCACACGCACACACTGGCCGAAATTCAAATTACCAAATTAACACCGCCTTCAGTGGGTTTTCGGGCGAATCACTCTCGGACGTACTCGAATTTTTCCCGTACGCGATTCGCTGAAAATTCTCCGGTCGGAGCGCAGCGATCCGACCTCTTTGCTATTTTTTTTCAGTATGACCGCAGCCGCAGCGTAGCGAAACGTTGCCTGTTTTTTCAGTGTGACCTAGGGATGTCAAAATATCAAAATATCGATATTTGTATCGCAATAATTTTTTCGGAGTTTGGTTTTTGTCTTCGCTGTTTTGGTCCAGTTAACATTGAGTGAAAGTTAACAGTGCGCAAGAACTGGAGTGGAAACAGATGCTAGTTTTTTTCAGTATGACCGCAGCCGGAGCCATTGCCTGTTTTAGGGATGTCAAAATATCAATATATCGATATTTATATCGCCATAACTTAAATTTATTTTTATCACAGACATCGGTGTTTGGTTTTTGTCTTCGCTGTTTTGGTCCAGTTAACATTGAGTGAAACCTCCACTGCAAATTTAACAGTTGAGAAAATACCAAATACCGAACTAGCACCGCGATTTTACTGATTACCGATAGATTTTCGATTTTAATTTATTTAAATATATCTTAATCCAATAAATAAAAATGCCTTGAAAAAATATAATAAAATTTGGAGGTTACATTTCTTATTTATTTAATTATACATACTGTATCTAGAAAAATTAAGAAAAACTAGTGTTTAGGTTGTCCCAATCAGTCCTTGCTGAATTCTATACAGTTCTAGTAGATTCTAATGGGAAAATCAAAATCACTGGCTATATTTACGCATTTGAACAAAGAATCAGAAAAAAAATGGTTTTCTTTATTTGCCAACTGAAAAAAGAAGCTTTGAGTTCATATTGTTGCCGGTTAAAGATATGTATTCGTACTGGTTAACAGAAAATTAAACAATAAAATATATTGACTTTCGGTCAGTCGTAAGAATTCAGCTTCTTGGATTCAATAAACTTGTTCTAACATCTTTTCAAGGGCTTATAAAATGATTTTAAAAAATTAAATAATATGAGCATATCTTCAAGTGTGACGCTTTTCTTGAGCTACACTTTCGATTTACGTCCGCCGTTGACTGTTCCTCGTAGGACCAATTGAGACAATGTTTACCTAGCCAACATTCCATAACTGAGCACTTGCATTCAATCACATACATCTATCTATTTTCAATAGTAATACAAAATAAGGAGGGGAGTATTCTTGCATGCTATCAACTGTGTTCTTACGGATACGGACATACAAATCTACACGTTTATGCTTATGCTTTAGGGTAATATGTATATATGTATATGGCTATTGCTACAGGTCCTCGTCCATGTGCTCTTGCTCAGACTTGTTAAGGTTCACGCTGCACGTGTTGTTGTTCTCGAAGAACTCCAGATCGTCATCGTAGTCGTCCAGCTCCTGGACAGTTCCTGGTGCCCCAGCCATGGGTGCAACAATTTGGGGCGCCACAATCTTGGGTCCCTGCATGGGGATCTGCAGCGGCGACGGCTGCCAGGGCACCAAGGCGGTGCAGGGACGTGGTATGGTCTTCATCAGCCACTCGGGTGGTATTACAGGTGGTGCGGAGCCGGGTCCCGATCCCGATGGCTTGAGGCCATCGCAGATCACAATCCGATTGGCGTTGCGCAGCTTCTGCTCCAGTTCCATGGCCGCCATTTGGTAGGCGGGATTGGGGTGGTGGGTCTTCCCGGTGCTCGTGGACGGTATGTCGTCCGTGGCCAGTCCGCCAGTGACGCTGGCCACGCTGTTGTTGTTGCTCCCGACGGCCGAGGCGGACACATTGATCTTGGGGTCCAGCGAGAGGCCGCTGAAGTGCTGGGTGATCCTCTCCTCGGTGATGAGCATTTTGGGCGGTCTGAAAAGGAGTGGGATTATCATTTTGCGATAGAGTTGTTATCCAGGGAATGTAGCCTACAGCACTGCGGTTGCCTGCTGCTCCGATTTCCGCTTGTGCTGCCACTTGACCAGGTCGTTCTCCGCCGCATTCCCAAAGCCGCTGCAGCTCCCGAATCCGAACTCCATTACTCCGCCCGGCGGCGGCGCATTGAAGGGGAAGGACTTCCGCTTGGTCTGGGGCTTCATCGCCAGTCTGTGGGCATCAGAGATTCGGCTCGGTGGGCGGAAGTTATGCAAAGGAATTGGGTAGGAATAGCGATGAATAGGTGGTTTTATTCTGCGACTTTTTGTTTTCCTTCTCACTGCAGAGTTGCCAGACAGCGGGGGCCAAAATATACCAAAATAGTTGCACCGTTGTACCGTTTTGCTGCTGAGCTTAAAAAGTGGTCGTTAGGTTTAAATTATAAACTTTTTAGGCTAATTACATTTTTTATTTTATATTGTATGTAATAAATCCTCGTTATTAGATTATGTTTTATAAGGTAAAATAAACTTTAAGAAATGCCAGTAATTTACAATGCACGAAATACAAAATAGTTGCCTAAAATGTTATGATTTTTGTTCATTAATTAAGAGCATAAACCTCTCACATTGTTGTAGTCTTCTTTTTTTTATACCATTAAAATCCCTCGACATTTGTAGCTTCCCTACCCTAGACATTTTCAATTTCGAAGTCAACTTCGAATCTTCTATAAGGCACTAAAAAATGCCTGGTTTTCGAGCATAAAAGGGGCAGCAGCCCGCCGGTTTCAAATATTTAAGTGCGACAAGTGCCAAAGCAAGTGCTACAATATAAATTCCTCAAAGAAAGAGTTGAAATAAAATTGCAAAACCGCAAAAGTGTATCAGTACAAAAGCTTAACGCTCTAATTAAAATATAAATAATATTCAGTTCATTAAACATTTTAAGTGATTACAAAAACCATTAAGTCTTCTTCAAAATGCGATTCACTAGGTGAGTTTTAAAGGAATTAACTAAAAAATTAAGAAATAATTGAATCAAAAATTAATTTAAAAACCAACCGTTGTTTTCTTATTAGTATTTTTACGTTTAAATATATTTTAAGTGATTTTTATACGCGTTTTATATTTAGTAGTTCAGTTAATATTTTTCGAGTAATACACCTACAAGGGGAATTTTAATCGTTTGGTGTCTAGGTATTTAGGCTTGGAATCAACATTTTCACAATAATTCAATTTGTTAATTAGAAAAGATACACTCAATTTTAAAGTAAAAATTCCACTCCTCATTGAAATGAGGGTGCAGAAGCATGCTAATGATTCAACGATCCCATTGGGCAGCCCACTCGCACTTTCCTCGGGTTATCTCTTTTCGAAAATAACATGTTTTTCAACCCAAAACGGGCGCAATCTTCGTCCGCGAACAACATTGTTAATGACGCCTGCATTGTTTTTCCTCCGGCTAAAAACAAAAATCGCCAGTTACCAGGCGATTGTGCATCGGTTCTATAACTTATGGCATAGGTAATGGGCGATCAGGGGGCTGCATCTAAAGGCTTATCAATGGGAGACGTTGGGAGGCCCCCTGGGGAGCAAATTGACGTCACCGGCGAACCGAATCTCATGTCATCTTTCAATCACCGAGTGCAGTAATCGGAAATCAGATTTCGTCATCCGTCGCGTCGGAGAAAAACAATCTCCTGGAAAATAACTCGTGTCGGAGATTGTAAAACAACAAATAATCCCAGCCTAAATCGCTAACCGATCATTCTTTTTATTTATTTAACTCAGATTGCATGATTAGTTGATTATACTTCAAAACGGAAAAACCTCTCAATATTTTTTAAAGAGTATTTTGAGTAATCTTCACAATTATTTTAAATTTGGTTCGAAATCTTTTAACGCTAAGTGTTTCCACGCGAAACAGCTGAAACTTCTAAGTCGCGCTCTCTCGCTCGCGCATTTCAGTGCGCTTGAGCGAAAAGCTTTTATCCAAAAAAAACGAAAAATCCGTGGGTTCGTAAACACGTGCGGGGGCCTATTAGGAGATCGGTTTTATACTACACAGTCCATTCGTATCCGGCAATCAGTGCAGTTCGAATTTTCCAGCAGGAAAATTGCCAGATAAAGAAAGTCACAAAAAGGTAAAGTGCCAGTGAAAATTCCTAAACTTAGAGCTGGAAAAATTCCGATTTCGTGACCCTTGAAAAATTTTTAATAGGCGTTCTGAAGACACGTTTGTTTCTAATCAAAATCAAGCCACGAAAACGAGTTTTCCTCGGTTACAAAAATATTGCTGAATATAGCGCAGATTTTACCGCCTGTCTATAAATAACTCAAGACCCAGACAGAAGCTTGGAAAGTCAGGACCCCGATTTGTTTATGTTTTCCCTGCTAATTATACCCGTTACTCGTAGAGTAAAAGGGTATACTAGATTCGTGCAAAAGTATGTAACAGCTAGAAGGAAGCGTTTCCGACCATATAAAGTATATATATTCTTGATCAGGGTCACTAGCCGAGTCGATCTAGCCATGTCCGTCTGTCCGTCTGTCTGTCTGTCTGTCTGTCTGTCTGTCTGTCTGTCTGTCTGTCCGTCTGTATGAACGCTGAGATCTCAGAAACTACAAAAGCTAGAAGGTTGAGATTTCCCACACATATTCTTTGGCTTCCTACGCAGCGCAAGTTTATTTTAGCCGAGCGCCACGCCCCCTCTAACGCCCACAATCGCCCACTAACGATTTTAAAATGGGTCCTGCGCCCACATCTTTAAAGATTTCCGAGAAGTAAAAATGCAATTTTGTTGTGTATATTTATACCTATCGAAATGTAGAAGACATTTTTCAAACCGGACCATTCATTAAAAAGTTATACGCAATCAAAAATTATATATCTATCTCCCTCGCACTCCCTTTAGCTGAGTTACGATTATTAGTCGGGACACCAACCAGACACAGCGTTCTCACTCCCTTTAGCTGAGTGACGGGTATTAGATAGTCGGGACAACAACCCGACTATAGCGTTCTCTCTTGTTTATTATCAAAATAAACAAAACTCATCGGCGACTGATAAGGTGCAAAAAGCACTGACACACACATACATCTATAGAATACCTTAGCATGGCAACAAGAGGAAGAGAACAACGCGAAGTGGAAGGGGTTAAGTTGTGGATTGATTTACCGCGTCGAAAAAAGTGCAACGGAATCGAAAATCTATATACAAATTGCAGCCTGGCAACAGATCGGCTGTTTTTCTGTGTGTGTGGGTCCAGTGGTAATGGAAATTGAAACACAATTTACCACAAGCTCCTCGTTTTTATCATTTTGCACAAGTGTTTTTAGATACATCTCAGTTGCGTTATAAAATTCCCTATAATGTTTCGACGTTCCCTAGGATCCATTGCGATCCTGGCTTCGCGAAATTATTCTGCCAAGTCATTCTACAGGTGCGTACGTTTATAAGAAAGTGAATCCGATTCGATTTGAAACGTGATATTAAAAAGAAAAAAATAAAAACAAAGCGTGTGCTAGAGATGCGTGCGTGATCAAACTTGCATTTTTCGGTTGCAAAAAAAAATCAACTTTGAATAAATTTTGAATTACAATATTGGCATAAGACTTGGAAAGTTTATGCCTTTCTTTCACTTATTCCTTTCTAACCATAAGAAACTGTATAATAATTATTTTAAGACATAAATTTAAGTCAAGCGTGAGGTGAAAAAATCGGACTCACGCACTCACCCCTATATTTCCTGAACAGCTGATCGGGGCGTTGCCACCTATCCCATTTCGTGTGCAACTCTGTAATCTCGGTTTTCATTTGTACCCTTGTGTGCGTTCGGTGTGTTGAATTGATAAATTTGAATTAATTACGTGGAATCGTACTTGCCGTGAAAAGCTGACCCGAAAGCTCGGCGCAGATAGCTTAAACCTGTTATCAGACAGCAAGCGTTTTGCTCGCGACCCGTGAGCGTTGTTACTTGTTTTCGCCCAGTGCTGCGCTCATTTTCGTTCCAGCAGTGGCGCACTAAAGTTCCCCGATTCGCTGCGCTGCCATTCTACACACTCGCCTATATGTATCAGTTAGCTGGAATATCTTTGAATGTATAGTGTGTAGCGTGTGATTTCGCTGTGTAAACAACACCCGCGGATCCAGAATACCGCCTATAGATCCATATAGTATAGCGGGCAATCGAAAAAAATCACACGGAGCGCCTGAAAAACCCGTGAGTCATCGCGACGTGGCCGCAGCAGATAATTTCCCGTCCGCCGCGACATCGGGGAAGTACCTAAAACGAATGGTCAGCCGAGGCAATCGGATCGGCGCAGCTCGTTTCGATCATTAGTGTTTCGCTCGGCGAAGGCAGCGGTTCAGTTTTGCTAAGACGCAATTAACCGGAAATATTGAACACAAAAGATTGAGTTAAACGGAATACACGAACATGAATCAGTACTACGACCTGGACAAGGGCAGGAATGTGCTGTTCATGAACGATGCCTCCAGCACGAGTGGCTACAGCAGCGGCAACTCCCCCAACTCCACCACCCAGTCCCTGTCGCCCGCCCACTCCCCCGAAACGGTGGCCATGCAAACGGATTTCGCCAACCTCAACTTGCCAGCGGGCGGCAACTCACCACAGCAACCGCCGCTGGCGAACTCACCATACCAGCATCAGCTGTTGACCAACGTAGGCGGCCTCTGCCAATTGGATGCCGCAAATTTGATAAATTCCGCTGGCGTGGGCCTTACAAATGCCACCAGTTTCGGGAACATGTACATGGATCATCAGTACTACGTGGCCCCGCCGGCTGCAGTGCCTCCGGCGCAGCAGTTTGGCTACCACCAGAACGGCCTGCCATCTGCCGGCGACAGCAAACACGTGCCGCAGCTGAGAATTGTGGAGCAGCCGGTGGAGAAGTTCCGGTTTCGCTACAAGAGCGAGATGCACGGCACCCATGGCTCCCTGAACGGCGCCAACTCGAAGCGGACGCCGAAAACCTTCCCCGAGGTCTGCCTCTACAACTACGACGGACCGGCCGTCATCCGGTGCAGCCTGTTCCAGACCAACCTGGACAGCCCCCACTCCCACCAGCTGGTCGTGCGCAAGGACGAGCGGGATGTGTGCGATCCGCACGACCTGCACGTGTCCAAGGATCGCGGCTATGTGGCCCAGTTCATCAACATGGGCATCATACACACCGCCAAGAAGTACATCTTCGAGGAGCTCTGCAAGAAGAAGCAGGATCGCATGGTCTTCCAGATGAACCGCCGCGAGCTGTCCACCAAGCAGCTCCAGGAGCTGCACCAGGAGACGGAGCGCGAGGCCAAGGACATGAACTTGAACCAGGTGGGTAAACTGAGGTTAAGCTGAGTTGCTTTCTCGAGTGAAGTGAATAGGTTTTCATTTATTATTCACATGTTTAATCGCTTTGGAGTGCTTTAAATGAATAATTATAGGTTTGCCGCTCTTTGAACTCTTGAGCTTGGCAGTCTATAAAATAGTTAAATGTTTTGGTTACATGACTAGCATGTACTTTTTATAAAATGTATCTATAATAGTGTTGGGTTGCTCATGAGCGAGTGAACAAAAAAGAGTTGCTCACTAAACTTAGTGTTCACTTGTTTATTTTGCTCACTTGCTCCTTTTTGTTCACTTGTTCAGTTTGGCTCTCTTATTTGATCTTTTTAGTTCACTTGTTCAGTTTGGCTCTCTTATTTGATATTTTTAGTTCACTTGCTCAGTTGCTCTCTTGCTGTTTTTGGCACAAAAAGTATTTTTTTTACTTTTAGGATGCATTTGCATACGGTTTTACAGTCAATGTTTTTTCAGAGCCAGTAAGAAAGTTAAGGAAGTTTAAGTTTAAAAGCAATTCACAACTCACATAAAAGCAACTCGCTTAGTTAGCTAAAATGAACCATCAACTAATTAAGGTGCTCCACTTTTAGGTGCGTCTCTGCTTCGAGGCCTTTAAGATCGAGGACAACGGCACTTGGGTTCCTTTGGCCCCGCCGGTCTACAGCAATGCGATCAACAATCGTAAGTCCGCCCAAACCGGAGAGCTGCGCATCGTCCGGCTGAGCAAGCCCACCGGCGGAGTGATGGGCAACGATGAGCTCATCCTGCTGGTGGAGAAGGTCAGCAAGAAGAACATCAAGGTGCGCTTCTTCGAGGAGGACGAGGATGGGGAGACCGTGTGGGAGGCGTACGCCAAGTTCCGGGAATCGGATGTCCACCATCAGTATGCTATTGTGTGCCAGACGCCCGCGTACAAGGACAAGGACGTGGATCGCGAGGTGAACGTGTCCATTGAGCTGATACGTCCCTCCGACGACGAGCGCTCCTTCCCGCCGCTGCCCTTCCGCTACAAGCCGCGCGACGCGATTGTGTCCAGGAAGCGCCGTCGCACCTGCTCCTCGGCCAACAGCAGCAGTTCGGGCAACGTGAGCTCAAATAACTCCCTGGATCTGCCCAAAACGCTGGGCATGGCGCAGGCACCGAACGGCCTGCCCAATCTATCGCAACACGATCAGACAATCAGTCAGGAGTTTGGACGCCAAATGCATCTGGACGATCTGATCAATTCCGAGAATTTCCGCAAGCTTATCGAGCACAACTCCACCGATCTGGAGAAGATCTGCCAGCTGGACATGGGCGAGTTGCAGAACGATGGCCACGGGCGCTCCGAAGTGGCCTCTAGCCGAAATCTCACCTCGAAGTACTTGAGTGCTATATTCAAGATCTTCGAGCAGGATCGTCGATCGCCGGCGGAGAATTCGCATCGTCGCGTGGAGGAGTTGTTCACGGATCACGCGGTGAAGAACGAAAACAACGATACGCTGCTGCACGAGGTGATTAGCTACAAGAAGGACAACCTCAAGTTGGCCATCAAGACGATACAGGTGATGAACTACTTCAAGCTCAGGGATCTGGCCAACAGTGCCTTGAATGCGGACGGCGACAGTGCGCTGCATGTGGCCTGCCAGCAGGATCGTGCGCACTACATACGCCCGCTTCTGGGCATGGGCTGCAGTCCGAATCAGCAGAATCATGCCGGGAATACCGCATTGCATTTGGCCGTCAAGGAGGAGCACCTGAACTGCGTGGAGAGCTTCCTCAACGGAATGCCCGCCGTACAGTTGGATCTCTCGCTGAAGAACGACGATGGTTTTACACCGCTGCACATGGCCATTCGGCAGAACAAGTACGATGTGGCCAAGAAGCTGATCAGCCACGACAGGAGTTCGGTGAGCGTGGCCAACACAATGGACGGCAACAATGCCCTGCACATGGCCGTGCTGGAGCAGAGTGTGGAGCTGCTGGTGCTGATCCTGGATGCCCAGAACCAGAACCTCACCGACATCCTGCAGGCGCGCAATGCAGCCGGCTATACGCCTCTGGAATTGGCCCGACACAAGGCCAACGAGCGGGTGGTGCAGCTGCTGGAGAAGGTGTATCCGGAGAAGGGGGAACTGGCCATGACCTGGATTCCGCGCAAAGTCAAGGAGGAGATTGATTCATCCTCCGACGAGAGCAGCGATGCCGGACTGCTGGAGATCAAGTCCGAGGAGATGGAAATCAAGACGGAGGATGAGGACTCCGTTGAGTTGGATTTGAGCAATGGTCGGCGAAGACGGGAAGAAGAATCCAGTGGAGACACCGAAATGGCGGTTGAGCCGCCGAACAAACTGCAGTTGCTGCTGAAAGATAAATCCCTATATGACCAGCTTTGTTTGCTTCTCAACAAACCACTGGGAAATGGTCCGGATGGCCAACCAAAGTGGAAGCATCTGGCCGGAAAATCCAATCTAGAGCAGTTCGCCTTTATGTGGCTGGGTGCCGACGACCTGTTGGATCACATCAAGGATAATGGCGCCAGTGTGGATTGTACTATATTCACGCGCGCCCTGCAGACAATCGATCCCCAGGCGTTCGCCCTGCTGGAACAAGAATTACGTTAGGCTTTAGGTTAATTCTCCCCTTGTACACCCCATCCCCTCTCAGAAAAGATGAAACTTGATTTTGTATTGAACATGTTGATCAATAAAGTACCTTAGTTTTATAACTACTTATCTTAAAAATCGCGACTTTTACAGAATACCAAATTTATGGGAATAGAAAAGGTGCTCTAGGTTTCCTGGAAAAGTATTGTAAATATTGATATCTAATACATGTGCTATATTTATCGTAGATTTTCCATTGAATTTGAAAATTATAATAGTTCTGAGAGCAATGTAAAATTGTTTCCTTGAACAACAACCATAACCGTATTGCCCTGTATGAGATCATGAGTAAAAATTCTTTTCTCCACCGATAGTGGAGAATAGCGCACTCATAAAAAGTACATTTCGAGAACGGGGAATCACAAGGAATATTTTGCACAGTCGCCGCACTGCGCCTATTTACCAAGTGGGTGAATCACACGATACATATAGGCGACCAAGTGTGCGATCTGGGGGAATTACTGCAGCGCGACCGCATTGACAGGCGGGGATTTCACCACCGGGCCTTATCATTTGGCGACATTCCCGGTTTATGACCTTGCTTACGACTATGTATGCAGAATATTACTACATTTTGGCTAAATAATATTTTAGAGAATAGTTAACTTACAATAAATATTATTACAATTTTAATTAAATTGAATACCCTTAAATAGTAATTAAATAGTAACTTTTAAATATTTTATGGGAATCAATAAACAAGAGAGAACGCAATAGTAGAGTACTTCGACTATCAGATACTCAGATAAAGTGAGTGCGAGGGAGATGAAGATATGCAATCGTCAAAGCTACTGGCTCCATCTAGCGGCCATTTAATATACAAACATTAGTTACTTTTTAAGATTTTTATGGGAATAGGTAAAGCAATAATCAAGAAGAGAATGCAATAGTCGAGTTATTTGACAATCAGATACTCAGCTAAATGGAGTGCGAGGAAGATGGAGATAGGCACCCGTAAAAGCTTCTGGCTCCATCTAGCGGTCATTTAAATTTAAAAAAATTAGCTATTTAAAAAAATCAAATTATTTAAGTTTAATCTTAAAAATAATACAAATAATAATAAAAATAAAATAATTATAATATACCTGCATATAAAATAAATATAAAAAATATAAAAATTTCCCGATTGCAGCAACATGGCTCAAATCATCGACGGCAAGGGTATTGCCCAGGAGATCCGATCGCAGTTGGGACAGGAGCTGAAGGAGTTCGTGGCCGCCGGGTATCCGGTGCCCCATCTCACGGCCGTGATTGTGGGCGAGGATCCGGCCAGCGAGAAGTATGTGGCCAACAAGATGGTCGCCTGCCGGGAGGTGGGAATCTCCAGCGAGACAAAGCGGCTGCCCGCCTCCACGACACAAGAGGAGCTCCTCCAGGTGATCGCCGATCTGAACAGGGATAAGCGGGTGACCGGAGTGCTGGTGCAGCTGCCAGTTCCGGAACACATAAACGAGCGCACCATCTGCAATGCCGTGGACGTGGACAAGGATGTGGATGGCTTCAATGAGCTGAATATCGGCCGCTTGGCTTTGGACATGGATGGCATTGTTCCGGCCACGCCCCTCGGAGTCAAGCGGCTGCTGGAGCATCTGAATATCGAGACCCATGGCCGCAATGCCGTGGTGGTGGGTCGATCCAAGAACGTCAGCCTGCCCATGGCCATCCTCCTGCACGCGGATGGAAAGTATGCCACCAAGGCACTGGACGCCACGGTGACCATCTGCCACAGGTACACGCCGCCCAAGGAGCTGGCCCGCCATTGCCGGCAGGCGGACATAATCGTGGTGGCCGTGGGCAAGCCGGGACTGATTACCAAGGACATGGTGAAGCCAGGAGCCTGTGTCATCGACGTGGGCATCAATCGCATCAAGGACGAGAAGACGGGCAAGTTTAAGCTTGTAGGGGATGTGGATTTCGAGGGTAAGTATTAGTAAGTAATAGACTCCTGCATGAATCATTCAATTTTTGTTTTATCATAGTATGCCATGAAATTTCTGATTTGTTTAATTCAATTCTATGGGAAATAAATTGAATGCTTTTCTAATTTATTTCGAATTGAATGAATGAATTTTCCAGATTTTTTTTAGCTTTCTTTTGAGAAGAAAAAGTGGAAAAATTTTTAACAAATCAATGTTAAATGCTTAGAGAATAAAATTCATGCAGATTTAATCACATATTTATGACCGTTTCTTCTTTTAAAGAAATTGTCGTTTGAATTATTTCGGAATTCAAGCCATTCACTCAATTAATTCTATTAAACTACAAATTCAAATTCATTCAATTCTACAAAACTCAAAATTATAATTAATTCATTCATATAAAACAAAAAATTCAAAATAATACATTGAATCCATTCATGCAGGGCTATAGTAAGTAGCCTAATCCTTTTAGTTATCTTTTCCTAATCCTCTCTTTATTTTCCTCAGAAGTTCGCGAGGTCGCCGGCCACATCACTCCGGTTCCCGGCGGAGTTGGTCCCATGACGGTGGCCATGCTGATGCACAACACTTTAAAGGCGGCCAAGAAGCAGTTGTGCGACCAACAGTCCTCCTGAACTCCTGTCACCGAGTAGTCCGCGCTTCGCTGGCCGAGAAATAGTATTTTTTATTTAATCCCCTAACCCATAACCTAAAGTAGAGAGTAGAGTTACTGACCAACCGCTAACATGACGATTGTAAACTACACAAACTTATTTTGCAATATAAACAGAGATAATGGAATCTAAACCTTATCGTGCTGAATATGAATTCTGAAATAGGGAAATTTTCTCTTTGTCAAAAGAGCTTAAGTATCTTCGATTGCAGCCAAATAATTCTCAATTATGTTAACCTCGCGGTTGCATAACGGAAACATAATGGCTTGTAACTTTTTATTATCACTAAAAATACAAATTACTTGATTTCTGATCCGTTTGTTTTATAGTTTACATTGTACAAGTCGAACAACAAACTTTTTAGCTTAACCACTAACTGCCCGCGGGCCTATTTGCACCATCGCAGACTTCTACGGCTTCTACTGCGGCTGCCAAAAGCGAGAGAGCGCCCTGGACAGGGTATTATAGTGGGGAACTTGGACTTCGCTTGGGCGTGAATTTAACTTTGCGTTGTTCAATGCAAGGTTACAGATTGTATATAATATTGGTAACTAATCCGGAGTGGTTTTGGGAACTGTGCAGGTGTCATCATTGCATTAAAGATTCTTCAGCAGAACGATCAAAGGGTGCGATTAGGGCTAAAACCGCAGATCAGGCTTGTATTTGGCCATATATCTGAAAATTTAGCAATACAAAAATTAATTTGGAGAATATAATATATATTTTGGTATAACTAAAGCCTAAAGACACAAAAAATTTAAAAAAAGAAAAATTTTAAGAAACCCACAACAGCTCGAATTTTATGAACTGATATTCATGTGGAAGCTACACTTACTTGTCCAAGGTTTCCCAGAATTTGCTGAGCACGGCCCGATCCAGATGCCGCTTGTTTTGCGAGAGTCGCAGAAGTGTCACCGACCAGCGCTCCACATTGGAGTCCAATTTCAGCTCGCTAAAGCACAAGTGAAAGGCGCAAACTGCAATGGAGGATGCAATAAAACTTAATAAATAAAATTATAAATAGAACTAAAGATTTGACTTACTCTTTGAGAATATCTCGACGGGATTGCCGTCCCAGGGCCAGCCCTTGAACTGCCACTGTGGCCCCATAACGAAGACGGCCACCACCCGCTGCCAATCCTGCTGCGAGAGCTTGATGGGATTGTCTATCACCCGGTAAGACACAGTCTGATTGTTCCGTTTTCGCTATGGATTAATAAAAGACCAAATTAATTAGTATGGATTTCTCTTTGAATTTAAATCCGCTTGTAATAATGCCATTTGTTTTCATAGCTTTATATGAAATCAAATACAGAAGAACAGCTGCTAGTAGAGCCCTGCGTGAATCATTCAATTTTTGTTTTATAGAAATTTATGTTTTTTTTAATTCAATTCTATGTGAAATAAATTGAATGTTTTTCTAATTCATTTCGAATTGAATGAATGAATAATTTTTATGAATTTTTTGAATTTGTTAGATTTTTTTATGCCTTCTTTTAACAAATCAATTTTAACTGCTTAGAAAATAAAATTTAGGTAGATTTAATCACAAAATGATAACACTTTCTTCTTCAAAAGAAATTGTCGTTTACATTATTTCGGAATTCATGTCATTCAATTCTGTTAAACTCAAAATTCAAATTCCTGCAATTCTATTAAACCCAAAAATTCAAATTAATTCATTCATATAAAACAAAAAATTCAAAAAATTCATTGAATCCATTCATGCAGGGCTCTAGCTGCTAGTCACTTGAATTCGCACCTGTAGCAGCACTTCGCTGTCGCGCTGGCAGCCCTGCAGCTTCTTCTCGGCGGTGGACATGAAGCGCAGCTCCTGCAGGACGTCCTTCACGTTGAGCATGGTGATGAGGCTTGTGTTGGCAGACGGTATGATGATGATGGGGGTGCGCGAGGGTCGCTTCGAGGGTCCGTTGGCGGGCAGTTGCCGGGCCTGGGCCGTGGGCAGCAGCTCCTTGGGCCGACCGGCGGTCGGTGCTCCGGGCATTCCGCCACCCGGTGCCCCCGGCAGACTGTTCGCCTGCGCCTTGCGCTGCGCCAGCGAGCCCTCCGTCACCGATTTCAGCGACATGCCGTGGTACGTGCCCAGCGTGTCGATCTTGAAGCCCTCGGTCTCCTCCTTCTGCCGATTGAATCGCTCCTGATCGTAACGATTGTACTGCGAGAGCTGCGGCTGCGGCTTGGCTATGCGCGCCGGCTCCGGCATCTTGATGGGATTGGGCGCCTGCGGCCGGTTGCGTCCCTCCTCGCGCGCCTTGATGCCCTGCAGCATGGCGAAGATGTTCTTGGCGAAGATCTTGCCGGTGCTCTGCAGTATCGAGGTTCGCGTGCGCCACTGCCGCTCGCGGCTGATGATGTCCTTGGTGGAGTCCACGTCGTAGTCGAGGATGGCGCGCAGGTCGGTGCCCATGGTCTCGTCATTGTCCGTCCGCTTGATGGTCGTTCGCTTGTTGGCCAGACGCTTGGCCTTGATGGCCGCGATCTTCTCCACGGACATCGTCTCGGACAGCGACTTGATGTTGTCCATGTTTACGGCGGTCTCCTTCTGGTTGACATCCCACCGGGCGGCCAGCTGCTCGCGCACCTTCTGCACCTGGGTCTCCTCGAAGCGGGCCTTCTTGGCGGCCACCTCCACGCTGGAGGGTTCGCCCTCGGCTGCCCGCTTCACCTGGGTGGGAATCTCCAGCGGGGCGCTCTTGTCGATGCTGGCGCACGTGGGCGTCTCGCCATTGAGGTAGGCCAGCAGCTCCTTGCGATCCGGCCGGTTCACGGCGGGTATGTCCTCGGCGGCGCACTGCCGCACGTACACCGAGTGCTGCAGCATCACATTCTTGAGCAGGTACAGCAGGCACTCCAGCGTGTAGTACTCACGTGGAGCGCCCTTCTTGCCGGAGCTGTGGGGCGGAAAAACAGGTGGGTACTCCTCTGGGTAATCTCACGGGGATCCCTGTCCCTATACTCACCCATATTTGAGATAGTTGGTCTTCACGCTCTTCGGCCAGGAGAACTCGCCGAAGATGATCTGGCTGTCGCGCTCGACAATCTCCTTTTTGTTTATGTTGTACTGCCGCAGCAGACTGAGCGGATCCGCCATCTTCCCGCCGGCTGTCTCGGTCTCCTTGGGCGGCGCTAGTGGGTTGTGGGTGGGGCGCTGATCGGCCCGCGGCTGCTGCGCACTTTGATACCCGCGAAAGCAAAATAAACACGCTCGATTCTCGCTTTTTATGGCATATTTTTCGCGTACTTTTTTTTGGCAGAGGTTGCGTGGAGTGTGACCGTCGGCGGGGTGAAAGGAAATACCACAGATTCACGGCAAAAACATCGCTGGTCGTGTGGTATATATCGGCGTGGGCGGTATTTCAGCCTGAAAGAACTATCGCCTGAAGTCACGGCTTTTCGTATCCAGTGATGTGCCACCAAAATGTTTTAAAATTAAGCTTTCGTTTTTAAACCAAATAAAACTAGAGTTTACCAATAGTATCAACTGGAATTTATAAAGGTTTAACTTTAAAAATCATATTATTTTTCTATTGGAAGAGAGTTGATAAATAACTTTTATTTTACAAAAAAATTAAATCACTTTTCTATATAAATTCCCTTTACTTAATCAGTAATAAAATTACCGGTTAATTTTTAAAATAATAAAATTAACGGAATTTTTAAAGAAAAGTTTCTTGGTATATTTTTCAATGGTATTTTTTTGGCGAGTAACATTTAAACCCCACCGCGGTCACACTGAAAAAAGCCTGAAAACCGGCAGCTCCATCCGAATAACAATTAAACAAAGCTTTAAAATGCATCGCAATTAACGCCTATGATTCCGGAAGTGAGCCAGTCTGAGAATAGAATAGCACATGATCGGTTTACGGAGTAATTAATAACGAGAGTTTCCGAGGGCAGCGCCCACGTGAAAATTCAATGCCAAAGAAGTTTTGTGTGTCCTAGTTGTTGTGGCTCTTTTGGCTGTGTTTCTTGTGCCTTTCGGGAAGCGAAACACACAATTTGTGATTTTGAATAAGCAATGGGTCAGTCGGCCAGCAAAATAGGTAAGTAAAAAAGGCTTACGTGCATTTAAAGTGGTTTAAGCGTGAATGGGCGATGGAGCAATTTGTCAAGTATCGAAAAATGGAAATTTATAATGGAACCATCAAGCTATAGTAATCAGCATTACAGTTATAAGCTCGGCCTGATCATGAATTAGAAACTATAGGCATTCCAATAAGGTTTGTGACCTTCCCACCACCAACACACTCACATGTTGGCCGAACAGCTGTTCCCCCCTAGCGATGACACCCTCCGACTTCGTGCTTGTGCCGATAGTTCTGTAAGTCGTAAGAAATTATACAGGTGTGAAACATACATTGTTTTTATTATTTGTAAAGCCTTAATATTCAAAATAAAAAATTCATAAATTTAAAAACTTCCAAAAATGTCGGATTCCTGAATCCCATACTCTTTGAGATAGCTCTGAGTCCATTTATCAATCTTATCTTGTTGTTCAGGACTTAACTCATCCTTGTAGGAGCCGACTATGCCGCGTCGCATAAAACTACAAATAAAAAAGTTAAATCTTAAATCTTACAAAGTAAAGTAAAAAAAAAACACACTTACTTAAAGTCGTTAGTTGTTTTCCTAAGTTTTTTTATATTGCTGGTGGGGTTTCCAAACTTGCTTCCTAAAATAAGAAGAGTTCTAGCATTATTTTTTTCACTTTTTATTTCATTGTATCACCTTTAAGGTTTTCAAAGCTCAAGAAATTTAATAGTTTCTCCATTTCACTCCCGCTCAAATCCTTACAATCCAAAAACCGCGATAGTCTCTTGACGACATCTTCAAGATCTCTTGACATTTCCTCATAGGTAACGAAGAAAACATTCTTTTCATTGCGCATTCTATAAAAGTCGATAATATGCTCCCAGTATGATGCATAAAATATTTTATCACCAATGAAATGATCCACGAATTCGTCCAAGCCGGCCTCCCATCTAAGCAAGCCAATCATTTGATGATATGAAGACACCACAACATCCTTGGGGTTACGGGCCACGTAAATTATCTTACGGCTCTGCTTCCAAATTTGTCGGGGCAGCAGTTGTGCGGGTAAATGGGATTTAATCAGGCGAGAACTATCCGTCATTTCATTGCACTTATCTATACCATCTATACCGCCGTCGGGGTTAGTGACAGAATACCTAAGGGACATTATTAGAAAGCAGCTGGAAATAAGTCTTACAAATACTCCAATCTACTTACTCTAGAAAAGGACTTCGATAAAATGGATACTCGCTCTTGGCACGTTCAAAGTCCAAATCATTTAGCAAAAGCCAGGCCAACTCTTGCATCCAAGTAGTACCGCTTTTCATAAATGTCACCACAAAAACATCACTCTCTCTCGTTTCGAAGGCACCGATTCTTTCTGCGTAATCCCCTATATAGCCATCGGGAAGTGTGCACCACCGTTGGCTCCAATCCTGCTTTAAAGGCACCCAGTCAGGTCCTGTGCACTGCACCTGAACGACTGGCTTGGTGACCAAAGAATCTAACGGCCTACTCACGTACATAGTGACTACACTTCCCTTGGTACTTTCTACGTTTGCAAGAAAATTAACTCCACATCGCTTTATATTAGAGACCTAATTTCTTGCATGGTAGTTTAAATATAGAGATTTCTACGATAAGGTTTATACGTTTATTGCTGTTATTTTTCAACAAACAAGTGATTTTTATAGTCAAAAGATAGTGAACTTGCTCTATGCCCCCTATGAGGAATGAAAATAAACCTACACTAATATAATCTCTAAAAGTCTTAGAAAATGTTCCTAGTATGGATCATAATTTACGGAATTAAAACTGATTTTTTTTAACAAAAATATATATTTACTTCTTGTGGATATTTAATGCTATCTATTACATTTCATTCAAACCTTTTTAGTCAGCAAAACCCTTAAGCAGCTTAGATTGCCGAAAAGTCAAAAAACTAAGGTGGTAAAAAAAGGTCAGAGTACATTAAATCAGATCAGGCAAAGGACTCTGATTTCGGGGCGCGAACTTTAACGTAATGGTCATCTTGCCTTTACAGGTGTATTTAACGGGGGTTGCAGGGTTTAACTTACCTGCTTACCACATCGTCATCTGAGGGCCTGGGCCTCCATCAAATCGAATCAGCTTCGATTAGGCCCAAGATGCCCGTGCAGCTGTAGACAATAAATTATAGAGTTTATGGCAATGATTTCTCACAAAACGGGCGCAAGAAAGGACGAAGGATCGCACAAAGGCGGAGGAGAGAATAAGTAAACCCCAATAGGCGCTGGGCTCAGGTAGGATAACCGGGTCGTAACTCCCTGACCCTGAGACAAAGACACATGCTGCGGACCGAAAACCCGCCAGGACCTTCTCTCTATGACTTGCCAAATGTCCTGTTTGCATCGGAGTATCCGTAAAGGTATCTGCCAGGCGCAGATATCTCGTTTTTCGTGGGACAGGGGAGTTTTTCCAATTTACAGGCGGGAAAAAACTGCAATGTGAAAACTGTGAAAGCCGAAACCCCCTGAAAAGGCAAACATTTGGCCAACAGCATATTTTTATATATTCCTCTAACGGATCGCAGTTTCCCTCGCATGTGTTGCATTGGCGGTTATTCCTGGGCGATGTTGATATTTGATTAGCGTACGCACATGAGGATGCGGAAATGGGAAGTGGATGTGGAAGTTGAAGTTGCAGTTGCCAAATGCATCCCCGAGTCCCGAATGAGTTTCCTTTTGTTAGATCTTGATCGAAGTTTCGGGATGAAGCCAACTGCTGTCGCAGGTATCCCGTGAAAGTGGAGGAGTTCCTCTAAATAAGCGAGGATCTTCTAAGAGAGAGTACCTGGACTAAAAGTTACCCTACCCCGGCTTAGATGTTCTGAAAATTAAAATATTCTGAAATAAGGAAAGTAATGTCTTGTACGACCTTAATATTAGAAAGATAATGATCACTTTGATTTAAAAAACCTGTTTTCCCAACATGAGCCCTAAAACGAGTTCAATTTAAATGTAGGTGAATAGTTTTTGATTTATATATTAAAAATATTTCTTTGATGTATGAACTATTTACCCAAAAACGTAATATTTATATCCTTACACATATATGCTGAAACGTTTACTGAACCCTCTATCCCTGGGGACTACAAATACATACAATTTGTATGCCATCTCCTCATCCATTGCTCGGTTTCTCAAGTGCTTGCGCAATTCGATTTTGGGTTCTGTTCTCTTCAATTCTCCTTTGTGTCCGCTGGATTAGTTCGGGCTTATATATACGAAACTCCACAACTGCTCCTTGTTGCACAGCTCCTCTTTCCTTGGCCTGTCTGAAGTCCTTTCCCTTTTATTTTCCCTTCTTTCTGCCTGTGACCCGTTTGCATATGTCGTTTTCTAATTAAACATTGGCATTTGCTACAGTTTTTACTTAATTATGTGTATATTGATCGCTTACCGGCCATCAACGTGGAGAGCCAGCTGCCAATTTCTTATATCTTTCGTTTATTTACTTGCTCAGCGTCTTTTTTGCGTTGAATAAATCGTTCAAAAATGTATGATAATTACCAATCTATTTCCCCCCACTTATCTTTAGGCCCACTTGATATGGTTCCTGTATTTAAATTATATTTGCCAATCGTTTGCCTATACATATATGCCTCATTTAATTTAGATTTCATTCAATTGATTGAAAACTATTTAATTATTGCCGTAAATGCTTTATGTCTTAAATTTATCTATTGGTTCTCCAAGGTGAAGGCAGTAATAAAACATTTGCACCATCGTAATGAAGGTATGTAGATATGATAACAAACCAATGGATATGATTTGTGTATGGAAATTCCACCAAGGGACCATTTTATCTTATAAATTTTATTAGGCCATATGAACCGAGTGTGATTTTCTTATCTCAAAAGGTAGAGCTTCAAGAAATCAAAAATACCATATGCTTTAACATTTCCACTCAATAAAGTGTGAGGTTTGTTATTGATCACCGTTTTCGGAGAGATTAAATAGAAATGTCTCTAGTTGATATGCGTGATTTAGTAAATATGTATAAAGTGCCCTAGTAGAAAGATCTTAAAAATCAGCATTTCCTTAGTTTATGATATTTACCTACATATAAATAATTTCTAGAATTACCCATTTTCATTACTTGTTTTCCCTTTAAAAACGAACTACTCCTTTGGATCTGCTCACTTGCCGTGCAAAATTATCATTTGGCATTTTCATTAAACGCCTGCCTAGGTCAATTCTTCATAGACGACGATTTCGAGTAACAGCAGGGATCTTGGGTTAAGGAACTGTCTGAAAGGTAAATCGCTGTGACATTCTCGAGACAATGAGTGCAAAAAAGAAGAAAACTATTGTGAGGCCAAGGTAAATACGGGTCTGAGGAGAAACCAGAGATCCCAAAACGAAGACGAACGAAAATGAGCGATATATGTACTTGTACTAAGCCAGATGTTCGTGGGAGACCGAAATGGAAAGATAAAAATTGCACTGGATCGTCGAGGGACTTGTGGGGGCTCATGTGCCAAATTCTAAATTTAACCACAAAATACTTCAGGGGGAGCAACGAAACAAAAAAAAACAGTCTGCAGATATCTCCCCCATCAAGGCGACAAATGCAAATGGAAGCAGCTGTCTGCTGGCAAAATATGAATATATAAAAATAAATAATCGTAAAAGGAGTTCGAACCGATCCGAAGAAGTAGAGCATCCTTATCAGCCAAGGCAACTGGCGCACGTCTTTTTTTTTCCATTTTCAACCTGGCACGTGGTCGGCTGGCTTCGTATTTCTCCTCTTTTAAAATCCCTTTCTACCCGTATCTGTCTCCTTTGCTATGAATTTACACCTGGAATTGGCAAACAAACAGAACGGAACCGAAGGCAAGGGCTGCGAGGGGATACAGGCTACAGTAGAGCAAACCCTTTTTCAGGTCCTTTTCCAACTGCAACCGCAGATGGACACCTTTCGTTGGTGCTTAAGTTGGGTACAGTGGATATCGATATGTAAAAACTGAAATAGGAAAGAAAACTCGGTATACTGAATTTTAATTCTTATCTGAAATGATCTCATATTAATCCAAAACATAAACATTTAGGATATTATTTTTTTTTTTCATTTAGATACTTTTAAAACTTTATGTTTTCCATATTCCACTATATTCAAATTAAAATAAAGTAGAAATTTTTGTGTTTCTCTATTTTTATTTTCTGAAATGATCTCATATTAATCCAAAACATAAACATTTAGGATATTATTTTATTTTATCATTTAGATACTTTTAACACTTTATGTTTTCCATATTCCACTATATTCAAATTAAAATAAAATACAAATCTTTGTGTTTCACTATTTCTATGGAACTTTGTGCCCGTTAAACGATATTCACTGTATTCTTTGACAATTTTGGGGTTGTTCGTTGGTCTCGTTTCGCTGCTCGATGTTTGCCGGTTCCTGTTTCGCCAACTTCACCTTCTCCGACCTTTTTTGCATTTTCGCAAACTGAGCGAGCAGGAGGGGGAAATCGGGTAAGCAGCAGCAGATGTATTTCCAGGACGCACGCCTGCTGCCAGGATGCTGAATATGCATTTCCACTTTAATATCAAAATTTAAATGCTTTCTGGCCCGTTGTCTTGATCCCTTCCGATCTTAAAATTGCATCTGCTGTGAGGTCTGTCTGGTTCCGTCTGCCCATGCAGGACAAAAAAGGACGAGGATGAGGAGCACTCGGCGCAATTATCATCCTCCATCAATGGCAGCGTGGCATCCATAAAGGATAAAGGATGATCAGACGCCAGACGGCAGTTATCCTGCTGACCACAAAACCTAAAGCTTAATAAATGAGACCACAATAGCATGTCTCCAAGATCATAGGCAAGTTTTCAGGATCGGATCATTTATTATAAAAAGGGATCTGTATAAAAGGAATTGAATAGGCAATTGGGGAACTATAATTTTACTAAAAAAGCAGATAAGGAGAGTAATAAATATATGTTTTTCGGTTTATCAAATTCCGTTTGAAATCGAATGTTATAATGATATATTAAATATTTAAAAGGGGTCTGGATAAAGAATATTTTATAAGGCTTTGAATAGGGGAGCCATAATTTCACTAAAAAAGCAGATATGAAGAGTAAGAAATAGATTATTTTGGGTTATAAAATTCTGAAAGAAATCGAATCTTACAATGATACATTAAATAATTAAAAGGGAATTATATAAGGGATTGAATCAGAAATTGGGGAACCATAATTTCATAGATATAGAGAGTAATAAATATATGTATTTTGGGTTATAAAATTCTGTATGAAATCGTATGATACTCTGTTATTTAGTCAAATACCATATTATTATTACCTTAGATCTCAAGGTTTTAATAGGTTTTTTCAAAAAAAAAAACATTAATGTGTGAAAATAAAAAGAGACCCCAGAAAGTTCGGTAAAAAGAAAAAAACACAAGTGTCCGGTTCCAGAAACTATGATACTTGGCCCCCAAAGTTCACGATCAAAAGCATTAGGGCAATTGAAATAGTTTGCCAGTTATATGAGCCAGACCTTGTAACCCTTGCGAAAAAAGAAGAATTGCTTTGAACCTGGCTGAACTACACACACACTAACGGACTTTCACACGTAGGTGAGGAGAACAACAGTTAGTGGAGATCAGAGCAGTTCGGCCAAAAACACAAATGCAGGCCTAGAGCAGCAACAAAAACAACAGGCGAAGCAACAGCAGGAGAATAGGAGGAGGAATCCCCGATCAAGGTGCAGAGTTAGAGGCATAAAGGTAAATTATAAGGGAGGCTCAATACACGCGAATGCCAGGCACAAAGCGAAACCATAGTAAATACGAAACAGCTGTCGGAGAGAGAAAGAGAGTGGTGGCGTCTCGAATTTTGCTCTCTTGAACTCTCTTTTTCGCTCTCTCCCTCCTTGCGCCGCTGACAGTGCTGACGGCCTTTGACCAGAAAATAGACAGATCTATATAGTCAGAGAAAAACTAGCTAGAAAATATTTAATTTATTATTTTAATTTTAAAACTTTTAAGCTATTTTGGGTTAGTGTGCTGATAATGTCTAATAGACCTTTCATTATTTCCCTACGATTTTAATAAAGATAATTTAATTATTTAATTTAAAAATTCTCAAAAGATCTTAGATTTAAATAAATTTGGTTTTGTAACACAAAATTTGTATTTAAAACGTCAACCTCTATTTGACTTCATAAGGAAAAAAATTAGGTTATGATTTTTGATAATGGAATACAAAATATGTATGTTAAAAAAAATTCAAATTATTACACCCAACTAGTCAACTAGTCCTTCAGAACCGCAATCATAAAAGCCAGATCATCCGGCAAAATATCTGCACGCCATCACTGTCCACGACTCTCCAGCTGAGCTGCGGCAGCGACGTCGGCGTCGTGGGAGAGAACTGGCGCTGGTGCGAAGCTATAAAAGGCCGCAGCACCTTTTATTTGTTGAAAAAAAACGCAGCGAAAGGTTGGCTCGGGAGTGAGTTGTCGTCGTCGGTCTCTGTGTTTCGTATCGTCTCGTTTCGTTCCGTTTGTTCCCGTTGCGCGCAGACAAACAACCAACCAAATTCAAAATGTTTTAACGGAAAACACCAAATTCGAAGAACTCTACGTTAAATTTAATGCCAAATAAAATACGCAAGTAGCTTGTGGATTTTCGTAAGCGTTTCGCGAGTTCGTTTTAGTTCGTTTGATACACTTTCAAAGAGCAAGAAAGCCGTCATCATGGGTCTATCGGATATACCAGCCAACTACATGCAGGGCAGCCACCCGCACCTGAACCTCCATCCGCAGCAGCAGCACCACCAAAACCAGCAGCACCTGCAGCATTTGCAACAGATGCAGATGCAGCAGCTCCACAACGCCATGCCCACTCCCGCCCAGCAGGCCGCCCAGGTCCTCGCGCTGGAGTCCAACGAGCTGCTCATGAGCACCAAGGACAAGCTCTCCAGCAAGAAGAAGATGCACTTGCTCAAGAAGATCAAGAAGCGCTTCGGATTGGGTTAGTAGTCGCATTAGTACAAGGCTAAGAGTGGAATTAATTTGGGAAAAACATTTGGATACCTTGAAATGCTAGAATCTTCAGTTCCTTCTTCAAAAAAGACAAACCACCGTTCAAAAAAACGGTTTCCAAGAAAAAATTTGTACTTTTGTTAAATTCCATGGAATTAAAAAAAAATCAATTGGACACTAGTTCTAACCGAAAATAGGAGTTTGAGGTTCTTAATATAAAATAGTAGATATACTGTTCTTTAGTTACAATACATCCTGCGTGATATCCCAGCATTAAACCCTCGAAGTAATTGTAATTACATCGTGCGAAAATGCTTTAAATACATAATTCATCGATCTGTGCGACTTTGCTTTTATCCCCAGCGATTCCCACATAATATTAGCATGTGGTCTGACCTATCGCTCATTCATTCATTCAGTTAATTAAAGCGGCAAAGATAAATAAGCGAAAAGCACAGCCCAGCCGCAAACATTTATGCATACATTAGCATTTTGCGTCTCAAGAACAATAACAAATAGCGAAAGATAAAGGCAAAAACGAAAAAGTTTGTGATTGTTTAAAACAAAAAGCTAATGACTAAATGCTCGAGACGGCACGCTCAGTTCGCTATTGTAATAGTAATGGCTTTTTTCTTGCTAAATAGACGCAGAAACGGCCCAAAACAAACTCAAATGTGAAATTCTCCCAAGGCTTCTTCGGCAGAATTTAACCTCGACCCGAGTTATTCGCCGGAAATGTCAGTTCTCGAAAACTGCATTTTTCAATCGCACCCGAGTAACCGCAAATTGATCGAGAAGTTAGGGGGATCTCGAAATGAAGAAAATACCACCGAAAGCAATTTTCCCAAGGAGCGATTATGTTTATCATAACGATTATCTGGGCCTGCTTTTTGTTTTTGTTTTGGTTGCAAGCAGCTGAGCAAAAGCAACAAAAAAGGAGGCCCAAACAACAACTCACTCTTTTTGGCTTTGGCTCAATTGCATTCTCGGCTTTATTGCTCTCTTTTATTTTGGTCAAAACAGGCGAAGCAAAAGTAAAGCCCATGACGCATAGGCTAAGCTTCTTCTACTTCTTTTTTGTTGTTTGTACATGCCTCCTACAAACAGTTGTGTCCATAGAATTAGGAGTTGCAGTTTAAATTTGAAAATTCTAATAATTTAATATGTTATTTGATTAAGTTTTACTTTCTGTTATTAGTTTAACATCTATTTAAGTAATATTCCACTTTGAATGAATTGTGAGTACTGTATTGATCTGGCTCTATTTTCTCAACCACCACTGTTTTTGCATCTGCCTCATTCAGCATTTGTTGTTGCTTTTACTGGGAATCGTACGCGAAGCGCCGTTGCCGCCATCGGCAAAAGCAAAGGCAAAAACAAAAACAAAGGCAAAAAACAAAAAAATAAAAGATCCATGGCTGGAGAAGAAGAAGCAGGAGAAAAGAGGAAGAGGTGTGGCTTTGAAGTTTGAGTTTTTGTTGCTGCCTCTGCTGAGCGTTTAAGCTTGGGATGGCTTATGTTTTATGCGGCGAACTCCGATCCGTTTGATTTGAACGTGCGTTGCCTATCGGTAATCAATGAAATTACTTTGTTGTTGCTTTGCGGCGGCGTCAGCTGCTTTTGCTTTTTTACCTGCATTTTCTATTACATTTCGTAGCTTGTTGTTCGGTTGTTGTTTGGTTGTTGTTGTATTTATGTGTTGGCATGCCACGTTTGCCTGGCTAAAAAGTTTATCTGCTCTTGGCTTTTACTTAGCTTCTCACGGTTTACTTTTCGAAATGGTTTGCTGTGCGTGTGTTTGCAATTGAGCGCTGCCAACTCGTCTCTGAGCCACTGATTATTGGAGATATTGTCGCCACAACCTTCGATTGTTGGCCAAAAGCAAATAACTAGCGTAAATAGAAGGGGTACGCCCCCGCAGGGAGTTGGGCTATACAGTGGACATCTAGGGTTCAAAATCTATTTTTAGAAATTCAAAAATATGATTAAAAATTTATAGGGCTTTAAACCTATTTATAAAAAATCCAAAAAATATGATTCATTTTAAATATTTATCTTAACGGGAGCAATGCGTATTTCCGGAATCGATAAAACTATGTATATATATTTTATTTATTTCCCTTACTTTTATTTGAACCGTAGATGTACGTCCATACATTCCAACTTCCAACATCTATTGCGATATTCCCCATTTGCGTACTTTTTCTGTTATTTTTCTCCCCCTCATGAGGTCATCCCGATGTGTCATCCATCGTATGGTCATTTTATTTGCACCGCACTTGAAACTTACTTGAAAATGTGTTTATAATTTTTGGCCTGATATGAAGCATTGCCATTTCTAATTGATAATTTTGCTCTATTGATAAGGGTCAGTGCAAAATGTTTATCTCTGCAAGTGTAGTGGAAAACTGATTGGCTTTGGCTATGAAAAAATAGTTCTTAGTGGTTGGGGATATACACAGAGATCTTTGCGGTTCTTTTTCTTTAAAAAAAAAACCAAGTTATCTCGCGACACACTTTAAGTCCTCCCACATCATTGCTTTATCAGCTGTTGAACCAAGCTACAGTGGATACTGAATATAAGAAATTTATCATTTTAGTTTTAAAATTTAATGCGCGTTTTCTTTTAAATCAATTAATTTAATTATTTATTAGTTTTATAAAATATTAGATTTTAATAATACACATTAGATTTATCACTGTATCCCATTAATTTTCCTCACGACCTAAATGTTGTACAAAATTGTTAACATTTTGTCTGTGCCAAGAGATAACAACGCATACCACCCCATAGATACAGATAAACTAGATAAAAACGCTTCGCCGCAGGGTGTTGCAACTGGCGCAAGACAAAAGGCTCTATCCAGGTAGCAACAGGTAAAAATATATTATAGCAAACATACATACCATACCATACCTGGCCCAAAAAGCAGCTGCAATTAACTCACGCAAAGTGAGATGGAAAGATATCCAAAGGCATCTTTGGGTCAATTTAGTACGCCTTTTGGGAGGGCGTGTTTTCCAGACGGGTTAGAAAAGCGGTTGCTAGGCATAAATCACCGTTGGTTTCAGCTTGGTTCGAACACCTACGGGTCTTTAATCTATGCCTGTGTCCACCAGCAGCTGTTTGGCTATCTATCGCCGAAAACTTGGCCAGATCGAGTTTTTTGAATTTTGGTTTTTGGCCATTAACGTTTGTGGTCCGAACTTTGAAGAGAACTTTAATGTAATTAATATGTACACCTATTTTGAGACGAACTAGAACTAGATATGCAGCTGTTCGGGGTATTTAATATGCTAAGATATTGGAAATTTGCATGGTTTTGCCATAACCCTAAATATTAATGGGATAGCCGATAACAATGCAACCAGTGGCATCAAAAGCTATCGAATTCGGGGCCCGAAAACACTTGAATTGCCGTCAGCCTTTGTAATTACAATGTTATAATGTAATAATGATGTGTTTCTATCAAAAGACGACTCTTCACGTCCATTCCCTTCCACTCAGTCCAACTTATAGCTGTTATTGTTGGCTCCCCCTCAACGCTCGAGTGATTTAATTACACAAAAGAGTTTCCAGTTTCTGGACCAGCGGGGAAACGCGGGGTGTCTTGTGCAGTCAAGTGCGAGGAAATGCAAGCTGTATAGGAGTAGTTATCAACTTTATATATACTGTAGTCTTATATACCTCTATCTGGACCTCTTCACTGGCCCTTTGCAGTAGTAATTGCAACGCTTCGATAAACAGCAAGCCTACAAAGCGCAACAAAACAAAGCGGAAGAAAGCCGGGCTCTCGAATGTACAGTACTGTAATGGGAACTTGTAAACGAATGCTTTCTAAATAATTAAGTTGGATTAATTAGAAGAAAATGTATAGGAAATATCGTCAAAACCTTAAAAATATGTTTTTGAACCATAATGCCAACACTTTGGCGTCACAATGTTGTTTATTGTGTGTTTTATGTTTCCTCTGCTTCCTTATGTATCTGCGTATATATTTAGATCGGTTTTTATGTCTATTCGGAGCTGAAACAAGTTCGGTTCTTCTTGGCTGGGGCCTCTTGCATGCTTCAGCGCCCAAAAATAAAGAACCCAACCATAGATGTTTTATATATATACATACATATATCATGTGCACCGATAGAGAGGTGCTCTCATTCCGCAGAGTTGGTTTTTGTAGGCTTGTAAAAATAAACATGTAAATTTGATTTGGCCACCCACCCTATATGGTATATAACCTACCATATCTCTCCCTTTCGTTGGCTAATTATATTAGAAGGGGAGCTGCGCCTCATCCGGGTGTTTATAACTAATTTGTGTGTGTGGAAAGGCTGAAAATTTATGTCGACCAGGGAGAAAAGTCATTGGGAGTCATTGAACCTTATTGAGAGGTGTGATCAATATGTAAGGTGGAGGTTTTTTGCTTTTTAGGGGCTTCATTTAGTGTATTTTAGGGAAAATGCAAGTGCAAACATTAGGGATTTCCCTACATAACTAGGTTTACTTATCATAACTTTGGCTGGGAATTTTCCTGATGCATTTTCTTTGATTACTCACCCTTTGCTTTATTATTATTGAGGAAATATCTCATTAACTTTAAGCTATTTTTAACAAGGTTTTCTTATCTTTATTCCTCCGTTTAGCAAGTCAGCGTTTGTCTTTAGTTAGTGATTTTTGTGGATACCTAAATGGTGGTTATTTATAAACCCTCTGCTGATTTGCTTTGATTTTTCTACACATGCCGTGCGGTATCAGATTTCGCTTAATCGCATGAACAGTGCAATGTACTTGGGAAGAGGAAAAGCTGCTCAGACACAATAACAACTGGTTGCAACAACTTGGCATAGTTTGACCTCTGGTTTCATCGCTGTCAACGCCGCCGCCGCCAGTCGGCCCCTTTTCCGTTGTGTAATTATTTTTATTATATTTGCAGAGTCGTCTATGCTATGTGTCCATTGTAGCTGGGCTTCTAGAGTTACCAAGCTGGTGGGGAATCCATAGCAGAAATCTAGAAAGAGAGAGAGAGTTCCTCGCTCCAGCAGCTCTGCGATGAGTGGATTGCAGTGCAATTTCCGCTGCACTGGTCAGCGTTTCAAGCAGAACGGAAGTGGTTTTTGCATCCACTCAATGGGGCTTTCCAATTTAGTCGAACCTTACTAGGTGGATTTAGCGGTAAATCAAACTCTAAGCTGGAAAATTGAGTGGCAGAAAGGTTTAGAGAATAAAATGCTTGGAATTTTATTAGCATTTCACTTGTAACCCCCAAAAACTTTCATATTTTCCTGCCCCACGCAAATTGTTTGTTTGTGAGCGATTAATTAACATTCATTAGCTTCATTTGCGTATAGTTAAGATAGGAATAAAACATTGCTTTTATTGCTGTGAGAATTGTTTTACAGGCCTCACGAGAGACACTTGCTCAGATCTTAAACACCGGCCAACGCCTGACTTTTCTGCCCACAGCCAAAGCCTCCAACTAACTAAGAAACCCACACACTGTTTCCTCAACTAATTTCACTGAAATGTTGAGAAGCAAAAATGAAAACACCAGATACGCTTATAAGTTATTTATCGGCGTGGGTCGCCGATCCATTGACAAGCCCGTGGAAGTCAAAAGCCTAAGTCCAACTCATTCACCCACTCGCTCTGACTGATTGCCGCCCTGCCAAATGCCGATAATTTATGCCAAATGGTTGACCAATTGATACAATTTGTAAATGATCCATTGATCCACTCGAAGCCAAGCCAAGTCGGCATTTTGTACCCCGAAAGCCCCCGGCTTTTATGGGACATTTCCGGTGCAATTAAACGGCCTGTGGCGTGGTGTTAATTGTCCGCACACGTCCCGTGACTCATGCACGTGGGCTGACAAGCAAAGGGGGCGGGGCGGCACGTGACCTGTGACCTCAATCGGTGCAAATGAGGGGGAGTTCAAGTGGGTGGCTTGTAAAGACAATGTTATAGAATAGAGTACAACACAGGGATTAATTGTTTTACTCATGTTTCTGAGTCGTAATATCATCTTAGCAAAACATAAAAATAAATTGATTAATCTAGGAATTTAATTGAATGTCTATAAAGACATTACCCTCAACTTTAGTGCTATCAATTTAATGCATTCTTAAGAGATTTGTTAGAACCGTTCATTACACTAAATCCAAGCTCAACTTTACATAAGAGCTCCCCTTGTAAGCCTTCATTCAGACATCAACATCAACATCAACATCTGTGTAATCTGCCTTTAATGATCGCCAACTCAACTCAACTCACGAGTGCCAATCGAAATCTAATGACGTCCACTGCTCAATGGGATTTTGAATGTTTGGAGATCTTCATCGGATCGTTAAAGTGATTTCGCCTAACGATGGCCGGAGATTGCCACACTGGTTTTGATTTCCTTTTTTTTAGAGTTTTGTTTTATGACACCTGCATGATTTTCACATTTTCCACCCGCTCAGCTGCAGCTTCTCCAGTTCTCCCAAAGATTCGGGAAGATCCGTACTCCGAACTCCGAACTCCGCACTCCGCACTCTCTTCTCTCGCAATTACCGAGGCTTGTTACAGGTTTCCAATGTTCGGCAGCCGCAAATTTACTATATATCTCCTATATATACAAATTTGGAGTCGAGTCGTGGGAATTGTCTCTACTGTGCTTGTGTTTGATTTTTGCCCAGTGCTCAGCGTGGGAAATGTTTTGCTCGCTGGTGGCGGCGAATCCGAAAAGACGTCGTACGGTAAATCAGGTTTTCCTTTTTGGCAAACAGCGAAAATTTGCCTGCAACTTGGAGGCAAGATCGTTTGCAGTCGATCGGATGCTGGGATGCTGGGATTGGGATGCTTCGTATTCGTTTGGGAACCTTTTCGGCCGAGCGGCAAAACTCCAAACGCATCATGACCACCGAAAGTTTGAACTTTTCATCTCCAGATGTTAGTTGGCCAAATTATGTCGAAATTAGAGGATTTCAGGGGGCCTGGGAAATGGCGATAAGGGAGGGAAAAGTATCTTTAAGTTGCATTTAAGAATCAGATGTTAGGTTCCATTTTAATCTATAATTTTGTTTATTATAATAAATGGTTTTAGTTCTCTGGCATTTTTTACGTCACTTTAACAATATAGAAACCCTTCCGGAAATAGTACTACTATTTTTTCTAGCAAACGTAATTACTTAATACAAATTTAAGCGATAAATGTTAGGTTCCATTTTAATCTATAAATATGTTTATTATAATCAATGGTTTTAGTTCTCTGGCATTCTTTACTTCACTTTAACAATATAGAAACCCTTCCGGAAATAAAACTACTATTTTTCCTAGCAAACGTAATTACTTAATTCAAATTTGAAATGATAGTTAATGTATGATAGCTCCTAAACTATTGTTTTCCCCTCAAGTTTCCCAACCTCAAGTCTATCGTTTATATATTTAATACAATTAGTTATCTTGGGGCGGAGAGGCGATCATTAAAACCTCAAGCGGAGACAATCGCTGCACTTAATTAATTGTGGCCAGGCTAATTGAAAGTAGCGACGCGTCTCTCGAGCACCGTTTCGACTGGAACTCCGAGGAGAAAAAGAAAAGCGAGGCGCGTATTCCATTCATCGATGGCACTGCAATTCCATCCATTGACTGACTGACGACTGTCTGGGCCGATAAAAAGTAGGCGTCGCCAGTTGGCCAGGCCAGTGAGACGACAACATCCTGCAGCTAATAGGCCCAATCCAATACACGTATATGCGCGTAGTACGTGATTTCCTACTTCCTCGTCGCGGTCAATTCATAAATATGGATGGGTATCGCATTCGCAGTGGCGCAGTCTTCAAGCCCGGCTTTCTTCTGCTTCTCCTTCTTCTCTGCTTCCTCATCGAATCTCCTTCAGAATGGGAGCCACCGGAAGCTGGTGCTCCCTTTCCACTTCCTGCAGCGGAAGCACTTGAGGATTGGATTTTTCGATTTTTCGGGAAGCAGACAGTACAGATTTCGTGTGCAAGTCATTGGCCCTCGCTTAGGATTAAATTTCAACCCCAAAGACAGGGAATCTTGCAGATACCTAGGCATTTGTATCTTGTATCTGTCTTGTACTGTATTCTTTCCCCGTTTTTGTCTTTTTTCCGAAATTTGAACAGCTGCAGACTGTGGAACTGTGCAACTGCAACCCCTGAGCGATCGAAAACGCTGAAAACTACCCTCTCGAAACGGGGACAGACGCTCTTTAGGGGTTGTTTTACCTACCTACCTGTTCCAGTCGTACAGCTGCTTTCTTCTGACCTTCCTACTTCTTCCTCTGCAAGGGGAACCAAGAAGAAGAAGGGAAAAAGGACAGCTGCCACATGCCGCTCCAAAGCAAACACATTGATCTCCAGTGCCACGCGCCGCATATCAACATGGTAATCACCATCAACATCGTCGTCTTCTCCTCATCTGCTGCAGGTCCTTCGCTTCGTGGCTTTCTTAAAAACTGGGCTTATGTACCCATGTATTTTTTTAACGCAACTGTTGGCATGCCGCCGGAATCGTCTGATCTTGGGCATTCCAGCGACCTGAGCAGAAACCTGTCGCCATCCTAAGACGAGGAGTCTTGAGTAATTATTTATATGGCCATATGGATTGGTTATAGGCTTTTTTTGTAGGTAATTGTCAGCAGCTGCTGATGTATGTGGATTTGCAAGGTGCAATAATTATGCCAATTTCGGGAATATATTTTAGGGATTCTTGAAGGGCTTTACAAATATATATTGAATTTACCAAGAAATAATAATAATAATAATACATTCAAGAACCCCTAACCTATACCAATATTTTCCCTTTCTCAAAGTATTTCTCTTACTTTGCACGTTTGTGCCTTCGATTTTCCAAGAAAATGGGCCAAGCAGCTGACGATGACCATGGTAAATCCTTTAGAGTTCGCCTGTTGATCGTTTTTCTTAGGATATTTTCCAAATATTTCAATAGTTTTCAAACCAGTCACGTGCCTCTCGCTTGAAAACCAACTAAATTTGGGTCTTGGGTTGGGGGTTATTGACTCACCCGGGAAGATCAATTCGGGCTTCTGCGTAATTCGATCGCTAGCACATGGTTGAATTTTCGGCTACCTGGAGCAGCACATAGATACTTCTCTTGAGATGCGTAATCCGATACGGGGGAGCTGGCGTTGAGAAAAAGATTTTAAAACAATGTGGCAGAAGATGTAACTGTTAGATAAATGTATGGTGGGAATTTGAAAAGGTTTGAGAAATTGTATAGATAGTCTAGGGTTGTCCAAACTTTTGCTTAATAATTCCCAACTAATTAAAGCTTTTCCCCTCCACCCTTTTCAGTTCGCCGCTCACCCTCCTCCTGTCCTGGTCCCAACAACCTGCCCCCGCTGCAATTCCACACCGTGCATGGCGACAACATCCGGATATCGCGGGACGGAACTCTGGCCCGCCGCTTCGAGAGCTTCTGCCGGGCGATCACCTTCTCCGCCCGTCCGGTGCGCATCAACGAGCGGATCTGCGTGAAGTTCGCCGAGATCTCGAACAACTGGAACGGCGGCATTCGCTTCGGATTCACCAGCAACGACCCGGTGACGCTGGAGGGCACGCTGCCCAAGTACGCCTGCCCGGATCTGACCAACAGGCCCGGTTTCTGGGCGAAGGCTCTGCATGAGCAGTACTGCGAGAAGGATAACATACTCTACTACTTTGTCAACGGAGCAGGCGATGTGATCTACGGGATAAACAACGAGGAGAAGGGCGTCATCCTGTCGGGCATCGATACGCGGAGTCTGCTGTGGACGGTCATCGATATCTATGGCAATTGCACGGGCATTGAGTTCCTGGACTCGCGCATTTACATGTACCAGCCGCAGCAGCAGCCAGCTGTTGTGCCCGTCCAGCAGCAGCAGCTGCCCCAGCCCCAGCCGGCTGCCCTGAATCCCCATCACCCGCATCAGCAGTCGAGGAGATCCCTGCCCGGGCACACGGCGGCCATCGAGCACGATCTGGAGCGGCATGTGATGCCTTCCCTGCAGTCGCTGCATTTGGCTGGCAACGGAGGAAGCGTGGCCAGTGTGGAGCAGGCGGTTATAGCCCATGATCTGGCCAACGGACTGCCTCCGCTGCGGTACAATGCCAACGGGCGGCTGATACCCGTGCCCTTCCACAACACCAAGGGCCGGAATGTGCGACTCTCGCAGGATCGCTTTGTCGCATCCCGCACGGAATCGGACTTCTGCCAGGGCTACGTGTTCACCGCGCGACCCATTCGCATTGGCGAGAAGCTGATCGTGCAGGTCCTCAAAACGGAGCAGATGTATGTGGGTGCTTTGGCCCTGGGCCTCACCTCCTGCAATCCGGCCATGCTGCAGCCGAATGATCTGCCCAATGACTCGGACTTTCTGCTCGATCGGCCGGAATACTGGGTGGTTAGCAAAGATATAGCGGCTGCTCCTCAGCGCGGCGATGAGATCGCCTTCTTTGTGGCCCCCAATGGCGAGGTGAGCATCAGCAAGAACAACGGACCCGCCGTCGTGGTGATGCATGTGGATCAGTCCCTCCAGCTGTGGGCCTTCCTGGATGTCTACGGCTCGACGCAGTCGCTAAGGATGTTCCGCCAGCAGCTGCCCAACATGGTGGCGTATCCGTCGCAGCCGCAGGTGAATGTGAGTGCCAGCAGCTCGTCCGCCTGCAACGCCGGTGCCTCCACCTCCCGCATGCTGCCCATGACCGAGTCGATGAGCAGCCTGAATGCCGGAGCCACGGCCAAGCTGCTGCAGCACCATCCCTCTCAGAGCACCTTGGCCTCGGCTGGTGGCGGAGTCAATGGCAGCCGCATGATCAGCATGCCCTCCAACGGCGACATCCTGCAGATCCAGCCGAATGGCGGGGGCACCGTGCTGGTGGTGAACCTGCCGCCGGCCAGCAGCTCGAACGACATCAACGGGCAGCTGATGGCCAGGCCCTCGGCCACGGTGACCTCCAGCGGAGTGTTGGCCGGAGCCTGCTCCAGCGGCACCCTTATCAGCACCACCAGCAGCCAGTACATTGAGGTGGGTGTTTTGGATTTACGGCTGTAATCCCGACTTTTTACTAATAAATATCCTTTCTGCTATTCCAGCCCATTGCCAACAGCACGAATAATGCGGCCAGCAAGTGGAAGGACAGCCTGAGCGACCAGCAGAGCACCGACTCGAGCGCCGAGTGCACCATCTGCTACGAGAACCCCATCGACTCGGTGCTGTACATGTGCGGCCACATGTGCATGTGCTACGACTGCGCCATCGAGCAGTGGCGGGGAGTGGGCGGCGGCCAGTGCCCGCTGTGCCGGGCGGTCATCCGGGACGTCATCCGCACCTACACCACGTAGGCGTACGGGAGCAGCCGTTTCCTAGCCAAGCAACCTTTACTCGCAATGAAACCTACTAAAAAGCTACACATCACACCACACACACAAGTTGTTGCATTTTGAACGCAATCGAGCGCAAAGAATATATATTATATTGGAGAGATAGGCATTATTTTTGCAGACTAAGTTTAGGCTACGAAACTGTCACCTAATTTATCCCCTACCATCTACATGTATGTTTAAATTTTTTGTGATGTTATAAGTAAGTGCGCCTGAGAGCCAAAACTATGTATTCTTCAATCCAACAGAGATTTCCGAGTTTATGAATTTTTTGCAAACCTTCGAGAGTAAAACCAAAGTATTGTATAGAAGTTAATTGTATTTTGAATTTAAATTTGAATTGATTGAAAGTTGTTGCAAATTTACTTAGTTTTTCTCTATGTCTAAATTCCAAACGATGTGCAAAATTAACCAACACAAAATTAATCACTATTCTTTATTTGGCGAATAATCATTTTGGTGCTAAATGTTTTGAAAGGCAAAATAAAATTGTTAACGGATTTGAAAAGTTATGTTTAAGCTTGCAGCAACTACGAACGACCTTAATTTGGCATTAGATTAACAGAAGCAATTATTGACTAGTTTCCAGAAGGGAAATGGAAAGACAAGACAACTCAAATATATCTGCAGCACAAAATATTGAACAAAGATTGATCGGAAGAATACTTATGCACGAAAACCAAAATAGAAAATTGCGAGAGCGTGTTAAAATCTAATTTTAGTCCAGCCCTAAGTACTTAAGTTAATTTCTAGTCAACGAATTATGCTGAAGTTACATCTAGACCGGGACTTCATCCAACAAAGACACCACACAAAAGACGTATTAAGCACGCTAAGCAATTTTAATTAAGCCGCATTTTAAATTACACCTAAGTAGTGCACGTATTTTAAAGCAGACCTAAATATATTTAACTATAAACATAGAACAAAAGACTTGTATGTTGTACCAACAGCTTGAATGAAATATGGAAAATGGAATGCCCATCTAAATCAACCATGCAGTTAGAAAATTGCCAATAATTAATTAACAATACCAAGCAGATAGCAGATCAAACATGAAGGACAAGAAAAGCGGTTAAAACTTTACCTAAGATTGTATTAAAACTGAAGGAAAAATGTAATAAGCAAAGAACACAAAGAGATATGCGAAATGGAGCGCAAGCTTACTATTTTTGTTATAAGAATGAATCCGGATAGGAGTAAATGAAGACATGTTATTGCCACTATTAATAATTAACTTTTAATTTTTTAAAGAATCATAGTTCGTAATACTGCGATACTGCGCCTAGTTATGACTAAACATTTAAATGTATTTATGAAATTATATTTGATATATGTAAGAAAACGCAATGCTGTAATACCATTAAATACTGACAACAATATCAGAATGGGCTTTGGTTTTGATTTCTGTTTGGTGGGGAATGGGAGGGAATTGTTTTTCTAAACTAATTTTTAAATTGCAAGTACCAAGATTCAAATTGGGGTGATTTTTGCGTAATAATTGTTATTACACTATTTTGTTTTAGAAAGAAATTTACTGAGCCACATGCTTTCTAAAGCATTTCATTGGGAATCGCTATTAATTACATTTTAAATTTAAAATTAAGTTTTTAACGGTCGAATGGTTTTGAGGATGCCACTTGTCCTTTAACAGTGCTGCCACCTAGCGCGTTGTTATCGAATATGTATACATTCGTTTGGTATATTTTTCATGCGTTTATCGATGATTCCATCGATGTCTCTCCACCTCTACTTCACGCAGTAAACAGAGATTTTATCGAGTAGTGTAGAGGAAAAGTACTGAGTTAATGGTAAAAAGCGCATAAAAACAGGCGATCAAAAGTGTCTGGATAAGGCGAGTACCCGCACGGCCCCCAAAACGTAAGTAGATGGTGGAAAAAGCGAGGGAGACTACGCTTTCTGGGCAGCCAGCAAGTACACACGCACACATACTAACCCCGACCACTCCCCCGCCCCCCCTCTCTGCGATTCCACGAACCTTTTTCCACACAGGCGACCCAAATTACGACGATCGTTTTCTAATTACGCATTCCGAGCATGGACGAGGCGAACATACAGGACAAGGAGCGGTTCGCCAGCCGCGAGAACCACTGCGAGATCGAGCGACGGCGGCGCAACAAGATGACGGCCTACATCACGGAGCTCTCGGACATGGTGCCCACCTGCAGTGCTCTGGCCCGCAAACCGGACAAGCTGACCATCCTCCGCATGGCGGTGGCCCACATGAAGGCCCTGCGCGGCACCGGGAACACCAGCAGCGACGGCACCTACAAGCCCTCCTTCCTCACCGACCAGGAGCTCAAGCATCTCATCCTGGAGGCCGCCGACGGCTTCCTCTTCGTCGTTTCCTGCGATTCCGGCCGCGTGATCTACGTCTCCGACTCGGTGACTCCTGTGTTGAACTACACGCAGAGCGATTGGTACGGCACCAGTCTTTACGAGCACATCCACCCCGACGATCGCGAGAAGATCCGCGAGCAGCTGTCCACGCAGGAGTCGCAGAATGCGGGCCGCATCCTGGACCTCAAGTCGGGCACGGTGAAAAAGGAGGGCCACCAGTCCAGCATGCGCCTGAGCATGGGCGCCCGTCGCGGCTTCATCTGCCGCATGCGGGTGGGCAACGTTAATCCGGAGTCCATGGTCTCGGGGCATCTGAATCGCCTGAAGCAGCGCAACTCACTGGGACCCTCGCGGGATGGCACCAACTACGCGGTGGTCCACTGCACGGGCTACATCAAGAACTGGCCGCCCACCGACATGTTCCCCAACATGCACATGGAGCGCGACGTGGACGACATGAGCTCGCACTGCTGCCTGGTTGCCATCGGCCGGCTGCAGGTCACCTCCACGGCGGCCAACGATATGAGCGGCTCGAACAACCAGAGCGAGTTCATCACACGCCACGCCATGGACGGCAAGTTCACGTTTGTGGACCAGCGGGTCTTGAACATATTGGGCTATACGCCTACTGAGCTGCTTGGGAAGATCTGCTACGACTTCTTCCATCCCGAGGACCAGAGCCACATGAAGGAGAGCTTCGACCAGGTGCTCAAGCAGAAGGGACAGATGTTCTCGCTGCTCTACAGAGCCAGGGCCAAGAATTCCGAGTACGTGTGGCTGCGCACGCAGGCGTATGCCTTCCTGAATCCCTACACCGACGAGGTGGAGTACATTGTGTGCACGAATAGTTCGGGAAAGACCATGCATGGTGCTCCCTTGGATGCGGCGGCTGCTGCTCACACACCCGAGCAGGTGCAACAGCAGCAGCAGCAGGAGCAGCATGTCTACGTGCAGGCCGCCCCGGGAGTGGACTACGCTCGCCGGGAGCTGACTCCCACCAACGACGGGATGTACCAGACGCACATGCTGGCCATGCAGGCTCCGACGCCCCAACAGCAGCAGCAGCAGCAACAGCGCCCGGGGTCGGCGCAAACCACGCCAGTGGGCTACACCTATGACACCACACATTCGCCGTACAGCGCCGGGGGACCCTCGCCCCTGGCCAAGATACCCAAATCGGGCACCTCGCCCACTCCGGTGGCGCCCAACTCCTGGGCTGCCCTGCGTCCGCAGCAGCAACAGCAGCAGCAGCCGGTGACCGAGGGCTATCAGTACCAGCAGACGAGTCCGGCCAGGTCGCCAAGTGGTCCCACGTACACCCAGCTGAGTGCCGGAAATGGGAATCGCCAGCAGGCGCAGCCAGGAGCCTATCAGGCGGGTCCACCACCACCGCCGCCCAATGCACCGGGCATGTGGGATTGGCAGCAGGCCGGCGGACACCCGCATCCGGCTCATCCGGCGGCGCAGCATCCGCACCATCCGCATGCCCATCCCGGTGGACCTGCCGGAGGAGCAGGACAGCCGCAGGGCCAGGAGTTCTCCGATATGCTGCAGATGCTGGATCACAGTGCGCCGACCACGTTCGAGGATCTGAACATCAACATGTTCAGCACGCCGTTTGAGTAATACTTTTTCCCTGCCCTCCTAATCTGTGTCTCTCTCTCTTGACCACTTTTCAAGTGCAATCCATCTTACATTGTTGAAATAATTCAGCCAAACGCATGAAAATTGTAATCTCGTAAATAGCATTTTAAGTACATAGCGGTAGTCACGTACGCGACTCTGATATCTTTATTTTTCGTGTGCTACGTCTTCAGTTCCCCGCCCTCCATTCACTTAACCCGCTCATTGGCCGTGCAAAAGTATTCACAATTAAAGTCTTACGTTGTTCACAACGCAAGCGAATATACACTTTGTTGTATAGCCTATGAATTCTAAACTTTCTCATCGATTCTATAGGATTAAGTTCATGTGCGACACGCTTTGTGCAGAGTATTCTTTTGTATTTCTCATCGAGCATTTTAAACATATATAAATATACAATTCGTAGACTAATATACAACAAATTGATAGTTGTAAGCGACACAAGTGCACCACTTGCACCTTTTTCCCTCGAACAAGCAATAGCATTGACCCCATTTCCCATTAATTTTCGCTCACTTTTCGCCAATGCAATCAGAAGTATATGAGCAAACAATATTCATACCATATATATACACACAAATGCTTCATGTGCAGCTTTTCATTTTGTTCTTATTGTAATTTCAAGCTCAATACAGTGGCGCTCAAAATTAAATCGCACACACAAGGCAAGACCATTTGATTACAACAAGTTCAAACATTAAATTAGTTAATTAAGCTCACTTCAAGAAACAAATTTTAAACAATTTTTAGTCGCTAAGCCCATAACTTTTGTAATTAAGCCACCACAACGACGATAGTGCTTAAAACATTGGGTATTGAGAACAAATATTTCGGTTTTTAATGAAAATAAACTTAATGTACTACAACTAATGGAAGTTATTAGGAAGTTTATCCCTGGGATCTCTATCTTTCGCCCGATTTCGTCTCGCCATCGCTGCTGCCGCCGCTCTGCTGGAGAGCTGCCCTCTTAAAGTCCCGGAATTTTTGCCTCTTTGCTGGACTCTCCACAGGGGAGCCATCGGAGGAGGTCCTGCGTTTGCTACCTCCCTCCTTTTCCTCCTCCTCATTGTCGCTGGCATCACTCTGCTCCGCTTTGATTTGATCTTCCCGCTTCTTACGGACATTCAACCAGGCCATCATCGTTTTGTTCATCTGCGGTTTTGCTGGTTTGGCGGCCATTTCAATCGGCTTGTTGCACTCCTCGCTTTTGTTCCGCGAATTGTTGACCACCTTGGCCACTCGGTGCCACCTGAGCTCGGTAGCCGGACGCAAAGTGGCCAAGGCCTCGGCGTCGCTCACTCTCTTAAAGTCCAGCCAGTCCTAGAGGAAGAACATGTAAACAAATCAATGTATGGAAATAAGAAGAAATCTAGAAGACTCACATAAGAGCCCTGCGCGAATCATTCAGTTTTTGTTTTATCATAGTATGCCATGAAATTTCTGATTTGTTTAATTCAATTCTATGAGAAATAAATTGAATGTTTTTCTAATTCATTTCGAATTCACTGAATGAATGAGTAATTTTTATGAATTTTTCAGGGACCGTAAAAATCACATTTTAACAGTTATTTTCGAATTTGTAAAGTAAAACTCAAAGAATAACTGTTACTTTTTTAGTTTTATAATAAAAGTTGACAAAGTTTTGTGGATAAAACAAATTAAAAAAAAAATGTAGGTTTACAATATGCACGGTTGGCTTTTTTTTAAAGATTTTTAGTAAGTTATATAAAACACGGTTAGCATGTTTTTTTAATTTACAAATAACAGCTATTTTTTGAGTTTTTGGATAACAAAAATAAAGGTATATTTCAAAAAAATTTAGGACTCTTCTAAGTTCATGATTTTTTTTGTTCTTTCTTTTGAGAACAAAAAGTGGAGAATTTTTAAAAAATCAATGTTAACTGCTTAGAGAATATAATTCATGCAGATTTAATCACAAAATGATGGCGATTTCTTCTTCAAAAGAAATTGTCGTTGGAATTATTTCGGAATTCATGCCATTCATTCATTCAATTTTATTAAATTCAAATTCATTCAATTCTATTAAACTCAAAATTCAAATTCATTCAATTCTATTAAACTCAAAAATTCCAAATAATTCATTGAATCCATTCATGCAGGGCTCTAACTCACATTCATTTGCTGCTCAGTCTCCAGGATCGCAGGCATGCGGTAGTGCATCCAGGACATGATTTTGCTGGACTGGAAGGTGATGATGCTGTAGCTGTACATCTTGTCGCCGTTCTCGTCCTCCCAAACGTCGAAGAGGCCGGCCATTCGCAGCAGCCTCACATCCTGCGGCGACCAGGTGCTCTTGTCGTAGATGAGGGCATCGCCCGCCTGGGGTACAAATACAAGGTAGGCCTCCCGTTCCGATGGCTTCTTGGCGGGACCAGCCGTCTGCCACTCGTAGAATCCCTCGCAGATGACCACACAGCGCTGGCCGCGCTTGAAGGGACCCCGATAGAGCTTGGAGTCCATCAGGTGCTCCAGCCGGCAGTTGTTGGTGGTGAGGCCGTGGCGCCGGTAGTCGCCCTTGTGCCAGAAGGGTATCATGCCCCACATCATGGGCATGACGACGCGGGCGCACTTCTGATCCTCGGCCTCCGAGAAGTGGGCGGCGGACACAATCACCGGCGTAATGTCGGTGGGCGCTATGTTGTAGGAGGCCTGGTAGCGCCTTCCCAGGTTGAATTCCGCCCGCCACTCTGGTGTCTCCAAGTCGGAACCTTTATCATCCTTGACTGCATTATCTTTTTCTTCAAATTCCGCCTCCTTTTTGATGACTTTCTTGGGATATTTACAGGCACACAAAACCTCATCGGGATCTAGGGTTCTAGGAAGGCGGTTAAGCGGTTATAGTATATGAATAATCCACTTACAGGCAAGTGCGTCCACACATTGGTTAAATTTATTTTTTTTTTTTTTGGCTTTGATTTCAACGAACGTTGAAAATGAAGGTTGGTCGCACGACTAGTGCATATGACCAGATACTTTGTCTTGAATTTTGTAATACACAAACTTAACCTAAAAGTGAATCCACACCACGAGGTCCCTTGCCCTACCCGGCGTGAAATGTGCGTGTTTCTTCAAAGGCCTGTGAATGTGGACTCTTGGTTAAATTTATAATTAATTTCCAATCGAAAAGTGTAAACAAATATTTTTGGAGGGCTAATTTAAATACCATTTCGGGTTAGCTTGTACTAAAATACCAAAATATATGTGTACTAAAAATACCTAAGTATTTCGATTGAAGCTGGTCACACAACTTCCCAGCACAAAAAAAAAAACAAGAAACAAGCTGCATTTTCTGCGAATTTTTAAATAAAGAAAGAAAAATGGGCGAACGCTACAACATCCACAGCCAGCTGGAGCATCTTCAGAGCAAGTACATCGGCACAGGACACGCGGATACCACCAAGTTCGAGTGGCTGACCAACCAACACCGCGACTCTTTGGCCAGCTACATGGGGCACTACGATATCCTCAACTACTTTGCCATAGCGGAGAACGAATCCAAGGCGCGTGTGCGGTTCAACCTGATGGAGAGAATGCTGCAGCCGTGTGGACCACCGCCAGAAAAGCTAGAGGACTAGGCAATTGCATTTAAAAACAATAAAAAAGAAATGTGTAAACAATAAATTGGTATTTTCCAGTGGTGGTGGTTAAATACCAAACGCAGTATTTATTGACATTCGGTATTTTGCAAACATCGATATCAAAAGCATTACAAAACATCGAGAGGTATCGGATTTTCCACATCACTAAGAAAAAGCTTTTCACTCGATATAATATAACTTATTTTCGTTCAATTGTTAATTTTCGAGTGCTGTGCCTAAAAGTATCTGTAAAATAGCCAATGCCGCACCAAAGCAAAGTACGTTGCCGTGTCTCCCCCACAAACCCAATCGAATAACCCACTAAAACCTGCACGAAAACGCTGCACAGCAAAACGGTAAACTGAAATACAGCAGCAGCCACAACAACAATAACCCGTCGGGAAAATCGCGGCGAACAAAAGATTCCCAGGCGCAATTGGATTGGCAATTGCGTAGAACACACATATTGTGCCTGCCTACAGATACAGATACAAGTGACTGAGTGTATTGGTCAAGATGAGTGCTCGAAAATTGCGCGCCGATGAATAATGTGCCGAAAACAAGAGCAAAAGGCCAGCAGGCGACGCATTAGCTTATAAATAGTGACAAACTCAGGCAGACCTACTGTTATTTCCCAGCTGCCCCATCAGCCTGTCTGCTCTGCCCAAAGTTCTTGCGAAAGCTCTTTTTCGCCAGCAGACTAGGCGTGCCTATTTGCGTGGCCGCCAATGTGGCCTGGCACTGGCGTTGCCGGACGTTCGCGAGAAAAAGCGTAATTCATGGCATGATTAACGAAAAGTCTGCATATTTCCCCGTGTGTGAGGCTGAAAATGTTTATAAACAATAGCCGTAATAACAAGAAGCGCTAATAATCAGCATTGGCTAGCTGCCCCCAGTGAATACGGCAACACTCGCGGATATCTGCGCTTTGCTTTTCGGGAGCACAGGCCAGGCGAGGGCAGAGAGAAGGAGAAAGAGGGGTGAGCAGGCAGAGACGGGGGCACAAAAAGCCCACGACGTCGTTGAAAATTTTCGCGAAACCGAAAAAGTTAAAAATAAATGTTTACTGTGCAGCGGCATCGCGGCTGCGGGGAAAATCGCCATTAGCCCCCCTGTGCCCCGCGGACGCCCTTGCGTTGAATGTAATTTTTCGATGGCTCGCGCTCGATTGTATTGAATAATTCGTTGCCTCATTGTGGGGGAGGTGGGGCGGGGAGCCCCTCATTTTCGTGTGCCTCTCTCCCCACAGGCATTCGCAAGGCAAACGGAACGGCGAAAAGAAAGAACCGTAATCGTGGGCAATATAAACGAAGAGAGAGAGAGGCGAAGGGAAAACAAAAGAAGATGTCCTTCTTCCAGTAATGTTTGCCCTGGAACTCGCGAACTATCTTCCTGGAATCTGATTTCTTTGTTCTGAAAGCCTTGCTCTCTTTGCAGCTCCTCCAAATCTAAATCCAACTCCTGGAATCCTCCGAATCCGAAGCCAGCAAGGAAGCCACATAGAACATAGGATCAATCCTCTGAGGGAGACGCTCTCCTGATCGCCTGGAAGTGGAAGCGAAGCCTACTGCCGCTGCCGAATAATGAGTCGACATGATGGTGAGTCTTCCAAGCATCCAGATCCACCATGATAATCCCTAATTCACCACCCCTGATATCCCCATCCAGGTGTCAGCTGCGATTCATGTCTCAAGAGCAACTTCAACGGACGGCGCTACAAGTGCTTGATCTGCTATGACTACGACCTCTGCGCCGACTGCTACGAGGATGGCGTCACCTCCACGCGCCACCTGGTCGAGCATCCCATGCAGTGCATCCTCACCCGCTCCGACATCGAGCTGTACTTCGGCGGCGAGATGCTAACCTCGGACCAGCCGCAGAGCTTCACCTGTCCCTACTGCAAGAAGATGGGCTTCAGCGACGCCACCCTGCTCGAGCACGTCTCCGCCGAGCACACGGAGACCAGCCTGGAGGTGGTCTGTCCGGTCTGTGCCGGTCTGCCAGGCGGCGAGCCGAATCTAGTCACAGATGACTTTGCCGGTCACCTCACCCTGGAGCATCGCCAGGGGCCGCGCGAGCTGATTTCCTTTCTGATATCCTTTTTCAAACAGAGCACTCAATACTCTATTTCATCTAGAAAGCAAATAATTGCCTTTAGCTGTGAGATAGAATTATTTAATAATTTTTAGACCATTCCGAATTATTAGTCACGTTATTACATCATTAGCGCTTACACACAATTGTTGAGAATTTTGAAATTGATCAGAGCAAAGCGCTTTGCCTGATGCTTCGAATAACAAGGCGGAATCTAGTTCAATTCGGTTTGCTTTGGTTCATAAACATTTGAATAATACGGCTAGACTTTTGCAGAACTCTAACGCTTGTTTTTTTAAGAATCGGTTTTATTGCCCTCATAAACAACCTCAAATTTTATTGACTCGCCTGCAACGAGCCATTTAAATTTTACGCTAGCCTTGAACAATTTGCGTTGCAGCTAGAGGCATTTTATTTGCAAAAAATTTTCAACTAGTCATAAGCAAACCATTGGTTGCCTTAACCTTTAGACAATACGACGAGCCCTCGGCCATTCGTCATGGCGGCGGAGTACGTCGGATCCCAGGACGCACCCTCGGCGGACCGCGGACACGGCGCTCCAACATGCACTTCAGCTCCTCGAGCGGCCTGTCGGCCCTGTCGCCCTCGGGACGGGAATCGGTGGATCCCATCGCGGAACTGCTGTCGCAGCTTTCCGGGGTGCGGAGGGGCGGGCCGCCCACATCGCAGCTGCAGCAGCTACAGATGCAGATGCAGTTGGATCGCCAGCAGGTGACGGTAAGGGAGAGTCCTCCACCCCACACCCCATTCCACTATATTTGTGTGTATAAGGAAACTGCGACTTTCGTTTGCTTGCACTATTTTAGGCATCGCGCCAAATCGATCGGCTGCCAAGGCGTGCGCATCCCATAGTCTCAACATCGAACTCGAATGCCGCCATGGCCGAGGTGATCAGCGGCGGAGCAGGAGGCAGTGGCGCAGTTGGAAGCGGCAGTGGCGGCGGCAGCGGGGGCACCGCACCGCCCAACCTGCGCACCACCGAGTGGCCGGTGACAGCCAGCTTCTCGACATCGGCCAGCAATCATTCGCAGACTCAGTCGAGTCTGGCCGCCAACAGCCTCAATGCCAGAGAAGTAGTTGTTCATCCCGCTGGCCAGCATATCCCGCGTCGAATGTCCACTAATCCCCTATGTCTTGTTCTGCAGGCGATCGGAACGAGCAGCAGTGCAGCCAGCAATGCCCTGGGCATCAGTGTGGGCGTCGGCGGAGCGGCCAATGGCAACGGCGGAGCAGGTTCATCCGGTGTGGCAGCTGGAGCTGCAGGAGCTGGCCAATCAGGTGGCCAGGGAGCTGCGGTGGCTGGCGAGTCGCTCTTGTTGGCCCAATTCATGCAGCCCACCCTCTCCGAGGCCGAGTGGGCGATGGTGGAGAGCATGCGAGCGGATCGGTGAGTGTTTATTTATTTATTTCTTTATTATTTCTTGGTGCTAAAAGGATTTTCTTTTAAATTAATGCACTATTAATATTATTAAGAATAATTAAAATATTATATTAAGCTTATATTAGAGTTTTACACTTATATCTAACATTTAATACAATTTAATACTATTAACAATTAGAACTGACGGTTAAAATAATTGTTGAAAATTTAAATTTAATTATTTTTGATATTAGAATTATAATTGGTACTTTGCGATTTTAAATATGTAAATAAATTGTCCCTAAATTGCGTTGTGCTATCAATTATTTTAAGACGTTGTGGCAATTCTTTCCACAACCGAATAGTGTGGCAGAATCGTTTGTTTTCATAATATTTTATACGCGATAACATTTACCTATATATGAATATTTCCTTGAAATCTCACTATGACCTGCCAACTAATCCCAATCCTCTTTTGCAGCTCCATGTTTGTGCAGTCGCTGATGCTGTCGATGCTCTGCACCGAGGCGCTGGACTTGAATGCCTCCGACGAGAGTCTGGCCAAGAGTGATAATGTAAATAAGGGGCAGCAGCAGCAGCAGGAGGACGCTGAGGCCGAGGCGCAGGCGGAAACGCTGCTCAACAACAATGCCGATGTGGAGCAGCAGCAGCAGCAGCAGCAACAGCAACAGCCGATGGTGCGACAGGTGAATCAAATGCAACAAACCTCGCCGGAGGACTTTGTGTGCGACGAGTATCGCTATAAAAACAAAAAGGCCAACACAACACAAACGAGCGGCACAGGAGGCGGCGGAGGAGGAGGAGGAGGATTGGGGGCAGCAGGAGCCACTGCAGCCGCAGGTGGGGGAGCTAGTGGCGCTGGCAGTAAGCCAACAGCTGACAGAGGCATCGAGAGGCGGGCAGGTCGTCCGCCGCCGGCGGAGATGGCCACGGGCTCGCAGCAGCCACAGCAGCAGCAGCAACAGCAGTCCTTGGGGAATCCGGCGGCGTCCCAGCAGAAATACAAACAGAGCGCTAATGCAGCGGCGGCGGCAAACACAAATCAAATTCCCGACACTAGGTAGTGCCTCCGATGAAGATAGATTACCACGAATTGCATCAACAACAAGAGTAACAACAACAACCACACCCAATGTAGCTGCAGCAGCCACAACAAATCTATCACCACCACGAAACACCGCAACAGCAAAGGAATCAGAATCAGAAACAGAATCAGAAACCGAAACCGAAACAACAACCGATGGAACTACAACCAACACAGCCGTTAAAGTAACAACCGGAGTGGGGGATAGCTGCTGCTCTGGAGGAATCCGATTCGTCTTAAGCGGTTGCTCACGCAGCCGCCGCAGCAATTTCGTCAAAAGGAAAACTATATTATGTATCGTTTATTAAATATATTAAAATTTATATAATTATAAAAGGATGAGAGAATGTGCAGCAAGAAAAATTATTGTAATCATTGAATTAATTATAATTTAAAGAAACCACAATATGTTGTCGACTGTGCTTTGGCTTTATTCGATACACAATTCTCAGCGTAGGTTTTGGAAGCTTTGATTTATAAACGGTTTTCGTTTAATACTGAAATATCTAAACCTATTTTTCGATATTTGCTTCTTTAGAATTTATCCATGCATCCTCTAAATTCGATTTAAATTTAATTGAAATATGTTGTTCCTTAGTAAAATTGCTTATAGTCCTTCTTAAACTACATTAATTTTTTCATATTTGTTTCTTTAGAATTTATCCATGCATCCTCTAAATTCGATTTAATTTTGTTCAAATATGTTATTCTTTAGTAAAATTGCTTATAGTCCTTTTTAAACTACATTCATCTCCTGAGATTTTTAGTTGACTTGCATCTACATATCTATTTAGACTTTCTAAACTACTAGAGGTTCCTTACAATTCAAATTTTGGGACATCCAAGGGCGGCAGATTGTCCAGATCATAGGCGCTTTGGACACCCCTTGGTCTAAGGCAGAATAGCTGCTCCACAGCTTTCTTGATCTGCTGCTCCGAGCAGTAAGGATTGACCAGGACAATGGAGTGGGCCAGCATCTTGGCCAGCTTCTTGAACAGAAATCGATTGGCGATCAGACCTTCTGCTAACGGACTCATCAAATGTCGCACAATCCACGGTCGAATGCGAAGCACGCAGCTGGCCAGCAGCACTTCGTCCACCAAATCGATTGAAGGGCTGGACACTTGAGTGGCGAACTCATCCTCGCTGTCCTCGCCAAAGAACAGGCGGAACTTGTACCTCAAGCGATCCTCGCAACGCCAGTCCGCTTCCAGCAGGCGAACCAAACAGGCATTGAGTCGCCTCCTCTGAGCGTAAAGTTCGCAGGGCCAACGACTCTGTCGAAGATCCACCTCGCTGTGATGTCCAGTGGCCGATGCTATGGTTGGGGAATCGGGCGGGTCTTCCATCTTTTCCGGCAGCTCGGCGTTCTCAATCTCCTCTAGAATGGCAGAGATTTGAGGATCGTCGGTCACAGCGGTGGGTTCGATGCCGAAGATATCATTCAGATCGGTGGGCTCGTCGCAAAATAACATGGCCAGCTCCTGGGCCACTGCATCTTCGGTTTCGGAGAAGGGGGATCCTGGATTGCCCTGTGGCTTGTGCTCAGGCGTTATGTTCTTTCGCCGACATCGTCGACAAAGCGGCTCCTTCTGAACTTCCGACTCTTCGAGGCTGGCCTGAAACATATCGATTTTCCGACGCAGCTCATAGCTACCATCGTTATCCTCTTCTGCAGGAGAAACGTGACCATTCTGGGCTTCCATGGCAGTGGTTTGTGTGGCCCTATCCACCAGGAGGTACCCTCTTTTAGGGGGCACTGCGTCTTCTCCTCCTAAAAGCTGCATTTGGTCGAAGAGGATGTTCGCCAGACGGCACTCCTGGGTGTTCCGGCGTACTGCAGCTATCTGTGAATATGAAGATAGGATAAAATTGCTTAATATATCACCCACTCCTATTTACCGTCTTGACCATGGCTCTCTGGTAGATCTGAGCCGCCATACAGGCCTTTTTCGCCTTGTCCTCCAGTTGCTCCAAGCTTGCGGGAATGCAGGCCCAAGCTGTTGGCTTGTGGCGATTCCGGGATTGGTTGGCCCAGGCGCAGACGTTCTCCTGCAGCTGGCGTTCCAAATAGAGTACATATTGCTGGCGTACCTACGAAGTATAGGAAATTAATTTAAGAAAGCTTAGTCCAAATCCATCCCCTAACATAAACCAATGACATACCACCTCTGTGAGGACCACAAAATCACTATTGCCTTCGTGCAGCATGCTTATCCTTTAGTTTTGGGTTTGTAGTCTTCACTTTAATTGCTTTTAGTCATTTTAAAGCTGCTTTAAAACGGCTAAGCCGGGTTTTAGGTCAAATTGGAATTTAAACAATTTGCCAATGCTGCCACCTGGTAAATAACAGATGCGGAGTGGAAAGGTGTGACCAGACGGAAATATGCCAACTACCAGGATCCTCCGCTATGACAGCAGGGTGTACCGGCTATCAGAAGGGTGTCTCCTCTAAAATTTAACGGTTATAGTTACCGGTATTGCAAAAACTTATATTTTATCTTTTAAATAAAACTATTGAAATAAAAGCAATATTCAGTATCAATATTTCAAATTTAAAAAACCATTTACAAAAAATAAAACACATAAAATTAAAAAAAATTGCGTTAGTTTACTAAATTTGCTTGTCCCTAATCAAAGGTGTTTTCAAGTGGAAAAAAAAGTTTTATAGTTTTCCGGAATGGGACCATAGCCCCATGAGCTGTGAATTAAAACAATGGGATAGTTCCATTACAATCGAAGAGAACTATGACTCTACTTATACATGGCTCTAGTAAGTATGTATTCAATAAATAATTCTATTAAATTACAAGTTACAATAGTAGTTGATTTTTGCAGAGCCAACGGAATCGTATATTCCGTGTTGTTTATTACAAATCGTTATTTTGAACAACAACAAAATTAAGCGTGAGGAGAAACTATTATAATAATATGATTAATTATGTTTAAGGGCTAAACTTCAAAAGCCGCTGCCAATATTTGGCTTAATTTTGAATATCAATCGATCGTCGGTCCACTTCGATTCACTGCCTCGTTTCCAGTTAGTCCAGAAACATGTTGTCGTCGTCGAAGGTGAAGACGTTGTTGCGAGCTGGCTGGGCGGGATTGGCGGCCTCGGTTCGAGCTCGGCCGCTTTCCGCCGTGGTCTGGTTATTGGCCGGCGATGGATTGTCCGTTCCCGTGGCCGTGCTGGCCGAGCTCCTGGCGGAATCGTTGCCATCAACCGCCTCCGGGCCGAAGGCATCGAACATGGCCAGCTCGTCGTCGGCATCGCTGCCGTCTTCCGCCAGCGACTTTCGGCAAATGGGACAGGTGCTGTGTAGGTTTAGCCATGGCACGATGCAGTTCTCGTGGAACAGGTGCGAGCAGGGCAACTTGCGCACCGTCTCGTCTATCTTGAAGTCGTCCCAGCAGATGGAGCACTGGATCTTGCGGTCCACCTCCTCCGCACTGATCTGCACATTGGGTATCTCGTTAATGCGCTGCGCCGACAGCGGCGGCGGTCCCGAAGTCTCCATCTGGTTGAGCATTTGGGTGACAATGGTGTCCAGTCCCTCGCGGCCCCACGCATAATCGCCGGGGTTGCCCATGAAGAACATGTGCGAATTGCCGCCACCGCCAACGGTTCCGCCACCAGTGATTATTTCCGCCGAGGCGCCGGTCAGCGGCAGGCTCTGCAGAAAGTCAAAGAGCACATTGTCCAGCCGGTCCAGATTGGCCGGGCGTACGCGTCCACCGGCGGTCAGGCCGCCTCCGGAGGCACTGCCCGAGGGGCCACCGAAGCCGCCCAGGTGCACCACATTGCTGTGCCGCCTGTTGGGCTCGATGGTGATCTCCAAATTGGGCACATTCCGCATGTTCAGCAGCGACACAATGTCATTGCGCAGCGACTCCACATTCACCTGAGATCCGCCCGAGGAGCTGCCCCTGCTCAGGGTGTCGTGGGAGCCGGAGGAGCCACTGCCGCTGCCACTGCTTCCGGATCTGGCGCCGCTGGAGGCCCCGGGAGCCGGAGAAGCCATCTCCGGCGCATTTGCCGGCAACTCCTCCACGAATCCGTTGGCGCACAGCGGGCAGGTGAAGTCCGAGTTGGGAATGTTGATCTCCACGTTGCACATGTGGCAGTAGAAGCGCTTGGACTCCGCGGACCGGTCCTCCACCACCATTGCCTCGGCCATCCTGCAGGATCCCTTATTTTCGGCTGGCGATTGTGCAAGATGTCGCTGCTTCCGATGTCGTTGGTCGCCGGCGGCCCTAGAATTCGCTTTGCTCAGAGGACGACGTGGTACGTGCACCTTTCGCAACGCCGGTCATTGGGTTCAATCAGAACTATTGGGAATTTATTGGGAGAATTTAATTTTTCTATAAATAAGGCCCTTTTAAAGTGCCCTTTGGCGCAGAAGAGGCGAAATCCCACCAGTGGCGAAGTGATGGCTGTTATCGAAGGTGTTGCCAGCTGTAGGCTGGAAAAGTAGCTATATTTATAATTTTTTTTAAATTAAACTACCTTCATTTAATAAAATATAGAAATTACTTCATTTAATGATAAAGAATTTTTCTTAATAAGAAATTAATTAAGGTAACGCCAGCTTATTAAAAAAAGCTAAAGCTAGCTCTAAAGTAGCCAGTCCGATCTAACATCTCTTTGGTAGGCGTTGCCAGACTACTCCAACCGAGACAGTCAATTTTAGCCCATTTCACACTCACAGTCCGGCAACGCGGGGCAGAAACAAAAAGTCATCTTCCCAGGCGGCGTTTAGCATTTTGCAAAATTTCCATTTCCATTTAAACTGCTGATTGAATTGCGCTGAGCGAGCAGCAACGCCACCATGTCGATTCTAGCCTACAACGGAGGATGCGTAGTGGCCATGCGCGGCAAGGACTGCGTGGCCATTGCCACGGATCACCGCTTCGGAATCCAGGCGCAGACGATCTCCACGGACTTCAAGAAGGTGTTCCACATTGGTCCGCGCATGTTCCTCGGGCTCACCGGCCTGCAGACAGACATCCTGACCGTTCGCGATCGCCTGATGTTCCGCAAGAATCTGTACGAGACGCGCGAGAACCGGGAGATGTGCCCCAAGCCCTTCTCGGCCATGATGTCCAGCTTCCTGTACGAGCACCGCTTCGGCCCGTACTTCATTGAGCCCGTGGTGGCGGGTTTGGATCCCAAGACCTTCGAGCCCTTCATCTGCAACATGGACCTGATCGGATGCCCCAACGCACCCGACGACTTCGTGGTGGCCGGCACCTGTGCGGAGCAGCTGTACGGCATGTGCGAGACCCTGTGGAAGCCCGATTTGGAGCCGGACCAGCTGTTCGAGGTCATCGCCCAGTCCATCGTGAACGCCTTCGACCGCGACGCCATGAGCGGTTGGGGCGCCACCGTCTACATCATCGAGAAGGACAAGATCACGGAGCGCACGCTGAAGACCCGCATGGACTAGATGATTTTAAGGGATCCCCTGGTGATTTTGTACACAACATTAACCGAAATACACACAAATAAAATTTGTTTAGGTACAAGGTTTAGGTGTTTCTTTTATAATCGAAAACAACCGATATTTAATGGTAGCTCATTGCTCATCTGTCCACTCGATGGTCTTCTTGGCCAACAGCATGGCAGCCTCCTCGGTTTTGGCTCCACCAATAAAACCGCTGTGGTGCACAAACACCAGATCCTTGATGCCCGCCTTCTCGCTCAGTTCATCGTCCCTCAATCCTCGCCAGGGACTCGGCAGGAACTTGCGACCCAGAAAGCTGCTGGGCGTCACTGGGACTCCGGCCACCCGCCAGCTGCTGCCGTCGTTGAAGATGACCAGCTTGGGCACGCCCTCCACCTTGTACTCCTTCTCCAGATCGGCCAGGTGAGCCTTCCAGGGGCAGAAGATCTTCAGAACGAGAATCTCGCCGGAGGGATAAACGCTTTTCGCCTGTTCCAGGGCCTCTCGCACATGATCCCTGGCGGCAATCCAAGAGCAGGCCACCTCCACAACGTTGTCCACGAACTCCTGGCCAGCTTTTTCCATTGCCTGTCTGAATCGCTGTTCAATGTCCACGCCAGTTTCCTGCCAGGAGGGATTCAGCTTGCCAATGCGGGCGGATAGATGGCTGGAGATCTTGTAGACTGGCTCGCCGCCCTCAAACTGGGGCACACCATTGTCGATGGCGTCCAGTTCGCTGATGAAATTCCTGTAGATCTGGACGAAGGCCAGTTGCAGGTTGGCCGGCGAGAGTTGAATGCCCTTCTCCCGCTGAAGGATGCTCTGGATGACCCGCTCGCCGTAGTGGCTGTAAACCAAGCCAGCAGAGCTTAACCTGGTGGGGATTACTATCTAGTTAGATGGGTTCTTTGAATTTATTCGAGTTATTTCACCTGATAACGTTGAATTCCTCGCTGACTTCCGGGCGAATGGACTTGAAGGTTTCCTTGAAGGTTTGCTGATGGTGATCGAACCATTTCTTGGCCGGATCATACTCGCCACCCACATCCACAATAATGTCGCACTTTTCCCGCAGGGCCTTGTCGTCCCGGCTTCGGAAAATCTCTGCATTTTTAAACTCCTCCAGTTGTTTGAGCATGAAACATGCGACCACCTCATCGCAATGGAAAGTACCGCTGTGGGTGCCGATCCACAGTGGGGAACGTTTAGGTGGGGTGCCTCCAGTCATTGTAAATAGTGTTCCTGAGCCAAAGAGTAAAGTTTACTTTAGTTATTCAAAATAAATGCAGATTTGACCAAAAACATACGAAAACGCGGTAACAGTCGGATCATTAGAGGTGGACTTTTCCTCGATTGACATTCGATAGATCTACACCAGTGGAGGGGAGCTGCCAACCGATTTTCTAAAATAGTGTGGCAGCAACCGTAACGGTTTTTCAAATCAACATTAAAAAACCATTGAATTAAATATGCTTTATTTAAAATTTATTATAAAATTCCTATAACTATTTAAAGATTTCTTGAAATCTGTACCAAGCACTGCCAGCTCATTAGAAAAATTCGCCTCTCACCATTCATTTGCATGGGCGTTCGTGTTGATTCAATATATTAACATTAATTTGCTAATTTGTTAGACAACAACTTATAGGGACCATATCGACTTTTCGGTTGTTTATAGGAAATTATTGGGTGAAAATTTCAGTAAGCCTTTGCAACTCAACCCCTGCGCATGGATATATTGAATACAGCGAGCTAAAAACAAGGATTTTCTAGAATGGCAGAAGCCCGGTTGCGCCGAAACATAAGTCGGCAAGTACCCGCAATGTAAGAGTGATGAGTAAACAAGATCATTTAAATGCACGGGAATCGGAATGATTAAAAGCCCATTACTGACCCACTGCTTGATTTTGCTTATATAATCGGCTGATGCCTTAAGTTATTTAAATTTCACATTTCCGTTAATTGTGAGCTGAAACTGACGAACAATAATTAAAACCGAAAATAGTAGAGAAGAGTGCCTGTGTCTGTGTGTGCGTAAAAAAAAACATAAATCACTGCCGACTACAATGATCACGTGTATGAGCGCACAAAAATCGTTTAATGTAAATTGTTACACAGGCATTTTCCCTGTTTTCAGCATCCCACGACCTTCGAAAAAATGCTATAGCTCGGAAATTGAGTAGAAAAGGAAGCAGCTGTTCGAAAAAAACTCGTTTCAAACACTTCTCTAATGGAAATGCGAAACGCAGTGCAAATTAAAGTGCAATTTACCCCAGACACCAACGTCACGAGAATGAGGAATAAATAGGGGTTTTGTGGAGATTACTAATTGATGCAGACACGCTTATCACAATCTGGACTCGTTTCGACCCCAGCTTCTTTCAATTAAGCTTATCATTCCGATTACGTTAGAAGTTCATTGCCACTGAGCGAAAAATGAGCTTGTTTTCACAATTACCTTAGTAATTATATTTTCACGCCCATGAACGACCAAGCAAATGTCACAGGCAAACACCTCGAGTGCCCAGTACTACCAAATGGAGCTAAAGCGTATATTGTGGACACATTACGTTCCTTGGTACTTCTATTCAGTCACCTTAAAGAATTTTAAACGTTACAATATTTTAAAGGTTTGGTATTTCAGCGGATTCATTTGTTTCCCACGTACATAGGGTAACAGAAAATAAATACAAATATTTAAAGAACTAAGTTTTCTTAGAGGGTATCTTTCAGTCGGCTCACATTACGTATACGCCCATTTAACTTATATTAGCGCCGCTTTTTTCTAATAAATTGCTTAGTACCACAAAAATGTGAGTAATGCCTGAACGCGTCAAAATAACTTAAAGGGCAATTATCTGGAGCACTCAAAAATAGATTGTTAAGTGCGGAGGTGATGATTTTGTACCCATTTGTATATATTAAATTGAGAAATTAATAAACATGTATTTGACGAGAAAGCCTGCGAATCACCATATAATAGTAAATCACGTTAGTTTTATAGGTTTCCTGATTGGCAGCATCACATTTCCCAGACATTGTAAAGATTTATTTTATTTGAGCTTAAGTGAACTTAAGTAGCTTTACTGTATTTATAGAGGCGAGATCAAAGACGCTTGACGTTCTGCTCATGTGTGTCGGGTTTATGCAACTGTCATTTAACTATTACCTTTTCCTACTTCTGTTTGCATCGCTGTTTGCATACTATAGAATACGGCTTTGTGGGTAAATTATCGCGTGAACCCGAACCGGAATGCTATAGGTGAACCCAAGTTGTTCAGGCGACACGAATAAAGATCCAGCAAGAATATAACGATTTTGTTTTTTATGAATGCCAGTTCGATTCCGAGCTGATTTAGTGGGAAGATTTAGTAGCGGGCGATGATGGGGTAAATACAATACAGAAAACGGGTTTGTCAGTTCGCCAGCGTCCCAATTGTTCCCTCGCTCAATGAATATCTTTTTAGGGGTTTTTTGCCTTTTTTTCTAGCCGCCGAATTGGTTACCGAATTTCCTACATTCCAATTGGCACAAATGCCAAGTGAGCTTTTGTTGTGTGTGATTTCTGATTTCTGAGCTCCGATTCGTAAGCTTAGCTTAATGGAAAGCTTTGTTGTAACGGGACAGAGATTTGCGCTTGGCTTCGGTTTCGGTTTCAGTTTGTTTTGACCGCGCGACGAGCTCTGTCGCCAGCGTTTGGTCCTCCAAATCGGTTGCGGAATTGAAAATTACAACGAAAATATTTTACACCTTGCTTTAATTTAAAGTGGCACGGTACAAGTTTGTTACAGAAACAAAACACCTCACTCATCTTGCGCCTCATCGACTATATAAAAACCAGTTCGAAATTCGGCAAAAACATTCGAAAGTTCAACACACCGACTAAACCTTTGGCGACTAAACCCTTGATAAATGGCCCATATGCGTATAATATATGTGACATCGATTAAGTGCAGTGTTTCAGCTTCGGCAGCGAGTTATTTCCGTCGCACGCAATCTTAACCCACATCGGTGTAACCCTTATTTAGCCAGAAGTTTGCGGTTGCGGCTGCAATTTCTTGGCCATTAACCGCTGACATATTGGCACTAACGAGCGGTTTTCTGAGAGGGCCCATTGTGCAACACCTGGCCAAGCATGATATTTGTTTTCGGCTAAAATAATTCATTTACAAACAAGAGACAAGATGCAAGAACCACGTAAATTATTTATCATTTTTATGGCTCATGGATATAAAGATACACAGTTGGAAATTTTAATTTAAAAAAAAACAAATTATTCAATACTAATTTCCTTTAGATTATTCAAAAAATCATAAAAAAAGTAAAATCAAAAAATATTTAGTTCAATATTTCTATGACATTGTTCACTCTTCGGAAATTCAATGCCTTCCGATACTTAATCTTTCTATATAAATATAAAGTACGTCTACAAATAGGTGGTTAATTTTTTTCAATGCTTTAAAACAAACAAGAACATGGAGAAAGGAAGAGAAAATACGCGTTAAATTTTTTGGCACCAGACGATTGGGGTGCGCCTCATTAAAAGGTCGGTCGTTGCGGACGTCTTTCGGCTCATCTTGAAAATATAGTTTCAACCGGTTTCGTGGTGTCCCGTGACCAAAATGCGATTTATTACGAGTCCGCATAGACATCGTACCATTCAACCACATCTCTAACCCTATGGATCTCCGATGAACTGGTTTCCATGCTCAAGGCTTTCCATTTTCTTTCGGCTGCTTCGAAATTTCGACTTACTTTGCCCATATGCATAAATGCATGCAAATGGCCATTAGTCTTAATTATCATAATATTTCTACCAAAAAATCAACAATCATCACGTGAGGAGTACAAAAAGGTTTTGACTACGAACGTAAAAATTACAGTGTCTACGGAAATACATTCCCAGTGCCAAGATATATTAAATCTTACACTTTCATACAGTTAATAACCCCTGTGTTAGGGTACAAAAAGAAATTATTTTTCGGTTCGTGCACATATAAACACGTAACAATCAATTGTGTCAAAAACCTCAGCACTCCCAAGCGCATAATAAACCAGCCGAAAGAAAGCAGGCAAAACAAGAAGACCAATAAATGTCCAATTATAAGATTTTTTGTTTGTCTGTGATTTTGAAAGGTTTTGCCACTTAGCACCCACTGCCGAACCCATCGATAAGTAATGATAATGATCAATAGCGGTGGCCAAATGGTTTCCAACTAAGTGAAAAGAGCCGCAGTTTAATCGGAATCGGAATACATAGACAAGCCGCACAAGGATAAGCAGGCACTTGAGCAAACAGAGAGCTGCATTAAGTATACGCAGCGCATCAAGTATACGCCGCGATGGCCAATGGCAAGGCTGTTACAGCTGCCGCGACAGCTGAGAAAAACGGGTAAAATATATATACTATATACAATGCAGTTCCCGCGTAGACAATAACCCATCGTTAATTGCCTGCTGAAACTAATCGAATGCAAAAACACACTTTTCCTTTGCAGCTCGCTGAACGATCGGCCATTGTTTATGCAAAATAGCAACGGCGGACGCATTGCGACCAGCGATGTGCAAGTCAGCAACTTCCGACGCGCCCTCCCGCAGTTTTTAGCTGTTAGTATTAAGAACATATTGCTATTCGGTAAATAACACACATCTTCCAGCTACCCATACTTTCGGGGGAATGAAATTCTCGAGAATAACTCACTTTATACCCTCGTAAAATGGCTCATTTTAGTTGGGCATATTAATCATAATTAAAGTCACTGATTTTACAAAACCGCCAGTAATTATAGGAGCATTAAAAAATTGTTTAGTGCCTTGCATATTAATCACTTTGAGTTAGGAACTCATTCAATTCAGATTCAGTAGAGGCTTTTGTTAAAAATTTAATAATATCAATGAAGAATAGCTACCTTTTTATTGATGAGAATAATATTAAAAATAATTTGTTATTTTTATTTTTATCCGAATATTTACTATCTATTAATTTCTGTGGATTTCATTCCCCTTAATCTGAACCAAAAAAAGGTTATGTTTAAAGTTCTTTATTGCTATGACAAAACAACTCCTGTTCGTCCTCCACAGGATATGGCATGACCCTGGGCTTCCCCACAATCGTAATACCCGCCATTCAGGGAGGTGAGGGACGCAGCGAAGTCAGCGGCGACATAGTCCTCAACAAGGACGAGATCTCTTGGTTCAGTAAGCTTGGAAAAATAAAAACGTTTTAAAAATGCAAAGTAAAATAAATGTTTATGAAACGTTTTACTTTTTAAAATGTTTCACCCCTTATTTTGCACCTAAAACTTTTGATAATTTTATCTGTGTAAGTGTAGATCAGGGATGTAACTTCTCTATACTATTTACTACATTTTAAGGTTCCATTAACCTCATATGTGTGCCTCTGGGATGCCTCTTCTCCGGTCTACTCACTCAACCACTGGGCAAACGACGAGCTATGCAGGTGGGTTTACGATAAAAAACCTAGGATTAGAGTAAATTTAAAAAAAACCCACAACAAGTGTAAACAAATTGAGCAATTGTAACCTAGCTATTGGTGTAATTTTTTTTGGCATACACCTGAAAAGACAAAATTGCACCCTTCCCATTTAGCCGCAATCATCTGCGGCTCATCAGAGGCTCCTCCGATTACCGATCGCTCGGAACACTGACACACTGAGCTGGAATCGAGCTGCGTGACTTTGTGGGGCTTATGCAATTATGTTTATCCGCTGGTGCCGATCAATCTATTGAAACTCACCCACCTACAATCATCTCCCCGTACTTGCAGTTTGTCAACCTGCCGATTCTGGCCGCCTGGCTGATGTTTCACTTCTCGACCCGCACGGAACACCTGTATGCGGCTTTATGCTTGGCTGGACTTGGTGGCGGATTAATGGAAGCGCCGGTAAGTGAATCCCAACCACACTGATTAATAGCTCTGAAATAAACCCAAGTTTTTACCTCTCACGTGTGAACGAAGGGCTTAAAATCACATATTCCCCAAACTCTTTGTTTATCTATTAATTTGCATTTTTCTCGGAAAAGGGGGATTTCTGTTTCTCCCACCTTGAAGCTAAGTTGTTGAAACCGCAAAATTATTAAGCTGGGAGCAAATTTCAAGAAAAACATTAAAATATATATATCTACAGAATATGATAAACATTTTGGTGCCTTTACGAGAAGTTTACTAATTTGTAAAGGGTTACAGGTTCTCAGCTATTAATTTCAAGATTTTATCACTCACGATAGGTAATTGTTTTCCAAAAACTAATTTAAAAATGAAATTTTCAACAAAAATAATTTAAATATTTTAAAATAAGAAGTAGTTCTTTTTATTTAAGTAACTTTCTTAATAATGTATATTTATATACCTTTATAAAAACGACAAAAGGTAATTTGGGGACTTTTCTATTAGTGCACCCAGAAAAAAATCTGTTCGAAACGTTCAAAAATCAAGCCCAAATGGGGTCAAAAAGTGCGTAAGCCCGTTTGTTGTCATAATCATAAAATTTTACCGAAATACAGGCATGCTTTGAACGAATGGGGTCACTTTTAGAACACATTGGTTTTGAATTAGGAAGATTTGAGAACAAACGTTCAAAATGTGAGAACAAAAAAAGGAGAACGGATCGTTCGCAAATCATGAAAAATGTTCTTGATTTTTTTCGTTCTTTTTTTTCTGGGTGTGCTCTAGGGTTTCTGTTAAGTTTATTGGGGCTGGCTTAAGGGGCACGGTTCGGCTTTTTCTTATTCTGTAGAGCTGCACTTTCGGCATTATTCTCTCGTTAAAGAGACAGGTTAGGAAGCGCATTGATTTAACCTTCATCATTCCGCAGCCGATGAACGTGTTCTTCTCGTAGATCAAATTGGCGAAAACTCTGAGGTGGTCGGCAGGGGATACGTTGGGAAAGCGGCTGACATCGGCGGGCTTCATTCCCTTATAGTACTCGAACCACATCTTCAGGAAGCTAAGAACATTGAAGCCCTTACTAGTTGAGCGAATCTTCGCAGAATCAGTGGACTCGCCCACGTTCTTGTGACGAAAAGTGTTCACACAGGGCGAGATGGAGTGGTTGCTGCACTGACTTGAGACCCGCATGGCCAGTATGGACAGGTCCTCGTCCCACCTCATTGTGGGTAATTTTTTGGCTCTCGGCAAATCCCCGAGACCCCGCTCCACTCTTCTCCGAAACTCGTTCACCATTTTCTCAATGTCCGTTCGATACTCGGTCAGTCGTATGCCCTCGTGCTCGTTTCCGCATCTCTTAGCCCACTGAAAAACCGACCAATAATCGGGAACTTTTATTTCTAAATGGTGTTACTCACAAAACGAATGTCGCAGGTAAGATGCTTTATGTTGCCAGGGCAAAGGTGTCCATTGCAGTAGTCGAGTGGCTTTAGATAAAGATTAGATAATAGTCATTCACTATTTTTCGCTGGAAATACGCACCTTACGTGGCTTATGATACGTCTTTTTGGGGACATACTTTGGCCATCGAGTTCGATATACCACATGGCATTGGAATTCGACAACAAACAGAAAAATCCACAATAGTTTCATCGTTTACGAGACTCTTACTCTTACTGATTCTAATTACTCTGAAAAAATCTTTGTTTGCGGATAATGCCAATTTGTATGCCTAAATTACTATTACATCACAGCTACGGTTTCGATTTCCGTGGGAACATTTTCCTTGGAAATTTCCATCTCCTTAGTAATCATTCTTTTTTTATTACCTGAAACAAAAATAACGTGATAATTACCTGTGAGAAAAACGTATATATTCCCAAAACCGATCGATTCGCTCTGAAGGTCATCACATCTCATCGTCGATTGCAAATTAAAGTTCAGTATGTTCATGTCAATTGCTGATTCCATCCACTCATTGACCCACATATTTCTTCTATTACAATGTGCTTTGCTGACCTTGGCAACAACTCCTTAAGAGCTTCGGTTTCATACTTGCCACTTGAGATTGCCACTAGATGCTGGTATTGAGCAATTAACCCTACAACTCATAAAGAATTAAAATAAATGAGGGGAACTAAAATTGAATATAAGATGTGTTAAAATATTTATTTATTTATTTAAAGTCTTTCATTATCCAGCATATATTTAAATTACAATTTTTGTGAATAAAGATACATTCTCAAGATATTAAATAGTAAGTGGTAAAGCAACAAAAAAAAGGTAAAGGAGTATTTTAATGTAAAAACTAAAATTATAGGCTTTTTACTCAAAACTTTTTAAGTATTGGACTAAGCGTAGTTACTTGAAGGACAGATTGTAAAAATATTCTTTAAAGTCATTTAAATTAAACATTTTTTCGTGAATAATTTTTTAAAATATTATAAAGTAAATGGCAAAACAAAAAAAATAGGTGAAGAGTATTTTAATGTAAAAACTAAAATTATAGGCTTTTTATTCAAAACTTTTTTAGTATTGGATTAAGCGTAGTTACTTGAAGGACAGATTGTATTAGATTGATTTAAATTAAAATTTTTTTCGTAAATAATTTTTTTAAAATATTATAAAGTAAATTGTAAAGCAACAAAAATAGGTAAGAAAGCATTTTGATTTAAAAACAAAAATTTTAGGCTTTTTATTCAAAACTTTTTTTAGAATTGGACTAATTGTAGTTATTTAAAGGACAGCTTGTAAGGGGTTAAATTGTAATACAGTTTAGTTAAAGTTTAGAAGTGAGGTACATACGTATGAAGGCCTCGCTGCCAAGATATTTGCAAACGATCTTTTAACAAGACGAAAACCGATCGCAGAGGGTTAATGTCACTCCACTAACGACTCACCTTGCTGTTCTTGGCCATTTGTTGCAGGTGCTCACCTATGTGGCCGAAATTACGGAGCCCAAATACCGCGGAATACTGTCCGCTTTGGGAACTACGTGCGTCATCACGGGCGTCTTCATCCAGTTCATCCTGGGATCCCTGATGGACTGGCGCAGTGTGGCGGCGGTGAGCTCGGCCTTTCCGGTGATCACCATCATAATGCTATGCTTTGTGCCCGAGAGTCCGGTTTGGCTGATCCGGGAGCAGCGTTTCCGGGAGGCGGTGAAGTCCCTCCAATGGCTACGCGGCTGGGTTCCCGAACACATGATCGAGGCGGAGTTCAATCAGCTGTACGACGAACTGATCACCCAGAAGGCCATCGAGCTGTCGGCGGATGGGGTTCCTCTGCCGGGACAACGTCGCACTTTGGGTCAACGACTGAGGATGTGGCGAAAGAGGAGCTTCCTGGTTCCCTTCCTCCTGGTCTCCTTCAGTTTCTTCACGGGTCACTTTTCCGGAAAGACCCCGCTGCAAACGTATGCGGTGCAGATCTTCCACACCCTCAAGGCGCCGATGAACAAGTACCATGCCACAATTCTCCTCGGAGTGGCCGAGATGCTGGCCACCATCCTGGGCGTCGTCCTGATCCATTTCACCGGGAAGAGACCCTTGGTTTTGGTCTCAACAGTGGGCACAGGTCTGTGCTTCTTTGGCACGGCCACTTATGCCCATTTCCTGAGCGAAGTGCCGGGATTTACGGTCAACAATGTGGTGGTCAATGCCTCCTTGATTATGCCGAAAGAGGGGATCCTTTCGCAGGAGAATATCTCCAGGATATTTGAGACGGAACAGCAGGCCATTCGGCAGGAAACGGAGCACTTGACTACCCTCCTGCCGGACATGGAAACCACTACGTTTGAACCGGAAGTTTATAACCGCAGTAGGCGGGATCTGGATGAAATGATGACCACCGATGTGCCCATGGACACCACCATGTGGCCAGAGCCCTCGAGCAGTAAGGTGTCCTCTTCATCCTTGGCGCCTTCTTCGACCTCGGCCAAGCCACCCATTGTGGAGGAACTTCTGCTGGTGGTGCCCAAACAGGAGAACAACTACCTCGTCTGGGTGCCGCTCATCCTGCTGCTCCTCTCCGCCTTCTTCTCCCATCTGGGTATCCGAATGCTGCCCTGGATCCTTATAGGCGAAGTCTTTCCCGCCGAGATACGCAACACTGCCTCGGGATTCGCGGGCGGAGTGGGTTACATCTTTGGCTTCCTGGCCAACAAGCTCTTCCTGGTGATGCTGAGTGCCCTGACCCTGCCCGGAACCTTCGCCTTCTACGCCAGCGTGGCCTTCGTGGGCACCGTGGTCCTGTACTTTACACTTCCGGAGACGGAAGGCCGCACACTGGGTGTAAGTATATATGCAGCAACCTTTAAGAAAGTTAACTGAATTAAGAACAACTAAGGAAGCTAGCTTCGGGCAGCCGAAGCTTGAATGCCCTTGCAGATCATACATTTCGTGTTATTTTGACATTATTTTTTCTATTCTTCCCTATGGTAGCTATAGAATATAGTCGTCCGACTTTTGTTAAATTTAATTCGAAATTCGGAAATATTAAAAAGAATCATTTCCTAGAGTATAAGAGAATACAATAAAAACCAACGGAGCTATAATTAGTTTCCAATTAATTTCCCAATAATTTTTGGATCGTCCCTATGGCAGCTATATGATTTTTCTGCGAGGGTATAATTATGTTAACTTTGAGTAAATATATAATTTTATCCATCAGGAAATCGAGGCCCACTTCTCCAAGAAATCCGACATGAATCTGCTTCGCAAGCAGCCCAGCAACAAGTTGCCCATCAAGGATGAAGCCCAGTACCCAGGAGCTGCCATCAATGTCCAGGGCAGCTTCCATGTGCCCATCACTTCGCAGCAGCAGGCGAAGATTATCCATTTGCAGCAGAGCGACTTTGCGCCCCGGCCCCAAAACGGAAGGACAGCCGGAGTTGGGATGTCCAATCCGGCCTTCGAGGAGAGCAACACCACACATTTGTGAGGGGCTGAAAATGGAGACTATGTCAACCGTGTCACCACCTAAACATCCTTTCCAAGTGCTTAACATTCCAGTGATATTTCTGAGAAATAAACTTAACTATCTAGATTTATGTATATAAACTGGTCTTTTAGTTTGGGTTTCAAATATTTTACTTCTAGTTTAAAACAGTTGCTCTTGTGATGATTAACTGCCCCAGTAATTTTAAACTTTTTCTAAGCGTGTTTTTTTTACGTTTTTTAGTGATTAAGTGCAAACTTCTTCAGAAATTGCTTAGTTATCTGTAAAAACGAAACACTAAAACTGTCGGAAATTAAATTGAGCAATGTTTGTTTGGATTTATGAAAATAGGAGTGGCCAGTGAACAAAAAAATAATAAGTGAGCCATAAATGTACTGAATAAAAATAGAAAATATTCACTGACACGTCTCAATGTTTAACTACTTTTTATGTGAACTCGACTTTTAACGTATTTTAAAGCATGCTTATAAGTAATATTGTATAACACATTTCCATGGAGATATATAATTGTATAGATGCATCAAAGGCGTTCGCAACTAGGTCTCGTCGTCCTGCAGCTCAAGGAATTGTGTGCAGATGTCGCGACTGCATTCGCCCTTGTTGTTGAATAGGAATTTATAGTAGTGGCCGTCTGCACAAATGGCTGGATAAAAAACAGAGAACAAATTGCGATTAAAGAGCTATCCCCAGAGGGTACGATTTGCTCAGCTCCAACTCACCCACAACCGAATTGGGATCGGCGCCGAAGGCACAAACACAACGTGGTCCCTGGGGTATCGAAAACTTGACAAAGCTCCACTGGCTCGAGAAATACTTGGGTATTATGGGCAGCGAGGATTCACGGGGCTTGTTGTCCTCCAGGTTGAAGACGTGTATGGTGCCATGGTCGGAGGCGACGACCACCATTGTGGACTGATGATTGAAGTTGATGCAAAAGATGTTGGCGTGGTTGCTGCCTCGCCTCAGCTCCGACACCTTCTTGCCGCTCTCCGTGTCGAAGATGCGGATGAGCGTGCCCTTCTCGCCGGCGGTGGCCAGTCGCGTGCCCTGCAGATTGAGGGCAATGCAGCTGATGCCCGCCTCGTGGGCGATCACCTCCAGCGGTGCCCGCTCCGTGTTGGCCAGGTCGACGATCTGAACGTGGCCAGTTCGTCGGCCGGGGAATGCGAGCAGGCTCTTGTTGCTGTGCGGGCACAGCACACACAGCCCGTTGGGATTGGAGCTGGTCTCGAACACGTGCAGCTGCTGCGGCTGCTGGGTGAAGGTGAACACCTTGATCACGCCCTCCAGCACCACCACTATGCGATCGCGACGCAGTCGCACTGCGCGGACGGGCTGATTGAAGTCCAGCGAGATGGCCGGCGACTTCTTCAGGTCGTCCCAGACGATCACCTTGTTGGGCGGATACAGCGGCCGGATGCCGCCGCCCACCAGGGCCAGGTAATTGCAGCGGAACAGCATCTCCACATGGCTGAGACCACCTGAACGGGAGACAATGGATTTTAGACCGTGGGAATCTCTCACTCGCTTTTAGCATACCCTCTGGAAAGTATTGGCGCTCCTTCTCCTTCAGCGGATCACAGTTGTAGACCCGGAACCCGGTGTCCGTCGCACAGGCAAAGCATCCTGCAACGCAATAGCCCAGGTATAGTATATAGCGGATATAGTATCTCGAACAGGTAAACAACACACATCCGCACGTACGTACCCTGGTCTTGATTGAAGGCTGCGTAGAGCAGCCCGTTGCCGTACGGATTTTGCTCCGTGAGGTTCATCGCACTCTCCGGGGATGCTGGGATGCCCGGGCTCTGGCTATTTCCGATTCAGTTGCTGGGCAGGCAGGAAAACAATCACTCGGACGGCGGATGATTTTTTGTTTTTTAGTCTGTGTTATTCATTCCTTCTCTTTCTTCCAGGAGGAAACCTATCGATTAACAATGACGCAGTGTGGCCGTCGCACAGTGGCCGGGCGGTAAATCGATACCTGTGGATAACAGGTACCGATTCTCCAAATCCCGTTAAATGTGGAACTTTTTTAAAAACCTGTTAACCTGTTTGCTAGGAAGTACATCTGGTTCACATTCAAAATCGGATTATTATAGGTGCCGCAGAAATCTGTGCCAGCCAAATTTCCCACTAAAAGTAATCTCGGCTTTACAGAAACCGTTGAAAAGTTAAGTATTTAAAACCCAACAACTGGAAAGCTTTAAAAAAAATGTTTTAAAATCAGAGCTGTGTGGATTCTGTGACACTGAAGGTTTTTTATTTTCATTTAGTTTGTAACTGGGGACCAATATCAATATCCATGTTTTATGTAGCCATTTATAATTAAAAAGAACAACATTATTTTCTATAATTTATATATTAACTATATTTTTGTTAATTTAAGGTTGTTTTTTGTGGTTGTTTTTTAGGAAAGGTATTCAGCTTTTTTTAGAATGGGGATTGAGCTATTTTCCTTAGTTTATGGCCAAGCAAGGATATTTGGGTTATTTTAAGAAAGGAATTTAGCTATTTTAAGGATAGGGTTTAGCTATTTAAAATGCAAATGAAGTGCAATTATCGATACCTGTTATCACCGCCACTGTTATTCACGTTCGCGATTGAACAGCTGTTGCGGTCTTCTTCTTCCAACCCTGCTTGGCTTTAATATAGTGAAAACTAACAGAAATCGGCTGCAAACTGCAAACAAAAGGGAAGATTTTATGGTCGCGTTGTGGCATCGTTCTGCGTAATTTGGAATACATGTGAAGCGCAATGGAGTTCTGTACGGATCTGAATGGCATCGACGAGGACTCCATCGAGCCCTGCAGGACATGCGGCATTTATTTCACCATGGGTCTGGACATGGATCAGGCGATTGTGAAGCCCATTTTTGGCTTGGATGACGCCGCCGTCGGCAGCATGGCGGAGATTCTCGAGCAGCTGAGTGCCTGGAATGTTCAGGTGAGTAGTCAGTGTCCTTCTCAAGGATCTGCAGTATATGATATACATATATAACATATGTATACCAAAAGGTTGTGCGGGAGGACGGACGACCGCAGTACATGTGCATCGCCTGCATTGCCGAGTTCCACCGGCTGCTGAAGTTCAAGCGCAGCTGCGTGGAGACGCAGGAGCAGTTTGGGGAACTGGAGTACCAGCGCGAGCACAACGGCATCGTGATCAAGCGGGAAATCGAGCCGCAGGAGGAGAAGTTCTGCGGCTTCATTTACCTGGACACCGACGAGGAGGAGATCAGCGACGAGGACGGCAGCAGGCGTGTGTGCGCCGCCTTCGACATACCGCACGTGCCCATCAAGGAGGAGCACATGGCCCGGGTGCCAGTGCCGAGTAGAAATCAATTCCAGCCGCCAGAGCCCAAAGATCTGGCGTCGCCGGTCGAGTCCGGATTCGAGATGATGGACAACGATGCGTTGACTGCCAGCATGTTTGCGCCGTCCAGCGAGGATGCAGCTGGCACGGCCGAGGATGAGGACAACGAGGACGAGGAGGAGGAGGATATAGTCAGGTTTACGTACGACGATGACGGTGACGCCACTGCCCCTTTGCCGCCACCCATTTTCTCGCCCATTGTCTCCTGTAAGCTGTGCCATCACGATTCGCCCGACCAGGAGTCCCACCTGGACCACATGCAGCGCACACATCTCCTCAAGGACTGGGAGTGCCACATATGCGGCAAAAAGTTCACCAATGCCCAGGAGTCGCGCATCAAGTTCCACATCAAGTATCACAAGCTGCAGCGGCACATCAAGTGTCCCGTTTGCGGCTTCATCTGCAACTCCAAGGACACTCTTAAGGAGCACAGGCAGGCGGTGCATGCTCGCACCAAGTGCACCTACTGCGGGAAGAGTGAGTAATTCAATAATATTTATTCTATAAATATAAATATAATATTACAATAACATTAATCTTTGCAGCTGTGAAGAATTCAGTGCTTCAATCACATTTGAAAAGGCATTTAAAAGGTGAGTAAAAGTAAAGATAGCTGTTTCTTTTAGCTTTTAAATATTTTACTTTATTTTATTTTACAGAGGGAGAGGACGAACTAGCCCAGAGACTGAAATTATTGGAGGAACTTCCGGTGAATGTTTCCACTACGGAGACCTTTGCTCCTCCGCCGTCCACTGGTTCGCTTGAGGTTCTAGTTGAAAGCCCTGTCGCCGGAGATGCTTCTCCCCCATCAAACGTCTCCCCAATCAGCGAGTCTCCTGTTCCCAGGGACTCTACCCTTCCAGAGGAGTCTTATGTCGCTGAGGAATCTACTGCTGCTGAAGACTCAACAGTTCTGGAGCATTCCACATCATCTTCTCCTGCAATGGACCGTCCAGAAAACATTCTGTATCCGATGGATCCACCTGCACCCGTAGATTTTCCTTCCGCTTCCACTGACTGTGTCATTCAGTGCGCTTTCTGCAGCGACACTTTTGAGGAGGCCCAGCAGCTGCAGACTCATGTGGTGGCCACGCATACGAAGTCCAGAAAGAGGCCTCGGTCGCCAGAGAATACTTCACCCATTAGGGTCGCCAGGCAGGAGATCCTCCACTCACCCAGTCCAATGGAAACCGATCAGCCGAGTAGTGAGAACGAACGAAGCTCTGACCAAGAAGACAGCACCGCCCAGCAGGAGAGCAGAACTGAATCGAGCCTCAATGGCAGCTCCACTGTCGAGCAGGTGCCAGGAAAGTCCTACATCTCGTGTCACATCTGCGGCAAATTCTTCGACTTAAAAATTAAGCTTAATAGACATCTCAAACAGCACAATGCGTTACCACAGTGAGCCATTTATTTCATTGGCATTTCTAGCTTATATTTTAAGATTTTCGATTCGCTTTTCAGCCGGCCAAATTGTTTAAGAGTATTATGCAGCTTCTTTTTTGATAATTTGAATTAGTCGTCTTACTTTTAACCCATTGAAACCAATAATTTAAATTTAATTTCATTTAATAGTCTAAGTTTAAACATTTGCTACGCGAAGTACTCAATAAATATTTACGTTCAATCAAAGTACAAGTTTTCCCACATTCAATAAAACTAACTCACATTTGTACTAGAGCCCTGCGTTTTTCTAATTCATTTCGAATTGAATGAATAAATGAATAATTTTTATGAACTTGCCAGATTTTTTTGTGCTTTTGAGATCAAAAAGTGGACAATTTTTATTCATCAGATTTAATCGCAAAATTATGGCCCTTTCTTCTTCAAAAGAAATTGTCGTTTGAATTATTTCGGAATTCATGCCATTCATTCGATTAATTCTATTAAACTCAATATTCAAATTCATTCAATTCTATTAAACTAAAAATTCTAATTAATTCATTCATATAAAGCAAAAAATTCAAAATAATTCATTGAATCCATTCATGCTGGGCTCTAACTTTGTACTGAAAGCAAACATCAGCTTAATAATTTCATTTGAGTTTTATTGGGTGTTTCTATATATATTATTTTATAAACTGTTCCATAAAATTGGTTGCTGGATGGGACATTTCCATGTCTGTCCACTGTTTTTACTTAGTACGAAGCAATATTTGCAAACTTTCTGCCTAAATAGATAAATTACACGCGTGGTTAAAACAAGATTGTAGAAAGTGTAACCGAGGAAGGGTAAACAACGTGGTTAACAAGCCTCCTGCTCTCCTTCCGAGCCTCCTAGTTCCCGCTGCCAGTGGCCGTCTTGAGAACCGTGGCCGGGATCAGTTTGGTGGTCAGCGCCTTGGCTCCCGTCTCGCCGGCCACTGTCGTCACGGAGATTTTTCCACCTGCCGCCGCCGCTCCAGTTGCCGTGGACGCCGTGGCCATGGGTATCACTTTTAGGTTGGACAGCGGCTTGAGGTTCATGCCCTGCAGTCCGGGCGTGAAGAATAGCTGCCCGCCGTTGCCTTGCACGGCGAATACGAGATTGTTGTTACCAGCCGTCGCCGCTGGAGAAGCTGTCGTAGTGCTGCTGGCGCTGCTAGTGATCTGTTGCTTGTTGGCCACCAGTACGTTCTTGGCCAGGCGCAGCGTTTGCGTGCCTCCCGCTCCAATTAGCAGTGTCTTGGGCGCCGTCGCTATGCCGCCAGAGGAAGTGGTTCCACTGTTGCTGCTGCTGCTGGTGGCTAATCGCAGAAGTTGGTTGCCCATAATGACGGTCTGAACGGGTGCACCGGTTCCTCGAGCGGAAATCTAAAGGATAAACATGGGATTAGGTAATTGTAAGAGCAGTATCCCCGAGTTTACTCACCGCTCCCTGCAGCTTCACCGTCTGACCGCCGATCACAATATTCTGCGCTGTTCGCACGGCCGTATTGGCTCCTCCCACTGCTGTGGTCGTGGTTCCACTTGTGGTGGTCTGGGTAGTGGCCACACTGCCGCCCAGCTGCTTTAACGTCTTGGCGTGAAGGAGAAGTGGTTTTCCCGGCAGCACAGTCGTCTTCCCAATAATCTTGGGCACCACATTCGCCTGGGTAGTGCTGGTAGCACTCACAATTCGTGCCATCGTTGGCAACTGCTTCGTCGTCGCCTGGTTGGGATTGAGGGTAATCACATTTCCCGCCGACGAGCTGGCCAACTGAAAGATATTGTTGCCAGCCGTGGTGAGCAGCTTTCCAGCTCCAGTAGGTTGCTTTTGCAGCAGACTATCCAGAGTGATGATTTGACCGGCTGTTTGGGAGTTCCCCACTCCCACAACTGATCCACTTCCTCCGACACCTGTTGCCGGAGTAGCCCGAATCACACGCGTGGCATTTAAGGTACCGGATTGATTGGCGGCCATCACCGGTTGCTTGAAGTTCTGCAGCACAATTCTCTGCTGCTGCTGCGGCGACACATTTGTCGTCGCCTTGGCCACCGGGCCACTGGGCGATGTGGTGAGTATTTTGGGTGCTGCCTTTGTCAGCGACTGGAATACGATCTTTTTGTTCGAGGAAATGGCCGTGTTGCCTGTAAAGAAATGAGAGATTATTTAATATAAACTGAATCTAAATCTATTTAATAGTGCCCTGCATGAATAGATTCAATGAATTATTTAGAATTTTTTGTTTTATATGAATGAATTATTTAGAATTTTGAGTTTAATAGAATTGAATGAATTTGAATTTTGAGTTTAATAGAATTGATTGAATGAATGGCAACGACAATTTCTTTTGAAGAAGAAAGGGACATCATTTTGTGATTAAATCTGCATGAATTTTATTCACTAAGCAGTTAACATTGATTTGTTAAAAATTTTCCACTTTTTGTTCTCAAAAGAAAGCACAAAAAAGATCTGGCAAATTCAAAAAATTCGTTAAAATTATTCATTAAATTCAAAATTAATTAGAAAAACAATAAATTTTTATTCACAAAGAATTGAATTAAACAAATCAGAAATTTCATGGCATACTATGATAAATCGAAAATCGAATGATTTACGCAGGGCTCTAGTATTTAAACAGCTGTACTCACCCACAATGATCCTTTGCTGCGGGGAGTTCAGGGCAGGATTGGTACTGTTCACCTTCTGTTTCAGCTGTTGCTGCTGCTGCTGCAGGCTGGCGAATGCTTGGGGCGACATCTTCACGATGGTTCCGCCCCCGGTGACAGGAGAACTCGTGTTGATGGTCACAGGACTTGAAGTTTCTGCAGCGGACACACTGCTGGTAACCGGTTTGCTGGCCACAATGGACACAGCGCCGATCTTCTGCTGCACAGGTCGCACTGTCTGGGATTGCGGTACCACACGGGGTCCGAGGATCTGCACAGAGTTTGGCTTGGCTTGGCCTATAGCCGGATTTCCAGCGGGCAGCAGCCGGATAATGTTCTTCGGCATCTGAGGACGCGGGGTGATGGTAAGAGCTTTCGGCTTTCCAGCAATCGGTTGCACCTTCACCTGCTGACCATGCTGACCCTGCTGCTGCGGTACTTGGCTGCTTGGCTGCTGCTCCAGCGGGATGATAAAGTTCCCTATTTTGCTGCTGGCAACAGCAGGTTTCTTGATGGTCAGCTTCTTGGCCACCGTGGGACTTCCCACGGGGGTTCCTACGGCTTGGTTTGGAGTGGTAGCGACATGCACGGTCTGCAAGCCACTGGGAGTGGACACCAATATGGGCGTGGTATTCCGCGTAGGACTGATCTTGGATATCGCAAAGTTGCCCGCTTTAGGAGTTCCCACTTGTCGTTGAAGCGTTGAAGGCGATGTAGCCGGATTGAGCACTCCCACCGGCCGGAGCAGAGATTTCTGCACCTGCTGAATGGGGCTTTGATTCGGATTTAGGCTGGGGGAGGCAGCTACTATGGTTCCTCCACCAGTAGGCGTGCCAGGTGGTACGTGGTATTTCAGGGGCGGCACTGGTGGGCATTTAATGGTTAAGGGTTTCTTCACTTGCAGGGAAGCACCCACTGGAATTGGAGAAACCACTGCTGGCACCAAGGCGGGTAGCTGCTCCTCAACCAACCCAGATCCCTCACTGCCATCTGCCATCTTTGGCCTGCCCAGCTGCTTCCTCTGCTGCTGCTTCTGCTTCACTAAAGATTGATTATGCCGATGCATTTTCTCGAACTCCGCCTCGCTGCGATTGCGATGCAAGTAAATCCAGATCTTGCGCCTGGCATCGTACTTAACGCACGGATCCTGACCACCGTGCATCCGATCCAGGGCTCCACTCACGATGGTCTGCAACACATTGTCCGCCGCCTGCGGACTGATGTACTGGGAGCACTTGAGCAGCTCGGAGATCTCGGAGCGGGTTCCCTCGCCATTGGGCAGCCGCGCGGTGGCATCGCGCACCAGGGTGAGAATGGTGACGAAGGGAGGTCTATCGTCCACCATAACAGCATGACCCCTGGCCTTGTTCAGTGGCAAACTTTGAGTGTAGATTCCTTTGACTGGACCCACCACGCTCTCATAGCCATTCAAGCGATAGGTGAATGGTCGATGGGGGTACTCGAAGCGTATCCTCTCCTGCCGCTGGAATTCCAGCATCTCCGCCTGGCTGGCTGAGCGCACAGTCCATGTGGTTGGACACCGTGGCGGAGGAGTAGGAGATGCATCCACCAAATGGGCACTGGAGTTCGGAACAGGGCTCAGTTGCGACTGCTCCTCCCTTTGAGTGCGCAGCCAGCACTGGCAAAGGCTAAGGAGTCGTGCATCTGAATCCCGACCAGCACCTATCCACTGGTAGATGCCCAGCTGGGTTTTGTGTTCAATGTAGGGCACATAGTCCGCCGGAACGGAGCCAAAGTCACCGGAAAGGAAGTGAACAGCCGACTGGAGCAGCTTTGACCAGTCAGGCACGAATCGTGGCCACTCCCCCGTGGGTATCGAGGCATCTGAGTTGATTTCCCGCCAGCTGGACAACAGAATTTGCAGCTCTCCGTAGGTCAGCCGGTGCTGCGGTGTGGAGACAAACAGATCCCGCAGCAGTGAGAAGAAGGAGGCGGGGCGAGGCGAGGCTGGCGGGCGAATCAGCGCTTCCCGGGTGGGACTACCGGTAATGTGTCCAGTTATTGGAGCAGCCGGAGCAGCCGGAGCAGCTGTAGCAGCAGCGGGACTGCTCGAGAGATTGGCCGTCGCGGGACTCGAGTTGGCTGTGTTCAGTGGCTCCAGCTTGGGCACGGGATGAGGAAGAACAACTGGTGCAGGTATCGCTTTCTTTGGCATAAGCTGGGACTCCTTGGGCGGCAGGTGCTCCTCCGGTTGGTCATCGGGCGCTCGGCGGCCGTACAGTTGCTGCGGTTCGTCCAGCAGCATGGTCTCCTCATCCGCAAACTCGCTCTTCGTCGCCGCAACTCCAATGGGCACCAGAGCAGGGGGATCGGGATTGAGGCGTGCCATGAGCGCTTTTGGCTTTCGACCCGGTTTAAAGCTGCCGACGAACTGGGCCCGAGTGCAGATGTCGCGGAGTCGCACCTCCGATGTATCGAACTCGGGACTCTCCTGGAATTAAAATAAATAATTTTAAATATTTTTAATTTTTAGAAAAATTGGAAGGGTAATTAAAATTGAGTTAGATAAGGTTTCCAGTATACGATTTCATTTACTAAGGTTTTTTAATATGGACAAAAAAAAAAACGTCTAAATAATTAGTTTAAATAAAACATAATATTTAGGTGGATTGTTTAAAATTAATTTTTATAAACTTTCTAGTGCTCAGTTAAAATATGAACTTAAAACATTGTTTTCAAAACAAATAGTATCAAAGTCGGGACTTTTCTGGAATTAAAGAAATAATTTTAATTGTTAAGAAAAATTGGAAGGGTAATTAAAATTGAGTTGGTTAAGGTTCCAGTATACGATTTCATTTACTAGGGATTTTTAACATTTGGGTCGATTGTAAAAATTAATTTTTATAAACCTAGTGCTCAACTAAAATATAAACGGAAAACCAGGCACCGAAAAAAACTGTTATTGTTCATTTTTCTTACAAAAAAAAATCATGCACTTAGAAGCGACCAAAAATGTGGTAAATACTCCAATATTTTTGTTACCCATTGTAGTTATCCGCAATGATTTTTATTTTTGAGTTTAATTAAAAAACTTAAAGAATAACTGTTGTTGAACAAAATTTAAAAAATAACAGTTATTTTTTGAGTTTTTTTTTTCGATTGACAGTGAAAACATTGTTTTCAAAACAACATTCGAAAATCTCCAAAAGGCATTTAATATTTTCACATAAATAAGCTTTATATGGATTGTTAAAAATAAATTTTTATAAACCTTCTAGTGCTCAACTGAAATATAAACTTAAAACATGGTTTTAAAGTCACCAATAAGCATTTAATATTTTCACAATTTATACGCTTTATATAAATAAATAAATACATATCTCCCACAAGAAGCCAACGACTTACCGGTTGCTCCAATTTCCGGCGCTTGTAGTCCCTTAAATACTTCCTGAAGTTCTTGTCGTTCAGCTGGGGGATCCTCTCCGCCTGCGTGGAGCGCAGCACCAGGTCGTCGTCCACGCCTGGTCGCCGCTTAAAGAAGGTGTTGTAAATGCACTTCTTGTCCGCCGCATTCGATGGTCTGCCAGGACCCACAGGCTCCGGAGCCTTGGGCTCCTCCAGCTTGAACTCCGGCGGCGCCTTGGCGAGTCGCTCCATCAGCTGGGCGCATTCCTCGCCCTCCTCCTCCTCGTCGGCACTGATGTCGCCTGGCTTGGCCTCCAGCTCGTTTCTGAGCCCGAGGAGTTCCTGGGCGTAGCGTTTCTTGGCTCGCTGCGAGCAGAGTGGGTTCTCCATGGACAGCGTGGGCGGCTTCCGCTTGCGGGGCCTTGACCTGGGCAGGTACTTGCCAAAGGAGCCGTCGGAAGGAGGGGCAGAGGAGTAGGCGTGCTGGAGCAGCTGCTCCCTGGACAGGAACAACTCCTTGGCCAGCTGGCTGAGGCGTTCGGCCTGGCGGAAGCGGAACTCCCGTCGGCCCGAGTGCTGGATGCTCCGCCGCAGCTGCAGGACATCCGGTCGCAGGTTGCCCTCCTCCAATTGGCGCTGCAGCTGGAGCAGCGGCGACTGCCCGAATCGCTGGAGGCCACCGTTGAATAGCTGCACCAGGGTGCGCTGCTGCTCGGCTCCGGCCTGCGCCTGTCCAGAGACCAGGCCCGAGAAATCCGGCAGCAGGGGCTGCAGGCGGGCCTGGAGATGGTGGGGCAACAGCTGCCAGGTCTCCAGGGAGAAGAACTCGTGGAAAATGGCCGAATTTTCGCAGAGGCCGCGAGGCAAACGGAATATATCCCTTGCGCCGAGCTGCGCCAGCTCCAGTTCGTCCGACTGGCGACTGGTGGTGGTGTCGTCCTCCGTCTCCGAGCCACTGGCCGCATCCTGGTCGGATAGGTCCTCGTCCTCGCCATTCGGATCCTCCTCCTCCTCCGGCGAGCCGCTCGAGGAGTCCGAGGTGCTGCTGCTCGACGTGCGACTCCGCTGGCTGCTGGCCGTGTGGCTTCCGCTGTCGCTCATCCGGCCATCGCCCTCCTCCGCCTCCTCCTCGTCGGAGTCCACACTGCGATTCGGATTCACACTCAGATTCGCATCTGGATTACCATTTGCATTCGGACTCGGCCTGGGCACTGTGTTTATGTTTATGTTGCTCATCGGATCGCCGACAATTCGCCACCAAATTTTTTTTCGCAAAGAGCGATTTTTTCTCTACACTACTTGTAATTTTGTCTCTTACGCCTCGTTATATCAATGCCAGCGTTCGCTGCAGGTTGTCTTCTTTTATTGTTAAGCATGTTTTCTCGCGATTTTTCACCATTCTCTAAGAGACGCATGCACGCTAGTGGTGGCACGATGTGGCGGTGGTGGTTTGACCCGATTTGGCGGTTTGAAATAAGAGGTCACTTTTAATTTAGGGGTTATTTTTCGCTGTAAATTGCGCGTTTAGGGGTTGCGACCTCGAAATCGGAAATCCACCATTGCAATGTACAGTAAAATGCCAAATAAACTCTAGTTTTCAACCGTCGCTAGAGATGAGAAATTGAAACGATCTTTAATGTTCGCGCATATTGTGACTGCAGCGTATCGGTATTCGGTTGGAAGAAGAACTGTAAATGCCTCTTGTAAATTAAATAATTATATAACTCTTTATGCCTACATTAGTCGTTGTTTACAAAAACGATCATTTTCATGCAAAGTTTATTTTGAAATTGGAACATTTTAAAACATATAATTTGCTCTTACCTAAACTTATACAATTTATTGAAGTTCATTATTTTTTAAACTTTATAACCCCAGTTCTTCAATTCATATTTTCCAAAAGTATTTAAAATTTCCTTTTCCTCCACTTTGGCGGACTTTTATGCGATAGTTAGGCGATGTTTTCGGTGTAACTCCAAGCTCTTCCTCTTGGCAGTAAAAATTTGAACATTCACCACGAAAACATAATCAAACCAATAACGGTAAGAAACCAGTTCGATAACGAACCGGGTAAATCTACATCGCCGACATTATCGATTATGTCATCGAAGGTGTGCCATCCCTCGCCCAGCCTACTATTTGTTTTTATTGTTGATTATTCTACTGGAGATCAGAAAAACTAGCGGCACAATGAAGAAAAAGGTGTGGTTTTAGCTGATAATGGTTAAAGGATGGGAATAAAACCCTTTTTTACCCTCAGGTGCTGCTGATGGGGAAGAGCGGATCGGGGAAGACCAGCATGCGATCCATTATCTTTGCCAACTACATCGCCCGTGATACGACACGCCTCGGAGCCACAAGTGAGTAATACTATATAGTCGGACATACGGAACTGATCCTACCATATACCCCCCAGTCGATGTGGAGCACTCGCACGTGCGCTTCCTGGGCAACCTGGTGCTCAATCTCTGGGACTGCGGCGGCCAGGAGGGCTTCATGAAGCAGTACTTCGCCCAGCAGCGGGACAACATCTTTCGCAACGTCGAGGTGCTCATCTACGTGTTCGATGTGGAGAGCCAGGAGATCGAGCGCGACATCCACTACTACCAGAGCTGCCTGGAGGCGCTGCTGCAGAACTCGCCGGAGGCCAAGATCTTCTGTCTGGTGCACAAAATGGATCTGGTGCCGGAGGAGCATCGCGAGAATGTGTTTACGGAGCGCATGGAGGATCTCATCAAGCTGTCGAAGCCGGGGAATGTGACTTGCTTTCGCACCAGCATTTGGGACGAAACCCTGTACAAGTTAGTGAACTGATGTCTGAGTCAACTTTTATTTAACCTCCAACTGATTTTAGAGCCTGGTCTTCCATTGTCACCATGCTGATTCCGAATGTGGCGGCCCTTGAGGACTCCGTGACACACTTCGCATCCGTGATCGAGGCCGATGAGGTGCTGCTGTTCGAGAAGGCCACCTTCCTGGTGATCTCCCATTGCCAGAGCAAGAAGAACCGCGACTCGCACCGCTTCGAGAAGGTGTCCAACATCATCAAGCAGTTCAAGCTGAGCTGCTCCAAGCTGGGCGCCAAGTTCCAGTCGATGGAGGTGCGCAACAGCGCCTTCGCCGCCTTCATTGACACCTTCACCAGCAACACGTACGTGATGGTGGTCATGTCGGATCCCACGCTGCCCTCGGAGGCCACGCTAGTCAACATAAGGAACGCCCGCAAGTACTTCGAGGAGCTGGAGAACCCGAGCAACAGTGCCATGAACCACCACGGCCACAAGTACCACTGATTTCCGTACTCCCAATTGCCGTTCGCCGTTCAAAAAGACATGAAAAGCGTCTGTTGTTGTGCACACATCGAAGCGCCCAAGGTGCCGCCCCCCCAAAGTCTTACCGCTTCCCGTAACTATAAATACGTATATGTTTTTTATCGCTCACTTACTTTGCAATGCTTTCACCATTTCACATAAGAACTAATCAAATGCTTTTCGAGTTATAAAAGTACGTGAGCGATAGATAGCCATCTCCTTCGTTGATTTTTCGTAGATTTGTAAGTTGAAAAATTCGTAGGCCTTAAGTTTATATACAAAAATCAATTACACACTTATAAATACACAAAAACGATCCTAACAATTGGTAAATTGTAAATGCCGAAAGCGGTATAAGGCCCACATATCACAGATAATCCAGTTGGTTCGCCTGCTGTGCCTACGAGTAGAATCTCCTGACCTCCTCGGACAGTCGATCCACGGTGTCTTCGTCGACGGGCAAAAACCGCTTCGCCCCGCGACTGAAGTAATAGATGTCACCGGTGTAAATGTCGAACCAAAGGGCGTGAATGTGGAGATCGTGGGACTCTAGGCGGGCCTTGAGGAAACCATAGGAGGCAATGTTGGACATCTGCTGCAGTGTGTTGATCTGGGAGAGCTTGTCCTCCACGGCAAACTTCTGCTCCTCATCAATGTAGGCCACAAAGCGACGCAGCGGAGTCTCCGAGGAAAAGATCAAGGGATCCTTCATGCCGGCGTCGCGCCATTCCTGGAACCTCTCCAAACTGGTGTTGGCATGGGTGCATAGCCAGGATCGCAGGGGAGAGAGGCGACGGTTCAGCTGGTGGGTGAGTGACTCGTTTATGAAGATTTGTCAATCTAAAAAATCTATAGTTTTATATCATACCTTGGAGGCAAAGTCGGGATCCCTTAGTTGGTAAAGGAGATTCATGGCCTTGCAGTCGCTGTGTCCACACACTATTATGTGTCGTATATCATTCACCACGCAGCCCAGTTCCAGAGCTGCCGGCTCACTAAATGTTAGTACAAAAAATATAAATTTAATTATATTTTCAAAGCTTGTTACTTCGAACATTACCAGCTGAAGTACTCATCCTGAAAATGCTGGGCGTGTGGTATCAAATTGCCAGCGTTTCGAACTTATCCGTGGGAATAGACAGGAATGTTAGGCTATAATAAATGTATTAATCGGCAGTAGTTACTCACCCACAAACATATCGCCCACATGAGTGTCCGTGTAGCGGGTGGGAATCATTCTACTGTCCATGCAGGTGAAGAAGACGGCCTTGGGCTGAATGATAAAGTTTATCAAGAGTTTGAACACAGATATCGGCCAGTGCGTAAACGTATTTGGAATTTAGCCACCGCAAGTTATGACATACTTGGCAAGTGGCCAATGGGTTCAAGGCTGGCCATCAGGGAAATTCGAAAACATTAAAAACATTGATTTCTTGGAGATGGCATGTGCCATAAGTGTCCACGTTTTCTTTACAGTTTAGGTCAGAATAATAATAAAATAATTATAAATTTAAAAACTGCCCTTTTTCTGAAAAATATGTTTTTTTTTCGGAAAATATTCAAGTACAAATGTTTATATGAGCAGGGGAATTTTATATTAAATATTTGGAAATCGCGAATTCAAAACATATAAAATTAGAAATTATAATTATTTGCCCAAAATATATTGGTCTATTTCCAATTAGAACTGAATTAATTTAACAATTAACAAAGGTGCAAATGCACGAAACTCAAGGCACAAAAAATCAATTAGTTAAGTATATAAAAAGAACATTTAATATTAAACAAACAATAGGGGGTGGCGGGGTAAATGGGTGGTCAACCGGTTTGCCTTTGTTGTTTGTTTACCAAATATTATTTCGTATTTTAAAGAGCGGAGATAAAGAGAGGAAGCAGTGGGAGAGCGCCAAGCGCCAAGTCGAAAAATGTGATAATGATATAAAACACAGGCAATTAGTTCCCCACAAGGCAAAAGCATGTTCTAAGGTTTTTTTTTCGTGAATGTGAAAGCAATCTATTCCGAAATCTTGACCTATAAGCGGTAGGTATTGCTCACCTCTGGATTATCGCGCACTTTCTGGAACTCTTTGACCATTTGCTCGCGGGTGGTGTTCCTGTACCGCATAATGCCCCTCAAAATACGCTCCATTTCGGGCTTTTTTGGGGTTTCTTAATCTTAATTTGGCACTTTTATTGCACGCACTTTGGCACCAGAATTGATTTTCCTTGATTTGTGTATAATAATGACGCATTCGCGCTTGGCAAAAAAACGGTGGAGCTCTGTTGACGGCGGTGGAGCATTTAAATCGGAATTGTTGCTTCCAAAACACGCGATGAATTTAGCGAGCAGCTGTTGTTGTCTCTCTGGGAGAGCGCTCCCCATTGCCTCGAAGAGAAGAACTAAGAGCGGCAGAGACCCCAAGCAATTGGGGATAGTTTTCAAGGTGCTAATTTTTCCATTTATAAATAAACTTATGCGGTTAATGTGAAATAATTAGAGTTTCGAGTTAGTAATACCCATTTTAAAAATGTATTTAAAGATAAATATTTAAAGTAAAGTAGATACTTTAAATACCTATTTAATGTTTCATTTATTTAGTTAAATTATATCAAAAATTATCTATAGTTTTTAAGCGACTTAAGAGGTGAAATTTTGGGGCCATAAATAAGAAAGAGAAATAATAGAACACTTTTCCCACCCACAACATAGGCACTCCCTTAGGTAATTTTTTCTCAGTAAATATTATTATGGGGAGCGGAAATCAATTGCTTAATAGCTTTTCTCTGAGCTAACATCTCTGGCAAGTTCCAGACAGTCGTCTTACGACAAAAAGTCAACTTATTCGCCAGACGGCTTATCAGTGGGGCAGAGTGGGAATCGACTCGAAGAGCTGATGATGTTGATATTATGACCCACACGTTTTGTATTTATTTTGCTGTTGTTTTCCCTAATCAGTGTATTTTATGGAACTTTCTGATTGCTTCCTTGATCTTTATGTTTCTGTCAAGGTTGATTAAATTATATTATTTCCTTACTCATTTGTAAAATTTATTACTATAAAGACGAAAGAAATGTAACCACTCCTAAGCCCTTTAACATAGTTTTGACATCAACTATATTTCCAAATTTCCAGTCAGTCAAAATGTTTGTAACTGCTCAGTTTTTTTTTCGATTTAAAAACTTTGCCAGTACACATTATTTACATTTTCAGTTTCTACATGTTACCTACTAGAGCCCTGCATGAATGGATTCAATGAATTATTTTGAATTTTTTCTTTTATATGAATGAATTAATTAGAATTTTGAGTTTAATAGAATTGAATGAATTTGAATTTTGAGTTTAATAGAATTGAATGAATGAATGGCATGAATTCCGAAATAATTCAAACGACAATTTATTTTGAAGAAGAAAGGGCCATAATTTTGTGATTAAATCTGCCTGAATTTTATTTACTATGCAGTTAACATTGATTTGTTAAAAATTTTCCACTTTTTGTTCTCAAAAGAAAGCACAAAAAAAATCTGGAAAATTCAAAAAATTCATAAAATAATTCATTCAATTCATTCAATTCTAAATGAATTAGAATAACATTCAATTTATTTCACATAGAATTGAATTAAGCAAATCAGAAATTTCATGGCATACTATGATAAAACAAAAATTGAATGATTCATGCAGGGCTCTATTACCTACAAGTTACAAAAATTGGCCAATAGCGGCGCCAAATAAGGTTTTGAATTTGAATTAAATATACTCAATGGATAGCGATTCCTTAAGATTTTCCCTGACTATGGATAACCAACAAATTATGTTAAAATATAAAATATTAATTTAGGATTTTTTGAGTTCGGTTTATTAATTCGGTTTTTTTTTATATGTAAGTCTATCTAGAGCCGTAAAAAACAATCTGTAACTCAAAACCTAGAAGGATGCAGTGCTTGACAATTTAAATGAATAAGTGCAGGTCACTTGAGCCTGAACAAAAATATATTTCTCATCCTGCACAAATGGTCTCTTCGCGGGAATCCGTTGATAAGGCTCATGCAAACTTATGTGGACTCATAGGGGAAAGTTGTTTTTTCCTTATACGGTAACCCTTTCGATAACATTTGCATTACACAGAAAACACAAAATTAAACTTTGTGAAATTTCCACGAACCATTTCAAGTTTTCCATGATATTTGGGTGCTCCTGAGTAAAAGTCCCATACAAAATTATTTTCCATCACCTACAGGTTCCGCGGTATAGCTAAGAATACAAAAAACCGATGTTTGCCGACATTTTGAATTACGTGGCCTATATAATTGGACCAACCTTTATTATTTTCGGTAGGACCTACTCTCAATACATCAAGGCATTCCTAAAAAATAGTCCCCATTGTGAACCATTGCCCATGTCTTTGGAATTCGACGCCAAAGTTGAAAATCCCAAAATTGTAGAGATTTTTCTGATGGAAAAACAATTCTGAGGATTAAATCTTGAATGGAAGTAATTTTAACTATTCATTGTATCTATTGTTCATTGTATGCTTTAATTTCGGTTTAAAGCGTTTTCATGAGAACATTATATTGGATTTCTTATACTAATAAAACCGATTTTTTTATTTCATTATCTACTCCTAAATGTTGTCAAATTTTGAATAAGTCATGGCAACCTCTAGAACTAAGAAACTAAAATACGTTCACTGAACATACACAGAAAAATGTAAATGTTTACTCCCATTCTGTAGGATGCCTTGACTTTTTTAAAATTTGACAACATTTAGGAGTAGATAATGAAATAAAAAAAACGGTTTTATTAGTATAATAAATCCAATAAAAAATATTCTCATGAAATCGCTTTAAACCGAAATTAAAGCATACAATGAACAATAGATACAATGAATAGTTAAAATTACTTCCATTCAAGATTTAATCCTCAGAATTGTTTTTCCATCAGAAAAATCTCTACAATTTTGGGATTTTCAACTTTGGCGTCGAATTCCAAAGACATGGGCAATGGTTCACAATGGGGACTATTTTTTAGGAATGCCTTGATGTATTGAGAGTAGGTCCTACCGAAAATAATAAAGGTTGGTCCAATTATATAGGCCACGTAATTCAAAATGTCGGCAAACATCGGTTTTTTGTATTCTTAGCTATACCGCGGAACCTGTAGGTGATGGAAAATAATTTTGTATGGGACTTTTACTCAGGAGCACCCAAATATCATGGAAAACTTGAAATGGTTCGTGGAAATTTTTGGCTGTGTACCTGTGTTATTGCTGCACAGCTGTTTACGTGACCCACTTTCGGTTGGCATAGAAATATATGAAGAAAACCTAATCTCTTGAGGTCTTACACCTATTTTTAAATCGATGGTCAACATAACATATCAGCCGAAAACGAATTACGATGCCGTGGACAAGATTTGGAGTAGTGAAAAGGAGAAATCCCAATTCGGAGAGGATTTGTCCATAGGTGAACTTATTTTTCAGGAAATGGTCCGTCATCCCAAGAGCATAGCCCAGGTTTGTAAGCTAAACTGATCATAAAGAAGTTTGTCTGATATTTTCGAGAATCTTTCGCAGATATCAGATTCGGAGAAAACGATCCTTTTACGGGAGGATCTATTAAATAATTCTATTCGCATCGCAACTTTCATGCGTAACCTGGAACTAACTCAGAAAGATATCGTGGGACTTATAAGTAGGAACACCACCCACACATCAGCCGTTGCCTACGCCTGTTTCTTCAATGGAATAGCTATGCACTCTCTAAATTGTACCTATTTACCTGAAATAATTGAGAAACTCTACCACAACACGAAGCCACGCATCATTTTCTGTGACGGTGATGAGTTCGAAAAAGTGCGATCCGCTACCGCCAAGTTGGATGTTCTGATAGTGACCATGCGCAATCATCCTGCTGGTGCGTTAAGCATCCAGGATGTGCTGAGGACGCCAGCGGAAGAGGGATTCAAGCCAACTCCCTTAAAACAGGGTTCCACCCAAGCGTTGGCTATACTGAGCACCTCTGGAACCACAGGCACTCCAAAGGCCGTTATTGTGTCCAATTGCCGGACCATTTTAAGTGGCCTTACGTAAGTAGAACATAAAAATAAAAATTTTTTGGCTTTAGGAAAGAGAATTAAACTTATTTACAGAAAATTAACCACCTCAGATGTTCAGTACGTCTCCAGTTCAATAGATTGGGTTTCGAGTGTGTTTTCGGTGGTCTCCTCGGGAGTCTTCAGCACAAAGCGCATAGTGTCTGATCAACCTTTTGATCCTTCAGAAGCTCTCCGCATTATTGAACAATACCAGGTCACATGGGTTCAACAGGCTCCGGCGCAAGTGGCAGCAATTTTAAATTGTAAAGACTTTGAAAAGGCCAACATGGAGAGCCTACGATACTATCATTATTCAGGTAGTCGATGCACTTTGGAAGTGCAAAAGAGACTTCGCAAAAAATTGGGAAATGACTTTCTCCGATTTTGCTATGGTGCTTCAGAACTGGCATCCCTTTTCTCCGTCAACTGGCACTACGATGCGAAGCCCAATTCGGTGGGTCGTCCGAGTCCTGGCTTCAAGCTGAAGATACTCAACGACCAAGGTGAGAAACTGGGTCCCAATGAGGAGGGCGAGGTGTGCATTAACAAAGGTAGCATTTGGCCTGGATATTACGGATACGCTGAAGCTACGGAAGCAGTTTACAAGGACAACTGGTACCACAGTGGCGACCTTGGTTACATAGACGAAGATGGCTTTTTGTTCATCGTGGACCGAAAGAAGGACCTGCTCAAGTACCAGAGCAACAAGTACTATCCTAATGAGCTTGAGGAACTGATCTCCCAAATGCCCGGAGTTGTCGAAGCCTGTGTCTTTGGCATTTGGAATGTGGAAAATGGAGACGAGGCAGCAGCTCTTATCACCAAGAAACCAGATGTTCAGTTCAGCGAACAGGACGTAATCGAATTTGTAGAGCAGAATGCTAGTACCAAGTTCCTGAGATTACACGCTGGCTGTTTGATTGTTAACGATCTGAAGCAAAGTCCCAATGGGAAGACAAATCGTGCTGCCAACAAGGAATACTTTATTCGGGAGAAGGGCATTCAAATAATGAAATAGAATGGAAATATACGTATGGAAATTGTAATTGTAATTCTCTACTTTATTTACATATGTCAACCTGTTTTCGTGGTCTTTCGTGGCCGTCTTAACATCCAACAACGAAAATTGTCACCCAAAGCACTTATTAAGATCTCATCTCAGTAATGGGGGACTCAATTTAACTATCAGATACCCGTTACTAGAGTGGCTAGTCCCAACTTTCTAGCTTTTGTAGTTTCCGAGATCTCAGCGTTCATACTGGCTAGATCGACTCGGCTAGTGATCCTGATCAAGAATATATCACTATGGACGGCAGTCCATGTAGTGACGAAGCGCACCAGGAGAGTGTGCGAAGGCGACTACTATATATACACGAAGAAATGAAAATCTACTGTGATCAAATAAAAACACCTCTTAACGAGGTAAAAAACTAGTGACGATCGCACCTTCAACATACAAAAGTTCTGATATCAACATTTGTGACGAAAAATTATTACACTCGTCATTAAATAGACTTTCTAATATTTTTTTATTCGGCCCGCCCTAGCAGACTATTCCAGCCTTTTTCCCTTCACAGGCATTTTCTATTGCAGCGTGCAGCACAAGTCTGTAGCTTTAGTAGTATAGAAGTTACGGCTTTCCAAATTTTAGCTATTTATAGCTGTTTTCCCGCTAAACTAGCGAGTTTTTCCAAAAGTGGTAGAAGAAAAGTTTTTTATATCGATGTGATGAACGTCATATCAAATTTTCAAAACTTAAAAAATCATTTGATTTTATTTCAAATCATTTGAATTGATTTGATTTCATTTGAATCATGATTTGATTGATTTGATTTGAATCATGATTTGCAATCAAATGAATCATGATTTGAAATCAAATGATTTGAAATCAAATCAATTCAAATCAAATCAAATCAATGATTCAATGATTTCAAATCATGATTCAAATCAAATCAATTCAATGATTTCAAATCATGATTCAAATCAAATCAAATTTGATTTTATTTCAAATCATTTGAATTGATTTGATTTGATTTGAATCATGATTTGAAATCAAATGAATCATGATTTGAAATCAAATCAATGATTCAATGATTTTAAATCATAATTCAAATCAAATCAAATTTGATTTCAAATCATGATTCAAATTAATTTCAAATTTCATATCATGATTCAAATAAAATCAAATTCAAATCATGATTCAAATCAATTGAATTTGATTTGAATTGATTTGATTTCAAATCATTTGATTGATTCATTTGAATCATGAATCAAATCAAATCAAATCAATTCAAATGATTTGAAATAAAATCAAATGATTTGAATCATGATTCAATTTTGATTTCAAATCATGATTCAAATGAATCATGATTCAAATCATGATTCAAATCAATTGAATTGATTTGATTTGAATTGATTTGATTTCAAATCATTTGATTGATTTGAATCATGATTCAAATCATTTGATTTTATTTCAAATCATTTGAATTTGATTTTAATCATGATTTGAAATCAAATGAATCAATCAAATCATGATTCATTCATTCAAATCATGATTCAAATCAATGATTCAATGATTTCAAATCATGATTCAAATCAAATCAAATTTGATTTTATTTCAAATCATTTGAATTGATTTGATTTGATTTGAATCATGATTTGAAATCAAATGAATCATGATTTGAAATCAAATGATTTGAAATCAAATCAATGATTCAATGATTTTAAATCATAAATCAAATTTGATTTCGAATCATGATTCAAATTAATTTCAAATTTCATATCATGATTCAAATAAAATCAAATTCAAATCATGATTCAAATCAATTGAATTTGATTTGAATTGATTTGATTTCAAATCATTGATTTATTTGAATCATGATTCAAATCATTTGATTTTATTTCAAATCATTTGAATCATGATTTAAAATCAAATGAATCAATCAAATCATGATTCATTTGATTTCAAATCATGATTCAAATCAAATCAAATTCAAATCATGATTCAAATCAATTGAATTTGATTTGAATTGATTTGATTTCAAATCATTTGATTGATTCATTTGATTTTGAATCATGATTTGAAATCATTGAATCATGAATCAAATCAAATCAAATCAATTCAAATGATTTGAAATAAAATCAAATGATTTGAATCATGATTCAAATTAATCAAATGATTTGAAATCAAATCAATTCAAATCAAATCAATTCAATTGATTTTATTTCAAATCATTTGAATTGATTTGATTTGATTTGATTCATGATTCAATGATTTCAAATAATGATTCAAATCAAATCATAATTCAAATCAAATCAAATTTGATTTCAAATCATGATTCAAATTAATTGAATTGATTTGAATTTGATTTGAATCATGAGATTCATTTGATTTCAAATCATGATTCAAATAAAATCAAATTCAAATCATGATTCAAATCAATTGATTTTGATTTGAATTGATTTGATTTCAAATCATTTGATTGATTTGAATCATGATTCAAATCATTTGATTTTATTTCAAATCATTTGAATTTGATTTGAATCATGAGATTCATTTGATTTCAAATAATGATTCAAATCAAATTCAAATGATTTGAAATCAAATCAATTCAAATCAAATCAATGATTCAATGATTTCAAATCATGATTCAATTGATTTGAATTTGATTTTATTTGAATCATGATTTGAAATCAAATGAATCATGATTTGAAATCAAATGATTTGAAATCAAATCAATGATTCAATAATTTCAAATCATAATTCAAATCAAATCAAATTTGATTTCAAATCATGATTCAAATTAATTGAATTGAATCATGATTCAAATCAAATCAAATGATTTGAATCATGATTCAAATCAATCAAATTCATGATTCAAATCAATTGAATTTGATTTGAATTGATTTGATTTCAAATCATTTGATTGAATTGATTTGATTTCAAATCATTTGATTGATTTGATTTTATTTCAAATCATTTGAATTGATTTGAATCATGAATCATGATTTGAAATCAAATGAATCAATCAAATCATGATTCATTTGATTTCAAATCATGATTCAAATAAAATCAAATTCAAATCATGATTCAAATCAATTGAATTTGATTTGAATTGATTTGATTTCAAATCATTTGATTGATTCATTTGATTTCAAATCATGATTCATGATTTTGAATCATGATTTGAAATCATTGAATCATAAATCAAATCAAATCAAATCAATTCAAATGATTTGAAATAAAATCAAATGATTTGAATCATGATTCAAATTTGATTTCAAATCATGATTCAAATGAATCATGATTCAAATTTGATTTGAATCAATCCAATCATGATTCATTTGATTTCAAATCAAATTCAAATGATTTGAAATAAAATCAAATGATTTGAATCATGATTCAAATCAATCAAATGATTTGAAATCAAATCAATTCAAATCAAATCAATTCAATTGAAATCAATTTGAACTTTTGTATGTTGAAGGTGCGATCGTCACTAGTTTTTTACCTCGTTAAGAGGTGTTTTTATTTGATATCAGAAGTTTTTGTTTGTTTACATTTGCTTTCATAGGAGCTAATATATACATTTAAATTAAAATTGGTCAATCATAATTTGTAAGCCATTGTATTTAAACAAATTAAGTTAAAAAGGCGTTTAAGTATTTCAAAATACCTTTTAAACGAGGTATAGCACATGTCGGTACCTTTAGTAGTGTAGAACTTACAAACTAACGAAATTTAGCTATTTTTAGCTTTTTCCCGCTAAAGTAGCGGCTTTTTCCAAAAGTCGTAGAACAAAAGATTCCTATATGGAACTCTTAAGTGCAAATTTACTGATTCCATGACCCTAAAATACAGTTCGGATACCCTCACACAAAATTCAATACCCAGGAAGCTTTAGTTGTTCGAGCTGGCAAAAGTGGCTATTTTCGTATAAAAATAACTTTTAAACGTGACTTTTTACAGTAATGTGTTATATACCAAAATTTAAGGAATCTCAAGGGCTATACAGTTTAAAGTTTTCAAGAAAATCGTTAGAGCCGTTTTTGAGAAAAATAAAAAAAGCAAAAAAAAATTTAAAAAAACCTTTTGAACGAGATGCAGCATAAGTCTGTAGCTTTAGTAGTATAGAAGTTACGGTTTTCCGAATTTTACCTATTTATAGCTGTTTTCCCGCTAAACTAGCGAGTTTTTCCAAAAGTGGTAGAACAAAAGTTTTTTATATCGATGGGATGAACGTCATATTAAATTTTCAAAACTTAAGAAACATGTTTTGGACAAACTGACAAACTGACAAACAGAATTAAATTTTCATTTTGGGAAGAAGAAGGAAATCTTATTTTGGCTATAACTTTTGAACGGAGCGTCGGATTTTGACAAATGACCCCTCATTCGACGGGTATTTTCAAAAGGAATACAACTAAAACATTGCGAGGGGGAATTTATCCCCACCGGCCCCAACAGCTCCAAATTTCGAAATTTTCATTTTTTCACTTTCACCGCTCTCTCTCCCAAGCCAATTGATTTTCTTAAAGTCTTGGTATGCAATCCTTTAAGTTATTGCAATACCTTTCGATTGGTGTATTACTCATTACGATCGGACTATCACAGCAGATTTTCAATTTTGCGGCTATATAATAGTAGTCGCCTTCGCACACTCTCCTGGTGCGCTTCGTCACTACATGGACTGCCGTCCATAGTGATGGTCCGATCATAATGAATAATACACCTATCGAAAGCTATTGCGAAAACTAACAGGATTGCATACCAAGACTTTAAGAAAATCAATTGGCTTGGGAGAGAGAGCGGTGAAAGTGAAAAAGTGAAAATTTCGAAATTTGGAGCTGTTGGGGCCGGTGGGGATAAATGCCCCCTCGCAATGTTCTAGTTGTATTCCTTTTGAAAATACCCGTCGAATGAGGGGTCATTTGTCAAAATCCGACTCTCCGTTCAAAAGTTATAGCCAAAATAAGATTTTCTTCTTCTTCCCAAAATGAAAATTTAATTCTGTTTGTCAGTTTGTCCACTTGTCCACTTGTCCGCTTGTCCACTTGTCCACTTGTCCAAAATATGTTTTTTAAGTTCTGAAAATTTGATATGACGTTCATCACATCGATATAAAAAACTTTTGTTCTACCACTTTTGGAAAAACCCGCTAGTTTAGCGGGAAAACAGCTATAAATAGCTAAAATTCGGAAAGCCGTAACTTCTATACTACTAAAGCTACAGACTTGTGCTGCATCTCGTTTGAAAGGTATTTTTAAATGCTATAAACACCTTTTATATGCAATTTGTGTAAATGTAATAGTTAAAAAGATATGAACAAAAGAAAATTTGTTTAAACTTTTTTTTTTAGCTTTTTTTTAATTTTCTCAAAAACGGCTCTAACGATTTTCCTTACAATTTTAAACTGTATAGCCCTTGAGATTCCTTAGATTTTGGTATATATCATGTTTATGTAAAAAATCGCGTTTAAAAGTTATTCAGAAACGAAAATAGCCACTTTTGCCAGCTCAGAACAACTAACGCTCCCTGAGTATTGAATTTTGTGGGAGGGTATCCGAACTGTATTTTAGGGTCATGGAATCAGTAAATTTGCACTTAAGAGTTCCATATAGGAATCTTTTGTTCTACGACTTTTGGAAAAAGCCGCTACTTTAGCGGGAAAAAGCTAAAAATAGCTAAATTTCGTTAGTTTGTAAGTTCTACACTACTAAAGGTACAGACATGTGCTATACCTCGTTTAAAAGGTATTTTGAAATACTTCAACGCCTTTTTAACTTAATTTGTTAAAATACAATAGTTTAAAAATTATGATTGACCAATTTAAATTTAAATGTATATATTAGCTCCTATGAGAGCAAATGTAAACAAACAAAAACTTCTGATATCAAATAAAAACACCTCTTAACGAGGTAAAAAACTAGTGACGACCGCACCTTCAACATACAAAAGTTCTGATATCAACATTTGTGACGAAAAATTATTACACTCGTCATTAAATAGACTTTCTAATCTTTTCTCATTCGTCACGCTGCAATAGAAAATGCCTGTAAGGGGAAAAGGCTGGAATAGTTTGCTAGGGCGGGCCGAATGAGAAAAGATTAGAAAGTCTATTTAATGACGAGTGTAATAATTTTTCGTCACAAATGTTGATATCAGAACTTTTGTATGTTGAAGGTGCGGTCGTCACTAGTTTTTTACCTCGTTAAGAGGTGTTTTTATTTGATATACTTTATAGGGTCGGAAACGCTTCCTTCTAGCTGATACATATTTTTGCACGAATACAAGATACAACAAGAGAGAACGCTATAGTCGGGTTGGTGTCCCGACTATCTAATACCCGTCACTCAGCTAAAGGAAGTGCGAGGGATATAGATATATAAACAATTTTGATTGCGTATAACTTTTTAATGAATGGTCCGATTTGAAAAATGTCTTCTACATTTCGATAGGTATAAGTATACACAAAAAAATTGCATTTATACTTCTCGGAAATCTTTAAAGATGTGGGCTCAGGACTTGCGCTGCGTAGGAGGCCTAAGAATATGTGTGGAAAATCTTAACCTTCTAGCTTTTGTAGTTTCCAAAATCTCAGCGGTCATACAGACAGACAGACAGACATACGGACAGACGGACATGGCTAGATCGACTCGGCTAGTAACCCTGATCAAGAATATATATACTTTATGGGGTCGGAAACGCTTCCTTCTAGCTCTTACATACTTTTGCACGAATACAATATACCCTTTTACTCTACGAGTAACGGGTATAAAAAGCCAATACAAATTTTCTACATTTCATTCTACATGTAATTTACAAGTTTCAAGATTGGCCAGTGGCGGCGCCACACAGTGTGTAATTTTTCTGTAGTAGTTTAATGAAATATTTATACCCGTTATAAAGGGTAACAGCTAGAAGGAAGCGTTTCCGACCCAATAAAGTATATATAATCTTGATCGACTCGGCGATCTAGCCATGTCCGTATGAACGCTGAGATCTCGGAAACTACAAAAGCTAGAAGGTTAAGATTTTCCACACATATTCTTGGGCCTCCTACGCAGCGCAAGTTTATTTCAGCCGAGCGCCACGCCCCCTCTAACGACCACAATCGCCCACTAACGATTTTAAAATGTGTCCTGCGCCCACATCTTTAAAGATTTCCGAGAAGTATAAATGCAATTTTGTTGTGTATATTTAAACCTCTCGAAATGTAGTAGACATTTTTCAAATCGGACCATTCATTAAAAATGGTTTCCCTTTAGCTGAGTTACGATTATTAGATAGTCGGGACACTTTCGTTCCGTTTCTCTCCAATGAAACAATAGATCGTACTTCAAATATGCGTATTTCCATTCTATGTCATTATTTGTATACCCTTCTCCCGAATAAAGTATTCCTTGTTCGCAGCACGATTTGTCTTTCCATTGGGACTTCGCTTCAGATCGTTGACAATTAAACAGCCAGCGTGTAATCTCAGGAACTCGGTGCTAGAATGCTGCTCTACAAAATCTATTACGTCCTGTTCACTGAAGTGGGCATCTGGTTTCTTTGTGATAAGAGCCGCTGCCTCGTCACAATTTGTCACATTCCAAATGCCAAACACACAGGCTTCGATCACTCCGGGCATTTTAGAGATTAGTTCCTCAAGCTCGTGAGGATAGTACTTGTTGAAATGGTACGACAGTAGGTCCTTCTTTCGGTCCACGACGTACACAAAGCCATCGTCGTCTATGTAACCAAGGTCTCCACTATGGTACCAGTTGTCCTTGTAAGCTCCGTTTGTTGCCTCTGTGTTCCCGTAATATCCAGGCCAAAAGCTTCCATTGTTAATGCACACCTCACCCTCCTCATTGGGGCCCAGTTTCTCGCCTTGGTCGTTGAGTATCTTCAGCTGGAAGCCAGGACTCGGACGACCCACCGAATTGGGCTTCGCATCGTAGTGCCAGTTGACGCAGTAAAGGGATCCCAACTCTGAAGCTCCATAGCAAAAATGGAGTATGTCATTTCCCAATTTCTCCCGAAGTTTTTTTTCCAGTTCCGAGGTGCACCGACCACCTCCATAATTGTAATATCGAAGGCTCTGCATATTGGCTTTCTCAAAATCCGAACAATTGACAATGGCTGCCAAATGCGTCGGGGGCTGTAGAATCCATGTAACCTGGTATTCCTCAATTATTCGGAGAGTACTTAAAGGATCGACCGGTTTGTCAGATATAATGCGCTTCGTGCTATAGACTCCCGAGGAGACCAACGTCCACAGACCCGAAGCCCACTCCAGTGAGCTAAATGAGAGCTGAACATCCGAGGTGGTTAGCTTGCTGTTAAATATTTAAAAACTTATGTAAGTTTAATTATTCTGTCTATAACCTATGAATAGGTTCACTTACGTAAGGCCGCTTAGAATGCTTCGGCAATTGGGCACAATAACGGCCTTTGGAGTGCCTGTGGTGCCAGAAGTGCTGAGTATGGCCAACGCTTGGCTGGAACCGTGTTTTAAGGGAGTTGGCTTGAATCCCTCTTCCGCTGGCGTCTTCAGCACTTCCTGGATACTTAGCCCACCAGCAGGATGATTGCGCATGGTCACTATCAGAACATCCAACTTGGCGGTAGCAGAACGCACTTTTTCGTACTCATCACCGTCGCAGAAAATGATACGTGGCTTTGTGTTGTTAAACAGTTTCTCAATTATTTCCGGTAAATAGGTACAATTCAGCGTGTGCACCGCGATTCCATTGAAGAAACAGGCGTAGGCAACGGCTGATATGTGGGTGGTGTTCCTCGCTATTAGCCCCACGATATCTTTCTGAGTCAAATCCAAGTTGCGAATGAAAGTTGCGATGCGAATGGCATTATTTAACAGGTCCTCCCGTAGAAGAATCGTTTTCTCCGAGTCTGATATCTGCAAAAGATTCTCGAAAATAACAGGCAAACTCCTTTGTGATAAGTTTAACGTACAAACCTGGGCTACGCTCTTGGGATGACGGACCATTTCCTGAAAAATAATTTCGCCTATTGATAAATCGTCTCCGAATTGGGATTTCTCATTTTCACTACTCCAAATCTTTTCCACGGCATCGTAGTTCGTTTTTGGCTGAAATGTCATGTTGGCCACCGACTTGCAAATAGTTCTAAAACCTCAACATACTAATTTGCCTTTTATATACTTTCGTACCAGCTGATAACGTTAGTCGTAGAACAATCTTATCTGGGTTTGATAAGGTTACCAAGTTACAAGTTCAATGAAAAGGTTTATTGTAGTCGCTTAAAAGTGTTTAAGGAATTCTTTTATTGCTTAATCAACACAGAGATCCCGAGACATAAAAAAGCTAGGAATTTTGGATATACATTTTTCTGAGAAAAATTAATTTTTCGCCACTTCGAATCATGTTTTCTAATTGCAACATTGTTTTTAACAATTTAAATAGTTGCTTTGGGGAGGGAAGAAATTTTTTTTCGAAATTGTGCTGTAGGGTATCTCAATTGTCGGGACACTGGAAAACAGCACTTTTTTTAAGATAATCACTTTACCTAAGTTGAGTTGAGTTGAGTAGTAGAACTTACTTGAGCTATATTAATTAAATGGCTCAAAGATTACACTGCTCACTTTATCTTAACCAAATCGTAATCAACTTAAATTTAAAATGCTGCATCATGCCTTTAAATAAAGTTAGCATATTATTATGCCTCCTAGTAGCAGAAATGTAAAGTTATCTTATCTTTCTAAATCATGTTTATGCTAATATAAAAAATACCTCTTGACGAGATAAGAAACTAGTGACGATCGCACCTTCAACATACAAAAATTAATAACACATTCGATTAAATAAATGTGCCTTCTAAAATGTATAACTTATTACAAATATATCGATTTAAAGATAAAAATTTCTTAAGAAGGAATTATGCATAAACAATAATAATAATTATACCCGTTACTCGTAGAGTAACTCGTAGAGTACTCGTAGAGTATTGTATTGGTGCAAAAGTATGTAACAGCTAGAAGGAAGCGTTTCCGACACCATAAAGTATATATATTCTTGATCAGGGTCACTAGCCGAGTCGATTTAGCCATGTCCGTCTGTCCGTCCGTATGAACGCGGAGATCTCGGAAACTACAAAAGCTAGAAGGTTGAGATTTTCCACACAAATTCTTGCGCCTCCTACGCAGCGCAAGTTTATCAGCCGAGCGCCACGCCCCCTCTAACGCCCACAATCGCCCACTAACGATTTTAAAATGTGTCCTGCGCTTACATCTATAAAGATTTCTGAGAAGTATAAATGCAATTTTGTTGTGTATATTTATACCTATCGAAATGTAGAAGACATTTTTCAAATCGGACAATGAATGGTCAACGGAACAAAGTTATACGCAATCAAAATATCTACATATATCTATCTCCCTCGCACTCCCTTTAGCTGAGCTACGATTATAGTCGGGACACGAACCCGAGTACAGCGTTCGCACTCCCCTTAGCTGAGTGACGGGTATTAAATAGTCGGGACACCAATCCGACTATAGCGTTCTCTCTTGTTATTTTTGCTAATTAGTTACTTGTTCTGTCAAAAGAACGTGTCTTAAATTTACTACAAATTTTATTTTCTTAAAAAATTTAAGAAATATTACCTATGTATTTTCTTATCATTAAAAGGTTTTTATTTTCTTAAAATAAATTGGAATTCCTGCAGCTCGCATGCTTTTTTTATTGGCCTGGGAGCATCACGTCTACCATTCGAATGAATTGGGCTCTTAGCCAGTGTAATATTAGCCTTTCCGAGAAGTGCTCACCGCATCATTCGGAGAGCGCGTTTTTGTTGGTTTTCGGGCATTGTCAGAACTTCTCAGGCATCTCGGGTGGGATGCCTCTGAATCCGAATGTGGGTCACACAAACACCTGTGCGGCAAAAAGGCCCACACCAATGCAAATATTATGAAATCCCCACCGCCGCGAAAGAAAGCAAAGTCTAAACCACAAACACGGCTGACTGTGTGCCGCCGCCGAAAAGCAAAAACCAAAACAACAACCAGGGCCATTTCACCAGCAGATTCACTCTTGATGATTATAAGCTTTTGTTGTGTGTTTCGGGCCTTGTGGCTTTTGGTTTTGGGACCTGACTGACCGACTCCATCCCATCTCATCTCATCCCATCCCCCACAACCAGCTCGCCTAACCAACTGTTTTGCTTTCCTTTCATTATCGAGCGGCAAAATATTGGTTAAGCAAGCAAGGTACAGGCAATGAAATCGAAAGAAAATAGTATTTACAGGGGGAATGAAGAGCCGAAGATACTATGCTCTAGGAAAATTTTATAACATTCGAACGAGATATTTTCCAGAAAGGTTTAGAGAAATTCATTGGACCAATAAAATGTAAATATAATTAAATTTCAAATGTTCATGACCCCAAAAAAATTAAAAGCTTTAACTCTCTCAGTGGTATTGATTTAGATATTATAAAATCTATGTTTTGTATTTTAATTTCCGGCGCCCAAATTTTTAAAGATTTTGGAAAAGTATAAATGTCATGTTATTGTGTTTATTAATATCTTTCGAAATGTTGAAGAAATTTTTCAAATCGAACCATTCGTTAAAAAGATATAAGCAAATAATAGAATTCAAGCAGTGCAAGCGGTTGCTTCATCTCCTTTGCACTTTTTTTTAGCTGAGTAACGGGTATTTGACAGTCAAAGTACTAGAGTATAACGTTCTCACTTGTTTTTTAAGAATTTTGGATAATATGTACAATGTACATATGACCAAAATGTCTTTATAAATCAATAGACCCTGCAAAACCGAGGGTAATTTATAACAAAAGTCTCAGCGTGACCAGAAAATGACGATGGTGATGCGCCAGCAGCATCTTCATCTCGTTCCCAAAAAAAATTCGAAAAACACCGTCATGAGATGATGATCAGAACCTTAACTTAAAGCTCATTACGATGGCTATCAAGTGGAAGAGGGCGGCGGAGAGGAGAGGGGTAAAAAGAGTGGTGGATAGGAAGAAGCGTGGGTACAGCAGGCGAAATAATGAAGCAGAATCGCCTGCATGACAATGATTACTGTAAGCCAAACGAAAAAGAGAAATATAAAGAAAAAAACGGCCCGCAGCACTCGCCATCCCACTCCCACTCGAGCATTTGGACTCAAGTTGGGAACCGCTGTCAGCTTTTTTCAGAATATTTGGGCCAAAGCGCCAAATGTAAACATAAAAAAAAGCGGAAAAAAACGGATGATGATGGTTACTTAACAATGTTGAACAATAAATGAGCTCCAAATATGCAAGTGTGTCTGTGCGGGATTTTTTGGTGGGTGTGGGTGCTCAAAGTTATTGTAGGTGTTGTGAAATCAGAAACCCGAAGAAAGAAAGTGGTATGCAGGTGCCAAAGGGTTTTGCCCGCGTGAGTCATTCCATTACTTCGATCCATCGAAGGGAAATTAAAAATCGCTAATCCTTAATGAGGTTTGGAGCTGCAGACGAATATCCATTGATAAATGGAGTTTTTAAGGAATATTAAACAGAAAACTCCAAAGGAAAACAAAAAAAAAAAATGTTCAAATATTATTATAATCTTAGCCTAAAATAAAAAAATTAGCTCACTCTTATACTTTACTTTAAAATTAAATCTCTTTAAATTAAAATCGGGATTTTATAGATTGGCAATTAAATTTTTGGATTCTGTTCTATTTCTTTTCCATTCGTTAATTACTTTTTAACACACATCCTATGCTTAATTATTCCTCCCGTCAAGATTTAATAATTTCCAAGAAGCAGACAAATTCGTACATAGAATTATAGTTTTTGGCGCTTGTATTCTTTAAGCAGTTCTTTCTACCTCAACAATAAGGCCCCCAATATGATGTCATATGTATTTGTCTTGACCAACTTAAGAACACACAGACCAGCGCACTTCTACGATTTTTTGGGGTTTCCTAAGCATAATTTATATTTGGGTTTGGGTGTTACCTCTTTTTTTTCACTTCTCCCAAAAGTCTCCGGTGTCTGCTTCTACCTCTTTTCTTCTGCCCCCTGCCCCCTCTCTCTCTCTCTATCTTCATCTCTTTCATTTCGTTTGCATCTATCTCTTTCGGCCACAATTTGCAAATGGGTTTTTGGTTGATTCTTTTGGCTCTGACTCTGGCTTTGGGTTAATTAGTGAGTATCTTTCCTCGGCACGCACAAATAAAAAAAAGAAGGTAGGAAAGCAACAACAGCGCTTTTGGCGTTTGAGTTTTTATTTTTTAATTTTGTTGTATTTTTATGTGTGTTTGTATGGGTAATGGCAGCGGCATTGCTGTTCTTATTAGCGCTGTAGCTTTTAAGCTTAAGTCTGCCCCGAAAATCTGGGTCACCAGTGTCGTTAAAGCCCCTCTTCGCCTTTACATACGTACAAATATACGTTTATTCCGGTGTGTGAGTGCGCAAATTAAATATTCACAGCGTTGGCTAAGCAAATAAAATCTTCCAAGCTCTTTTCTTGTAGTTGTTGTTGCATTTCCTTCTGGCCACTTTTGTTAGCTGTTTTTTTTTTCGTTGGGGCCGGACAATCGGAGATGGTTCGGCGCATGAAAGTGAATCAGAATGTTTTAGCCGTTCTTTGCAAAGCAAATGAGATCAAAAGTGGGCTTTAGTCGCATCTCTTTAACCTGAATATGTCAACCCTACTTATTCCGCTTCTTCGTTATCGAATTTGTTTTCTTTTTGGCAACAAGAAAGAAGCCCATGTAGCCAATATTTGTATTCCACTTTGTTAAATTTATTCTACCAAAAAGAGAATGTATTCTGTACGGATTAAGAGGTATCGTTTCAAAAGGAATCATCAAATAAAAAATTTAATAAAATTAATTATTTCGAAAGGAATCTTCAGATAAACAATTTAATAAAATTGATTATTTCATTATAATTAGTGACTGACAAAATTATTGTGCATATATAAACATTAAATTGAATTGTAACTGTGAGTTTAAAAAAAAATCACTAAAATGTATATAACTACGGGGATAAGGGTATTCACAGTTTCAGAGATGATCTTTTGCAAAGTATTTTAACATTAAAAATCCCACAATTCTTTTGGCAAATACTCGACTGTCCAGATGTTCTGTTTACATTCTGTGTGTA